CCCCCTTCGCTGTGTTTTCACAGCGCAAGTGCATAGTTCTGCGGCTTCGCGGTACAGTAACAAGTTTTCTATATAGAAATGGTAGGATCATACAGGTTAAGTGTTGAAGCTCAAGATGACGGCAAGTGATTAGTCCGAGACTCGGAGCTTCGGCCTTGGTAACATGAGTAATGTCATGTCGCGCCCCAAGTCTTACTGTGCACTTATTGCCATTGGTCACATGACCATGAACCGTTGGTGCCGAGGTCAATGTATCTTTACCTAGGTATAGCTTCTATCCTATTCAAGTTAATCCGGTAGACCTAGGATACGATTCACTCGACGTGCTTATCTATAGCTGTGGTAATCCAATCTGTATCATGTTATGCGGGAGCTCCGGATAGGAGTAAAATATAAGTTGTGTCATCCATCTATTCTTGTACTATTCTCCACACTTATGGTACTTCTATCATCAAACTGCGCAACTGCCTAACATGACGAGTCAACCTTCCACTATGAAGGCGGCGTTAGTCGTAGTAAGTCAGCCTGTCACCAATGACTTCCAAGGTTCTTCATATTCAGGGCAAAGGAAAAATATCATCTAATCAACGCGACACACAGCGTTCCAAAGACTCCTTCACCTTTGAAATCAACGACGTTAGCATTCCCGAGCTTAGCCCCACAGACGTGCTAGTCAAGCTGTCCGTGACTGGAGTATGTGGAACCGACATGGCGCTTGCATCTGGCAAAGTGGGCCCCACACGGCAGATCCTGGGCCACGAGGGAGTCGGGTACATTGTGACCAAGGGCGAAGCTGTGTCAGCTAGCTCAGCCAAAATCGGGGATCGCGTTGCCATTGCCTGGCTCCGCGACATCTGCGGTAAATGCGCGTTTTGCTTGCAGCCCGGCGGTGAGGCTCGCTGCACGGCACAGCTCAACTCGGGACGCAAGATTGATGGGACGTTTGCGGAATACGCCGTCGTACCGGAGAGGTATATCATAAAGATTCCAGAGTCCATGGCAGCAGTCGAGGATCAAGTCATCGCGCCCATTGTATGCGGCGGCGTCACGGCATACAAGGCGCTCAAGATCTGCGGTGCAGTCGCTGGGCAATGGGTTGCAATTTCTGGGGCAGGCGGCGGTGTCGGCAGTCTGGCTGTCCAGTACGCCAAAGCGATGGGATATCGTGTGTTAGCCATTGATGCTGGGAGCGAAAAGGGCGGATTCACTTTGTCAGCTGGTGCGGAAGAGTACGTCGACGTGCTTGCTACTACCAACCTTGCGGACCAAGTCATGAGAATCACACAGAACCGCGGTGCTAAAGCGGTGCTTGTGTGCGCTGGCGTCAGCGCTGCGTATGAAAGTGCGCCTAGGCTGCTGGGACCGTCCGGTACAATGGTCTGCGTGGGGATCCTCCCTCCAGGTCAACAAGTCCCTTACGAGCCGCTGCTTATGATTGATAATGATCTTAGAATCATTAGCTCTTCCGTGGGCACAAGAGAGGACATGTACGAAGCGTTTGAGTTTGTTTCCCGTGGTTTGGTTCGCCCAGTGACGACACAGAAGCGGTTAGAAGATTTGCCGGAGCTTGGTAGAACACTCGGTCAGGTAAGTGGACATACTGTCGTGGAGGCGAGATTTGCAATTACGCTGTTACTGACTGGACACTAGACAATTGGTAAACCTGTAATTCGGTTCAAGCTTTAGGTTGAGTTTGAACTAGATTGGCCGCCAATTGTGAAGGCAAGACAAGACCGTATTTGTTTGTTGAGCCGTCATCATGTTCATTGCTATGATGAGCCATGATGCTCGACGTCCCAAGTCTGGGATTTACAGTATAAGGGAAAGATCTTGTTCATTTCGCAACCTCGCTCTTTGTTGCTGCATCTGTCGTTGCGAAAAGCTCACATAGATTTACACAGTGTACGCTACTCTAGGGCTCAACTCCAAAGTTCATATCATATTTTGCTTTCCTCGTGTAGGAGGTTCTGTGGCGTAAGCCATGACCTTTTCCTCCAAATTCCTCCGCAAATCCGCTTCGATCCAATTCTTCCAGATTGGAAACATGAGAGCAGGGCCCATGAATTGATCACAGGTCCTGTGAATCGTATGTCTAAACTTGCATTCATGGTTTCGCGGAGGATCCCCAGGAAGCCTGTTGGTGGGCGCTGTGGCAAGGTGCGCCCTGCTCTATGAAAAAAAATAACAATTATTCTCTCTTCTATTTGCATCTACCGATTACGAATATAAACTATCTGTTACCATTCTTCATAACATAAAGCAAGTACTATTGCCTACAATTACGCATACACGATGGACGCTTTAGATCAAAGAGCGACTAATCATGTAACTTATAGCAAGAGATCAATCTAGCGCCTTCTTACTATTCCAGTAACTGCCAGACTCTAGCCAAAGGTTTTAGATGATTACAAGAACTTCTCTTTTCCACTTTCTTCTAAAGTCCCGCGTATGGTACCACCTATTATAGCACATATAGTCTTGTCCTATCGACGCTATTCCAACACGTTGGTAAGCATGTTCTTGCCTAGAGGCTTGTTTGAGTAGTAGCAATTTCCACATTGTCTGCGGTTTGTCCCAGTCACTCAGGAATGCAACAGTAACATTCTGCCCTTCATTCCCATCGTCGTCCAACACCGCACGAGCTTGCCATTCTTTCAAATCGGGGTTTTCGCCTATAGTCAAGATACTCGTATCTTCATAGCCATGAAGGTAATTGTCACGCATTCGGCCTTTTTTACCAGGCAGGATTTGCCCTGTGGTGACCATAGTGCGCAGTGTGATGTGGCCGTTGGAAACATCGCCAAAGGGATTTGTCTCCTCTGTTTCGACATCAAAGCTCAGAACTTGAGGTGATGTTGGTGATTCTGAGATAAATTGACTCACACCACCCACTGGTCCTCCCATGTCATACAGAACTCCTGAATGCTGACTAGCCCATGACCAAGACGGGCAGGGAACGTCTTTCTCCTTTTTTCCAGGGCTGGATCGATACCAACCGAGGCCTCTAATCATGCTATCCTCCCATAAGCCGGCGACATACGCAACACGACGTTTAAGGTATGTTGCTTTAGCAACGGCACTTATTGCTGTAAGCTTGTCCCTCTGGTATGTGAGTTGGCGCTTAGAGTACGTCTGTACAGCGCCTCTATACCACTCATTCCCAGTGCTTTCCATAGTCGAAGAATTACTGAATGTTAATACTGGATATTCACGCTCAGCATGCGCCTGTGGCAAATTATCCTCGCTTAGGCGACAATGATCGCACTCCCAATACAACTGGGACTCCGCAAAATACAGGATTCTGCTAGACAGTACTTGTTCTTGATATGTCCAGGCCCGCTGTGATAGAGGGCTGCCCTGAATGTCGATGCCAGAACGACCTGTCTTCAGTTCTACAACCGAATTGATGAACTTTTCGAAATATAGGTTGCTTGCAGAGCCGTCTTTCAAGCGACCTTGCACATTGATATAGTCAGAAAATGCGGTCCTGCCGTGCGCTCTGTTTGTGTTGAAACATCCATCATCACTGCTGGCGCTTTTTGATGCAGCGATCGTCAGGAGTCCACCTTGATAAATCTCGCCCATCTTGGCGGACTCAACTTTCCAATCGTCCTCACTGTCCTGAATGATGCAAAGAGCATCCACCCAGAGATATCCAATTCCGAGGGCAGCCACAATATCAACAGCGTCATTTATCGTAGCTGGGAGACTGCTACGCTCAATACCTCTGAGATGTTGTTCGATCGTATTCGTTTTCGTGAGCCAGATACCCGTTTGATTACCCCAGCAATAACTAAGCGCGGCATATGGATAGGCTCCACCATATGTATTGATAAGCTTTACTGTGGAAGCCGGCGGACCTGAGCCATGATGGCGATGAATCTCGAGTAATCGAGTTGGTCGCTTCGTCCGAAAAGGCGAGGCTCCAGAATCCGTATCGTTATTGTCCATAAGGGATTTGGTAGCATTTTGGCCGGAATCCCCATGCGCATGTCCACTTGTCTCAGTAGCCACACACTGATCGAGCCAACCTTTTGCAACTTGCAGGGAGCTGGGTGAACCCGTATGGACCCCGATCTTGCGCAGCCAGGGCATTCCCGAGTACATGGCAGGATCTCCTTTCTCGGTGAAACACAGCATATGTCTCCCATGTATACTTCTTTCTTTTCCTGATGGGTCATCTGACTCCAATTCTTCATATTTTCCTCTAAATTGTGCCTTGGTAAGTACTTCCACTGATACGTGTTTGGGAATGAAATGCAATTCTCGATGATCTGAGAAGTGGCCTTGGTCTCTGGGTGGTGAAAATGACAGTTTTAATTTGTATCTTCCAAGTGTCCAATTGATCATCTTGCGATCAAATGACTTCCTGAAAACGTTGCATAGTTCGCAACTTGCAGCTGATTCATTAAGCACGTCCAATGTTGAGTGCACATATCCACCTTTTAGGGACAAAGTCTCAATGTTGATGTTTCGGCAAAGCTCGCACAGAGTGCTTTCCGACGGGGGTGGGTAAGGTAAGGGAGTTGAGCTAGGTAGGGGGCCGGACTGCATGCTTCCTACAGCTCCGTAATGACTATTTGCAATGTGGCTTGGAATGAGTGGGTTGTTGCAAAGTGAAGCTAGAAAGTAGAATGAACCGTGAAGGGCAAAATGAATATCGTTTAAGCTTGAATATAGTTTGTAGCCGAATTAATCTGTAGTACAGCTGTGTAAGTACTTGGAGAAAAAGTTGACTTCGTCACTAGGAAGTGGGCAATTCGAAATCCATATGCATATGGACACAGCCTAGCTGTCAGCCACGTATACCAAAAAATCATACCCGGACGATTTGAACGTGGCTAAGTGCTATTCGCTTAAGCTTTTTTTAGAACTCGCTATCTCTGCGGCCTGTAAATCGTGGGTAATGATCAACAATGCTGGTCTTCCTTACAGCCAGCCTCAGATCTCCATTATCCTTCCCGAGACCTCTATTTGTCGACTTAGCCATTCCATTCATCTCCTTTTCCCCAACCTGCTTCTGCTGCACTTCATTTTCGCAGAACCCGACAGCTCTTTTCGAGCTGTACTAAATCAGTTTGTTATGGAGCGAACGAACCAAAGATGATGTGATTGTAATAAGCTTAGCGATGTGGCTCGTGCGGGAACACGAAAGTTGCAGCGTATCGTTTAACTAGACCTGTGCACAATATCTCAATTGCTTAGAGGCATCTTAAGTATCGCAGTGTACTGAGTCTTGTTGTAAGGTCAAGAAACAAACTTGAATATCAAACTTAAATACAATTTCAACGTGCCTGCTCTTGCTCGTGACACTTAGGCAGCGTGTATGGACAGTTTAGGCATCTGATACTATTCATACGCGCTACCTTGAGGGTCACTATCTGGGATGGAGATTGTCGAGCTAGTGAAGGTTGTGCATCGAACAGAGAGAGACGCTCCCGTGTACAAGAGGCCCATCTTGAGTCACGGAGATGCGGTGGGGCTAGGCTTAAGGACGAGAGGACTTCAGAATATCCTGTCCGTAAGGGATGATCGAACTTTGTGAATTATACCTCGATCTCGAGTCATTGACAAGTCTGGCGAAGATTGATCTCGCCGTGCTGATGAGTCTTCCAGCATTAGAGCGGGACCGGATATGCGCCTCGGAGTGCACGCCTGGTCACCGACGGCATGCGCGACTTTTCACCGAACATGACTGTTGAAACGGCAACGAAGCTCAGATGTCATCATATAAGACCATGTACCCCCGGATCCGCTATGCGAGCCTCATCCCGACCTCATCGTCATGCCCGAACTCATGAACGACGCAGAGAAAGCCGTGCCTGTCGGTGCGCCAATGACGCCCGAAGCAATCGTTTCGCAGCCGCCCAACACATTGAGCAAGACTGAGACCAGAGCGTCAGAGATGTTCGACAGTATACCCATGTGGCGCAAGTATGTCATCGTCTTCGCGACGAGTTGGACAACACTCGCTGCATGCTTCTCGAGCACTTCACTCCTCAGCGCAAGCACCGAGATAGCAGTAGATCTGCACACTACTCCCGAAGTCGTCAGTCTCTCAACAGCAGGCATGCTTTTCGCCATCGGGTTGAGTTCGTTTGTGTGGAGTCCTATAGCTGCGGTGAGTCTTCATAGCAGTATTGCCTACGACAACGTTGGAGCTAAGTAACATAGATTGTGGGGCGAAAGTTGGCATACAATGCTTGTGTCGCGGTACTATTCAGTCTTACCATTGGTGCCGCTGTTGCACCAAATATGCCCGTGTTCGTCACCATGCGCGTGCTGTCTGGCTTGCAGGGTTGTTATTTCCATGTTGCTGGTCAGACTATCATCGCAGAGTACTTTCCACCTGTAAGTAGTCCACCCACATTCCGACATGACAAATGCTGATATCAGATACTCTGGCGTAGGTGCAACGTGGTACTGCGAATGGCTTCTTCCTTGCTGGAACAGTCCTAGGACCACCTCTCGGTCCTTTGGTGGCGGGCATCATGATGACCTACTCGACTTGGCGTAGTGTCCTGTGGCTGCAAGTCGCAATGGTCGGTCTGGCTTTCATGCTCGCGCTATTCTTCGTCCCAGCGAGTAGGACAGATGCGCCGGCGCTTACGTTGAACTTGCGTGGACGGACTGCGCTGGCTCAATTCAACCCACTGCCAGTCTTCAAGCAGATGACTTACCCAAATATCATCATGACGGTACGCAATATGCAATGGCGTTCCTAAACAAGTAAAGAAGCTGACCGTCTTCATCAGCATTTGAGTTGTGGCTTCCTTAGCTGGTCGCAATACTCAATCCTTTCCGCACCTCGGCATATCCTCGTTACCCGCTTCGGCCTTACATCTCCACTGTCCTCCGGCCTGTTCTATCTCGCGCCAGCGACCGGCTTTTTGCTTGGCACAATAGTTGGAGGACGCTACTCGGACATGACGGTAAGGCGATATATTAAAATACGTGGTGAGCGACTACCACAAGACCGGTTGAACGCGGGGATGCTATCTTTTTTCCTGGTGATTCCCACAGCGTCTCTCGTGTATGGATGGGGTCTGCAATATGGGCCGACGTCAAGAGCTGCTCTTGCACTACCGATCGTAACGAGCTTCTTTACGGCGGCTGGACTCCTGGCCGCTTTTGCGAGCTTGAACACGTATTGCGCTGAAGCGTTTCCGAAAAGGAGGAGAGAAGTAATTGCGGGCAAGTACCTTGTCCAGTACACATTCTCGGCTTGCTCAAGTGCTGGTGTGGTGCCCTTGATGGAGGCTATCGGCATCGGCCCAACTGCTACCATCAGTACCGTGCTGGTATTGGCGGCTGGTGGGTTAACGTTCGTAACGGCTAGGTATGCCAGCTCCATGGTTGAACGAGTGGATGCAAAGGATGCTCGTCCTCGAGCAGCATGGAGTTGGCCGAAGATGATTTCAACGGAAGCAGTGTTTCCTATCGCCACGATTGGTCCTCGGCGTTAGATTGTGTACACACGAGTGCCTTATTCAATGCATTAGTCAATCTAGTTGCGAAGATCCAGTCCATCCGTGCATTGTTTGTTCAGATATCTCCACCCACTCCCCAACCGTCCGCCCACCAGTATGGTGTCTGCAATTCATCAAAAGCAGGGTTACTGAAAGCTTGAAGATCTAAATCGGACTCGGAAAGAAAGTACCGAAGGGATGGATCGGCAAGAGCCATACCAGCGGTCATTGCGTCGCTGGAAGGAGGAAGCAATTGCTCCGCACTGGCCACAGACGTTTGTTGTGGTCGACTTAGCGCAAAGCTGGTATCTGCCACAAGTTGCATACTCTGCTCTATCGCATCCATATGCTTAACGAACTCTTTCGCGCCATAGTTACCGCTTTGAGCAAGCTGTCGCAACAACTCCACCGCGTTGTTGAAATCGTCACCGTCTGCTTGACTCCGCGGTGACTGCAGAAGACTAGAAATAGCGAGGACCGTAGTAGCTGAGAAGAGGTATTGCGTGTCGAAATAATCCAGCGTAGCCAAGGATCCATGAATCCAGGCTTCCGTAAGGATGCGATAACTGTGACGCGCGCATTGAATGCATGTTTCGGCAAGTGCGAGAGCGCCCTCAGGAAGGTTGCGTTTGGGATCGATAGTTGGATTCGACCATGACTGCTTGTGGCTGCGGAGAACATGTAGAAGTATCGGTCGTGTGGCAAGAATACAGCACTGTCAAGGTCAGCTTGAGTTTAATGTGATCATAGTAAACAAACCTGGTTGAAGCGCAGATGTATGTAGACAATGTGGATAGGTGCTGAAGTGTCGTTGTCCTTGAGATGAAACTTAACTGGCAGGTCGTCCATCCATCTGGTGAGATCCTTGAGCATCGCCTGAACCCTTTTAGAAAACGAATCGTGATGGTTTCTTCTACTGTAGATAGCTCGTGTCAATCGAGCAGCAAGTTTGGCCAACTTGATGCTATTTAAGCTGTAATCAGTGTCGCCAAAATCGCCTTCTTCTGCAGCATCGAGACCGTCACTACTGGGAAAGTCTACCATGATATCTTCATCAGCAACAGATACAGGAAGACCAAGTTTTGATGCGCATGATCTATCAAGAGCATATGCAGACCACCATAGCCTCACGCGATGCTCTCTCGCAAGCCGATCAGGGCACTGATGTTCAGGTATGTTCATATTCATGCCCATGATAAGACCAAGTCTACAGGCAGAGCTTGCGAAGATGTAAGCCGAATGGCGACGATTGACCGTAAAGGAATAAAGAACCTTGCAGGTGTTAGAGAATGTTTCCGTTTCATGTTTTGCGTACCACAAACCAATAGTAGGGTGACCTCTATGGTGTCCATCTGCGGCCGCTCGGCAGGAATGCTAATCATCCTTCTTGCTTGAGCAAAGTAGGCTAAGCCGGGAAAGGCAGCATCCATGGAAGCATGTTTGGCAGAATACACTTCACCCAGGGCGAAAAGTGCTAGAAGCTTACAGATGACTACCCGGTTACCATTGCCGTTGTTCTTGATGGCGTCTTCCAGAATTCTCGTGACCTGGCTCTTGCGCACGATATGGTAGTATTGGCAGACTGTGGACAAGGCTACTTTGACCAAAAAACGTGCTCTTGCAGGTGACGGCCAACTAAAAGGGGCTTGAGACGGCAGCATCAGGTAATCGTCTTGTACGTGGTCCATTCGAGGCAGATGCTTGGTATTTCCTACGGCAAGGGTCTGGCGAAATCTTGTCGCAAATGCTGCGTCGGCAGCTTCTCCAACGTGGATAGGTACATGCTCGGAAGAAACTGCATGGAACCAAGGCCTATCCTCAAGTAGTGGATTACGCACGGCTTCATTCACAGCTGTGTTGCTTTCGAGAGCTTCTTCGACGGGAACAGCAGCCTGAGCGGACCCGGAGGGTCCGCTACGTAGGCGCTCGAGATCCTTCAAACGCTCGTAATCCTTTAGCAGCTCATTCAGGTGATGTTCACTGAGCTTGATCTGTCGGTCGCGCGCTGGATACACGCAAGGCGTCGTTTCAGCGGTATCGCGGCAGTTTGAGCATGGGTGGCCTCCCGAGCATTTCACTTTGCGCGAGTGACATCTTTGGCAACTACAAACATTAATGATTTCCCAAGAGCATGTGCAACGACGAGTCATCTTACGCGACTGGCTTGCTGCCCCTCTTTTGCACTGAACTAGCCCTCAAAGGCTGTGTTGGTGAGCTCGTCGGTGGCATGCTGAAGGTTGCCGAAGAGTCAGCAGTGGCGAGGTCGGAGGTTTGTTGGCGAAGCCGAGAACGTTGGAAAAAACCGCTCACACGGCGAATGATCACGCACGCCGCCGAGGCTAGCTTTCATTACCATCGCCGAACACGCAGCGGCGAGCTTGTGGCATCTGGGTACCAAATGCTTACGTAGGCACCTTTTTCGAGAGTGCTAGCTTAGGTTGTCCTTGTTTACGATACGTTATTGTCCCCACCTCTTCCGTCTTTCTCATCCGCTATTCGGCTCACCTTCAGCTTGGTCTTACGTACTCGCACTCGCGCTTCCAGACTTCTCATACATTCTAGAAGACTTTGGATGTGACTCCTCCATGCTGATGTACGCCCGCAAATATTGCAGAGCGAGGCTGCATGTTGACTGTATCCATTTGTTGTGTAACAAAGCAAATGAGTCTGGAATGTGCGCAGCGGCTGGCAGTTGCGCTAAGAACTATCTGAATCACTGCTAATGATGTGTTTTCGTACAGACACTTTTTTCTTCACCTATTTCTTACCTCGAGTGCTCTCCCTCCGATGGAATGAAGTTTTCAAGCTTACCCCAAGTGAGTTCGTCGGCTTCTCAAATATCCTGCATACGAAGATTGAGCAGTGGCATGTGGCCGACATTGACTTGGGGTGTTTTATCTTCGACCTTTCCATGGTGCTTGGTGGCGCACACATGGGTTTTTGAGATGTGCGTAGTTGTTGTTGGTTTTGTAATGTACGGTACTAATTTGCATACTATCCTTCTTATATACATGGAACAAAGACGGATTACACGGTTCGATCACATGCATACATAAGCAGTAGGATAATTGCGGTTCCTCAACTGTCAGACTCCTCATCGCTGGTGTGAAAGGCTACGCCGGTGAGTGCCAAACGATGATCCAATAACATCTGTCTATATATCCTCTCGTATTCCATACCCCTCGCCACTTGACCACTAAACGGATCAAAGAAGACTATGTTGTCAGCAGCGAAAGGCCAGAAATGCTCATTCGTAGCATCACCCCAATTCCAGAACCCATCCTCACAGACCACGTGAATTTCCTCTACATTCTTGAAGTTTACGAGTCGTCGTGACTCAAAATGATACCAAGACTCATCACTGTTTTCGCGCTTAAACTTGAGTCGCCTGATGTTCAATGCAATTGGTTCCAAATTCTCGAGACGGAAAGTTCCAATGTCCACCATGTCGATGTCAAAGTTCAACCAGACATATCGCCGCTCGATGCTTGGTCCGTCGATGCCAGTCACATCGAGTTTCTCGATAAGGTACACACCAGATAGCCTGCGCTCCTCGTGCGGATCAAACGGACGTGTATTGATGGCGGTGGGTTCAGGATTGCTTTGATGATGGCGATTCACACGGAGTTCGGGACTGCTCAGGTTGGGAGGAGGCGAAGGACTGGGAGGGATCTCGAACCCGAAGCCGTTCCAGTACGTGTACTTACGCGGCTTGGTATCCTGTTGAGTGCCAATATCGAAGAAAGCTCGTTGATACAACCTCTGTAACTCATCTCGGGCCACTCTGCAGCACTGTAGCGGTCCAGGCACCGGCGTGGACGATATCAATAAGCGATTCTTAGTGGGCCCCCTGCGTTCGATGCGAACCTCGACGGTGCGCGGCTCAGCAGTGCACCTCCATATCTGCCTCTGAAGCTCCAGTGGTAGTAGAGGGAATGGGTGGAAAGTGGACATGATGTTGCGCAATGACCGAGTATGCTTGACTTGTCGCTAGTAGCCCGATGAAGCGGCCAGCACAACAGGTTGATATGCTATCTCACTAAGCAATATGTACAATGATCGAATACGGCGTAACAAATGTTCTGTTAACAGAATTCCCGTAGGATGCGGCTCAGCTTTATCAAGCCTGCTTCTACGACGAGGCTGATGCAGGTACTGAATGCGGGTATCCAGGGGCAAGAGGCCGCTAGTTTACTTCGGGCGCAACGCACGAAACACAACACTACCCATATTCCCCTTCTTGGCACCTTCCAAAACAAGCCTTCTTTCCGCCGCGCCGCATGACCCACACTGCCGGGTAGCGTGAACGTGAACGAACCGCGGGCGACTACATACAACATGTCAAATTTCACTCATGCACTTGGCATCTTGACAGTGGCGCAGCGGAATGAGCAGGACGCCACCGCGAGTCAACCAGCGGCCTTGCCGAATTGGCTGGCAAATCCGCAGGAAGCAGCTGCTTCGCACAGACTCACTGTAGCCGGGAGCCTAGATGTCTCGCTGAAGGATTCTCGATATTGCCTTGCAAGGCTCGGTTGACTTGCGTCCTAAAAGCCGGCATCAGCAGTCAAAAGATGACTCGAGCTATCGCATCGCCTTACGCCAGAGCCGGATCTTGTCTCTTCTGTTCAACTCCAGCAAGAGTGCTATACATATCCCCATCATTTGCTTCCATCTCTCAGGGAAATCGGTTTTGAGCTTCGTCCATCGGCTGCTTCCCCTCAAGCTAATCTGCATGATGAGGACCGCTTTCGCAATGTTGTTTGTGGCCTTTGTTCAGCGAGTAGCTTCCTCACGCTATCCGCTACTCCAATGGGACCCTGAAACGGTCGAGGACTGCATCGAGTGGTACGACAACGGCCAAGGCAAGACTTGCGATTGGGTGCGCGAGCTGTACGGCTGTAAGTCCCCTTCGCACAGCTGATGACTTACTCATACTGATACTGTGCCTTATCACCCAGACACTGCAGCAGAATTTAGCGAATGGAACCCTTCAGTCGGCCTTGATTGCAAACCCTGGGGGGATTGGCAATCCTACTGTGTTATCACGCAAAGGAAGTATGACAGCATCCATCCAACGACGACCTCCTCCAAGGTGATCACCACCACCAGCACAAGCCAAGCTCCTTCTCTTGGGCCTTCCCCTACCTCCTGGGAAGCCTTGGGATGCTACGCTCAGAACCCGAATCGCCCAATCCTCGAGAAGAACATGAACCTCAACGGAGATACGTCTCTAAGCGTTCCCAAGTGCAAGAACAGCTGCTACCGCCGCGCCTATCCTTTTGCAGGAGTGCAGGAAGGGAATCAGTGTTGGTGCAGCAGCAACGTGGCTGGTGAGTGGACCAAGAACCAGACTGACTGCAATATACCCTGCACTGGTAACAAAGCGGAGTTTTGTGGAGGCAAAGGCGTCATCAACGTTTTCAGAGCATTGCAGAACGCTGTGCCAGTCATAACGACCAGTGTAACTAGCGCCACTGTGATCAGCATCAGTGTAACCAGCACCAGTGTCAAGGCAGCTGCCGCAAGCAATAGCGCTATCAGGAATAGGGCCATTATTGGGATACTTTATAGGGCTTGTTGTCTGTGATCAAGAACGACTTCATACATACTGCGGTAGAGTATATCCATGGCTACATATAATCTAACACTATCACTTGTATCGAGCGACCGTTCTGGTGGAGCAACTCCAAGTTACTCTACCAGATTAACTATAGTGTGATTGAAGCTTGGCTCTTCACGAGGGTAATTAGTCTCGATTAAGTCAAGATCTTCGTATAGTTTCAATCGGTCCGACACGACCCTATCGAGCCTGCGTGTTCGGGATAAATCATTTTTCACTAATGATTGGTCATGATCGAAGCTGCCTCGGGGAGGCTGGCGTGACTAGCGCCCACTTTACCGGTGTCGTCCATACGGCCGTAATGGGAGAATCTCAACCGCCGCGACAATAGGCTCCAGAAAAGCGTAGGGCTTTCCTCTCAAACACTGGGCAATACTTCGGTAAAGCGCGGGGTTCTTCAGCAATAGCATACCTAGGTATGTCTGCATATTACTAAACAATGTCCACTGGTACCGGACAATGCTGCACGGTGTTAGTCTGAAACCTTATGTACCTGCTCGAAAAAGATACAAAATCAGCCAAAGCCCCAACTCTCTGGTGGTAGAATCGGGCTTACTACAACCATTCGTCTTCCTAATTATTCATCAACGACTATCTGTAAGCACTCATGATGGCAACAACCACATCTCCGGTGTTGGTAACGGGGGCAGCGGGTCGAGTCGGCAGTGTTGGAAGGCGTGTCGTTGAAATCCTGCGAAAGTCGGGTCAACCAGTTCGCGCGTTGGTCCGTCGCGATGATGAACGCGCAGAATATCTTCGCGGCCTTGGTGCTGAAGTGATCATCGCCGATCTTAGGAAGTCAGAACAGGTCGCACCAGTTGTCGAGGGATGTAGGCTCGTGTTCTTTAGCACGAGTGTTGCCTCTGATTATCTGATGGCCTCGGTGGTCATGACGGCAGCTGCAAGAGCCAATGCCGGGATTGAGCTTCTAGTCAACCTTTCTCAAATGACAGTTTCGAGAATGGACCTAACAAAGGTTACCGATTCACCCCAGCAAAGGGTTCATTGGCTAGCTGAACAGGCACTCAACTGGTCTGGAGTCCCCGTGGCACACTTACGTCCTACCGTGTTTCAGGAGAGCCCTTTTTTCTGGGGACTACCCGCCAAGTCTATTGCAGACGCTGGCATAATCGCCCTACCGTTCGGACGAAGCCACACCAATCCAGTGGCCGCCAATGATGTTGGAGAAGTCGCCGCCGCAATGCTACTAGAGCCATCCAAGTACGTTGGAAAGACAGTTGAGTTGACTGGACCGCGATCCGCCAGCATGTACGACCTTGTTGAGGAGTATTCCTCAGCGCTAGGTCATCCTGTACGTTACATCGAGGTTCCCTTAGAGAGTTGGTTGGAGGAATCCCGCATGCAAGGTCGTCTTCCCGAACACGTTTTGCAGCATGTAACAACGATGGCTAAGCTTCACACAATGGGGGAATACGATCGAATAACAGATGCAGTATTAGAGATACTTGGTCGTCCAGCTGCAAGCATATCGGAGACAATAAAGGCTGGTCATATTCCCTTCGCACCTTTATCCTTGTAGAGAACTGAGGCTCTTTGTCTCTACACTTTCAAGCTCAATGGCGTGAGTCATTGCAGAATAGCGACTCTAGCTATCAATGTAGACACCCTTTATAAGACCACGTTCAATTTTCTTGTATGAGCTATATCAGTATCCAAGGCATTCGATTTTGCGTACGTAGGAGTAAGACAATGGCTGTAAGCTCCTAACGTAATAAGGCCCACCACCTTACAAGCTGTAATAAATATATCTATATATATATCACGTTCTGTTGCTAAGGTATCCCAGTAGAAGAGTAAACAGAAAGCTCTGATATTCACATATAGGAATAACGCTCAAAAACCTTAGCTACATTTCTTGCATGGATAATCCCTTTGCTTCTCATAAGGACCGCCACAAATATCCGGCTCACCCAGTCCACTTTGCGCTTCTCTGAGAGTTGCAGATGTGTCATTCATTCACGTCGGTTGATAGTGTCTAGCTACCAACGATTGCCTAGCCGATCTCTCCAACAGCTGTTGGTCAAGCTGATGATGTTGTTCGGCCGAGTAATTTGGCCACTTTCGTTATCTCAAAACTGATGCCTAATCTTCGTCTTCTTGGGGTAAGCCGAAGTTGATTTACCCCGCGCAAGCAGCCAGCCTCTCGTTCAAGTCCAGTCCTTCCTTCCTCCGACCAGAATCTGAATCCTAAGGAATGACTTAAGGGAAGCTTCCATCGGCTCTGCGTTGGCTCTGCAGCGAACGAGCACCTGCAAAACGCACACTGCGGCGACTTTTACTTATGTCTGACGCCAAATTAGACTGCAGAATACGCAGAATTGGGCAATCGCATTTTGTAAGCCTACAATGCATCAGATGGAGGACGTACGGACCCGAAAACATGTTTTCATTGATGCCGCAATCGACAACAACGAGCCGGAGCTACTGGAGCATGTACTGAAGATCAATGCGCAAGAGCGCATGGAGGATTACGAAAATCGAAGACTTGTAGAAGCCGCCACCAGAAAGAACTCCATACCATGCCTACGCTATCTCATCGAACACGGCCTCAGCATTGAGCATATTGATATCTCGGGTGGGGAGGTCTCAATCTCGACTCTCGAGTTCTTGCTTGCTCATGGCTGGGACATCAACTCGACAGGCCCTCCAAGGTCTTATCGTAGTCCTTTCATGTGGTCTTGTATCCATGACCGCGAAAAGCTTGTATGGTGCTTAGAGCACGGCGCCAGTCTTGCGACGCCCTGGCAGGAGCCGCATAGGAAACCACACGAGCCAATACTCGACAGAGTCGCATGGGGTGGCGACATCGCGACATTCGAGTTCTTACGTTCCAAGGGTGCTCCTCTAGGACCTTGTACGCTGCATCAAGCCGTGTTGCGCGCAGCATTTTGTCATGATTTTTCAGACGACCCAGAAAAGGATGATGAAAAGCAACGGCAAGGCAGAGCGCAGTATACCCAAAGTATGGCTATGGTCCGCTATCTGATTGATGTGGTGGGCTTGGATGTCAACAAAGAGGACTTTCCGCCTGACACCAAATGGTTACAAGGCGTATGGGGGACGCCGTTGCTGTACATCGTGTTGGTTGACCCGGAGGCAGAAAGGAACGCACGTGACCTAGTATGGTTTCTGCTTGACCGAGGCGCTGATTCAAAGCCGGCACTCGTGGAGGCAAAGGCGTTCGGTGGCCGTGCGGCCTTCACAGAGTGGGTGGAGGCTTGGGAGCAAACTAAAGAAGGGAAGAAAGATAAGAGTCAATGCACTATCCAGTGAATATTACGGCCTTCATGTCTCTTCTTTTGTCAAGAATGTACTTCTGATTGTGGCAACTGCTGGACGAGCATGCTAAAGCTACTTGGTATTACCAGACACCAGACTAGGCTACAGATCAATCTGTATCATAACATTCACACAACTGCAGCTATCGCGCAAATGATCTCGAGCACTACCTAAGTACCACGTAGACGCTTTGAAACCAGCACGAGAGCCCAAAATTCACTATACCTAGGGAAGTATCGTACGATGCTCAGTTCCCACTCCCTGCAAGGTCACAAATACCACCTCAAGATCGCCAGCCAACCCCTTCGCCACAAGAGCTTCCGCTTCCCTGACATGGTCGAAGATACGTTTCCTCCCCCACAGGCCCTGAAATCGCTTCAGATACAGTTTGCGCAGTCCCGTTAGTCTTGTCAAACGTCCGAGGATCTGTACCAAACAATCCTTTCCATCAGGATAGTTCGCCCAGAGCGGCTCGACAACAAGTGTCGTAATCGCTTCCATCTGAGCCAGCTTGCGGGATTGAAAGAAGCGATCAATACTTCTAATGGATGGGAACTGGAATATGTTTTGCGAATACACAAGCGTAGCAGTTTCAGAGTATACTTGACGGCAGACGCGCGGCAGAGTGAACTTGCACCCTTGCGGCCAAGAGACGGAAACGCCGCTGGTGGTGTGGACTACGGTGGCCCACGTGCTGTATCCTCTGAAATCACCATAGACTATGTGCATACCGCCGAGAGCGTACTTGAATATCTCGGTCCGCAGTTCACCGGGAAGATGCAGAAGGGGAGTCTGCGAGTTGAACTCGACGCTTCGATTTGTATCAGACGTGTGTCGAGTTAAAGTATCATATAAAAAGTGGACTTACATGGAGACAAACTCATCGGGTATGTTTCGTAATGAGACTAGACCGCCACGAGTACGGTAGACACGCTTCTTTTGCCGTAAACGATTCGAAGTAGGGGAGCGTTCAAGACGTTTTCGCAGGGAGTAGCGGGCCGTAGAGCTGAGCTGGGTATCGCCGTCTGCAGATATCGAGTTGGCCATCGTGTCGGAAAAGTCGTGTGGTAGCCTGCGTTGACTGGATTGAGGTCGAGTCGAATGTGTAGAGTTCGATCGGAAAAGGGGGAATATATAGGGACAACAGGCGATGATCATATGTCCGCCGTTGATTCTTCGGTAATGCAGCTATATGAATTGAAGAAAGTGACCATGCACCCGCGTGATAGGCCGTGAAACTCGAAACAGTCGGTGCCTAGAGTTCATCACTGTCACACGTGCAAGTCAGCCCAACTCCAATTACAAGGACGAGCAATATAAATCTTGCAAGTCATTTTAGACCTATGATAGCCTATGTGAATATCGGCCGTTGTAAGTAGCTCCTCTGTAAGGGGTCATTGCCACAATATAGTTGACCAGATAGCAATCAAGGTATGGTTTGCTTCACAACCGTTACCGTCTAGCAAGAAACGTCTCGTTTCCCAAAGACTCTTGTCTTTCGATTGATCTTGTCAAACTTCAAGATATTTGACCGAAAGCTACTCATCTACCACTTCTCCCGCTGCTCTCAAAAGAAACTTGACAACCGTGTCAGGCTGTGAAAGATACGGACTGTGAGAAGCAGCGACCCGGTCAATCTCTACATCTGCTCCTGCTGCTTTCACGCCCTGTATCATTGCGTCTTGCGCACCAGCTGGCAACGCTCTATCCTCCTCGCAAACCATGTAAGCAACGGGGATCTCTCTCCAAGCTGCGGGCGATTTCATCTTTCCTTGTAAAGCCCCCAGCGCATGAGGTCGAAGTGCGGCAATCATCTCCTCTGCCTCTTCTCGTGGGACATCATGGTACAATCTATCGACCAAATCTGCCTGGAAGCTGACGTTTCCGTCCTGTGTGGAATAGTCAGTCATGCTATCAAGATTGTAATGAGAATCGTTTTTCTTACGGCGTCAACAACCCACTCGTTCGGCAAACCACCTATGATATCAACGAGACTTGTACCCTCGGAGGTGATGAACGAAGTTATATAGGTCAACTTGACAACTCCTCCAAGCAAGCCAGCACGCTGCCTCGCAATGGTTCCCAAACCATGAAGAGCGCTGGATACAGGGATACCAGAATAGCTATGAGCGTTTGTAACGACGTTCTTTCCAGCGTCTAGCTCTTTCAAGACTGCGCTTCTTATCACCGCGATATCCTCATCGAGATCTGTTGTCGGCGGCACCCTCCCTACGCTTGGTAACTGAATTGCAACACATTGATAGCCCAGGTGCTCAAGTCTGCCAACGACCTTGTCGAAAAAGTTGGTTGAATGCCATGCTCCGGGGAAGAACAAAAAGACCGGCTTCGTCATGCTGAATCACGTCGAATGAAGAGGGTGGCTTACAGCTTCTTTTCTTATCACCCTGGAAAATAGGGTGTTCTAACAATGCAAAGTCGAGCAAAGACTGTTTACCTAAATATAGTCTCGGACACAAGCGGCGTTCTCTCTGTCGAGATCCGATGCCGAGGAAAGATCACCATGTTGCGTAATCACACAACTTCGGACCGAGAAGCTAGTCATGTCAAGATTCGATAATAAGACTCTGGCGAATCTAAAAGGAAACGTACAGCGCCCACTCATGAACGCTGTGTGATTAGATGATGTTTTGGTACGTTACATGTCTAAGAACAACATGGAACATGTCTTGTAGTAGTAGGCTCGGTAAACAAGGGAAAGACTGCTGAGTTGGCGAATCGAAACGTTCTGCATACGTGTTATGCAGGAACCTACTGCATGTGCGTACTATGAGGTGTGCCCATGACTACAGACTTGAGACGCGTGGTTCGAGTTTGGTCAGAAATGTCTAGCTTAGCAAGGTTAAGCCTTTGACTTGGCGAATAAGCCTTCCCTTTACGGAACACATTCTTTCTCTACACAAATTATGGAAGAAAAAGCCGCCGTCGCAGGGCAAATTAGAACATACCCGAAAGCACCTCGACAAGTCACAAGGAGACCTAGTGTGTAATGTCATGTTATTGTGTCATGCAGGAATATCAATGAACTGTCGTAACCGCTCGTTGTGTCTAGTCTACCCTCTATCCGCCTCTGTGCTACTAACAGAACAGGGACGTCATACCCCCCCATCTTCAAGACCCTTCCATCACTAAACATTGTAAGCCCGTTCCAAAACATCGGCAGCCAATCACACAAACAATCCCACCTCATTCACGGCACACAAATCCGCAGACTGCCGGAGATGCTCAATACACGTTGAGAGAATTCTTTCTTGTTGCTAATACATGCCGTTCATATCAAAGTTTGGTCCATTCCCAATTCTACGTGGTTTCCGATCATCATCCACCACCCCTACCTCTCTTACTCATCAATCTCGCTCTAATCACAGACACTCACTCACACACACACACTCTCTCTCTGTCCCCCTCTACATCTCTCACTTCACAACCCTCTACTACTTACTCAATCTTCATCTTCTCAAACTGTCCAATACTAGCCTCCCAATTCCTCGCTTCCAACTCCGCCGTCCTCAACTTCTCCCTCTCCTGCTCTTTAACAGCATCACTAACTTTGCTTTCCCACTCATCATCCATAATCTTCTTCTGGCGCGCAATCGTCTCATTAGCCTTGTTCAGCCGGTCTGCCGCCTTGGAAATCTCTTTATCGAGCTCAATGCGACCCTTAACGTCGAGGTACGCCGTCGCAGACGTGCCAATGGTGTAGACGGCGCAGCCAGACGGTGCCGTATCCGTGGGCGACAGGATCGTAATGTCGGCCACAGTCTTTCCGGCAAGCGAGCGGATGGAAGGGAGGGAGGTCGGGGTTGTGAGGGTGGCGTGGGTGGCTTGGGTGAGGGATTGGATATAGGTGGCTGCGCCTTCTTTGATGGCGTATTCAGCCGTCAGCGAACGCAGACCCTTTGCGCTGTCGACAAGGAGCTCGTATTCTGCGTTTGCGGTCGCGTCTTCAAAGTCTGGTGTGTACTGAGGGAAGGGTGCAATAGTGATTGAGGGCGTCTTGTCGCCTTGTCGGCGAGGGAGACGCTGCCAGAGCTCCTCTGTCAGGAAGGGCATGAAGGGGTGGATCATGTTGAGACCCCCCTCGATGGCGGTGTAGAGTGTCTGTTTCGCGCTTTCCTTCTGCTCTTCGCTACCTTCGTCGAAGATGGCTTTGCTGTTCTCAATGTACGTGTCGCACAGGTACTCGTAGAAGTACTTGTAGGCGGTCTGGGTGGCAAGACTGAACTCGCGTGCCTCCAGATGATCGTTGATCTTCTTGGCGGCAACATTGAGCTGATGCAAGATGTATCGCTCAGGTAGTGACTCTGAACCTCCCTTCGTGACCTTCTCCCGAGGGGTGAAGTCTTCTCCCAGACGTCCAATGACGTACTTCGTGGCCTGATAGATCTTGTTGCAGAACCTGCGGTATCCGTGGATAACCTAGATCAATGAGTCAGCATACATTCCTGAGGGCAGAATATTGGAAATTACTTACGTTCACGTCAAAGGAAATATCTCCTCCTCCGGTGGTGTATCCAACAAGGGCCATGCGCAACGCATCAGCGCCGCATTCAGGAATACCCTGGGGGAAGGCAGTTTTTTGATACTTCTCCGCCTTGGTCAACTCCTTGGGGTCAAGGTTGCCCGCACGAAGCTGGTCGTGCAGCTTTTGCAATGTGATACCATCCATGATGTCGACAGGGTCTACAACGTTACCCAGCGACTTGGACATCTTTCTGCCCTCGGAGTCACGAATGAGCGAATGACAGTATACCTCCTTGAACGGAACCTTTCCGGTAAGGTAAAGCGACAGGAAGATCATTCTGGCAACCCAGAAGAAGAGAATATCCCATCCAGTCTCTAGAACAGATGTGGGGAAGAGCTTGTCCAAGTCGGCTGTCTGGTTGGGCCAGCCCAGGGTGGAGAACGGCCACAGACCAGAGGAGAACCATGTATCGAGGACATCCTCGTCCCGCGACAGCGTAAACTTCTTGCCAGGGAACTTCTTCTCCGCCTTCGCTCGTGCCTCCTCTTCTGTCCGGCCAGTGATCCAGCGTTCATCTTCCGTTCGGTCACCTGCCTCGCCTTCGATTTCAACGAAATAAGCGGGGATTTGGTGACCCCACCATAGCTGTCGTGACAAGCACCAGTCTTGGATGTTGTTCATCCAATGCATATAGACTTTTTCTGAGGTTGCGGGCCTGATCTTGATATCACCCTTCTCGACAGCCTCGATGGCGGGCTTGGCGAGACTGTCCATCTTCATCCACCATTGCGGCTTCATGATGGGCTCGATGACATCTCCAGACCTTGAACAGATCGGCACCTTCATGGGGTTGGGTTCCGTCTTGACAAAGAGTCCCTCCTTCTTTAGCGCATCGACGACAGTGTAGCGGACATCAAAACGCTTGCTTCCTTCGAACTGACCAGCGTTCTTGTTCATGGTTCCGTTATCGTTCAGGATGTTGATGAACTCGAGACCATGCTTCTTTCCCAGGTTGAAATCGTTGGGGTCGTGCGCTGGTGTGAGTTTCACAGCACCAGTACCAAACTCGGGGTCAACATATTCGTCGGCGACAATGGGCATGAGGCGGTCGATAAAGGGATGGCGAGCCTTCTTGCCGACGAGATCCTTGTAACGGTCATCCTTGGGGTGGACAGCGATACCAGAGTCACCCAACATGGTTTCGGGACGGGTGGTAGCAATCTCGATGAATTGGTCGGTGCCTTCGATGGCATACTACAGAATATCAGCAGATGCATCTTGGTTTGTACAGTTTGTCATACCTTGAAGTGTGTGAGGACACCAAACTCTACCATTCTCTCATACCCAGGCACGGACAACTTGGTAGGACCCGCTAGATCTTTGTTGTCGACCTCGAGTGTACTAAGCGCCGTGTTGAGAGCCGTGCACCAGTTGACCAACCTGTTACTACGGTAAATCAGACCATCTTCATGCAGACGGACGAAGGTCTCGGTAACAGCCTTGGAGCAGTTCTCGTCCATGGTAAAAGCCTCGCGCGACCAATCGAACGAACCACCCATTCTCCGCAGTGTGTTTGTGAGGTGCTGATGGTACTCTTCTTTCCATTCCATGGTCCTCTCAAGGAACTTTTGACGACCAAGGTCGTATCGCGTCTTGTTTTCCCGTCGCTTGAGCATCTTCTCTACAACGGACTGTGTAGCGATACCTGCGTGATCGCAACCAGGCAGGTACAGAGTAGTGTAGCCTCTCATCCTATGCCACCTGATGAGAACATCCTGTAAACTCGTAGCGAGAGCATGTCCACAGTGCAGCTTTCCAGTAACGTTAGGCGGCGGGATGGGAATGACAAAGTGGCCCGGACCCTTGTTCTCACCGTTCTCGGTGAACTGAGGCTTGAAGAAGCCCTGAGAGTCCCACCATGCATCCCACGCCGACTCGACGACCTTGGGAATGTATGCCTTTGTGTATGGGTCGTCCAGGGGCTTCAGCCTCTTCTTCTCGCCCTTTGGGGTTTCCTCGACGTACGCGGGTAGTTGTTCCTCCTCCTTGCCCTTCTTCTTCTTTTCCTTGGCTGGAGCGGCGGCGCCGTCTTTGGCGGCACCGGCGGCTGCTGCCTTCTTTGCCTTGAATTTTGCATCCTTCTCAGCCTTCTTGCGCTCCTTCTCCAGCTCCTTGGCCGACTTCTCCTTCTTCTCTACGCCCTTTTCGTTCTCACGGCCGGGGGCATGTTGGCCGGTAGCGTCGTGTTCAGCAGCACCCAGGATGTCCTTCTTGACGTCTGCGCCGAGCTCGGGTGGTGGCGCAGTGTTGGGCGCCGTCTTCTCGCCGGTCGAGTTGTGCGAGGACGCGTTGAGCGCCATGGTTGCGGTCGAGTAGGGGCGCTCGGCGTGAAGCGGGGTGTAGGTTCGCGATAGAGTGCGGATTGGGGACCTCAATTGCAACTGGCGCCTTGTGAGATGTCGGTACTCGAGGTTTCGTCTGCAGGCGGCGCGCAGTGTAGTGGGCGCGGTGCGGGGCAACATTAACAAAAAAGTGCCTGGGTGTGAGTCGTCCAAGTCCGGGCCTGCGTCACCCCACATCGAGAAGCTCGGACGGACCCCGCCTACGACGAACCATGGAGCGATGCTAGGCATTTCACTCAAAGGCACTCTCCGAAATCAGGTCGGTAGTGTCCGATGTCAAAAACAGAACATTCATTTACTACGCTCGACTTGAGTCACTTGGAGTAGATTGAGCATCCGAAAACACCTCAATATGCATCCAGACTCCCATAGACCGTTACTTGCGTTTCTCCTTTCGCTTATACAAGAATGATACCTAGCACCCTGCCCTGTACACCTTATCGCTCCGTGATTCATGCCCAGTGTTTGTTTGTACGCCGGTACCCCAGCTGCGTCTCAATGAATATATGGGGAAGCAAGACCGCGTGTTTCGTTCGCTGCAACTTTTATGCCATTACATAAAGTCTAATTAACGTAAGTTGGGTATCTCAATCATGCCGCGGCGCTATTTTGCTGCGCAGCCTGTCGGACAGGAGCAAAGTAAGGATGTTGCATAGCTTCTTGGGCAGTCAGTCGGTCCTACCATATGTCAGTCATCTATATTACATGTCCGTGTAGGCTATAACAAACCTGATGGTCGTATCGTAGCAGCTTGTCGAGGAAGTCAATCGCGTCATTACTGACAAAGCGCTGGTTCTCGGCATTGATGAACGAGTGCCACGGCTTCTTGGGATACCGGCTGAGTATGTCGTCATACTGGGCATCTAGTTCAATGTCGTACTTGTCGAGATAGTCGAACAAGTCCTCGGTTCCAAGAACCTTGGCAATCTTGACAAGCTGGTCTGAGTTGCTGTTGCCTAAAGTTGGGTTGTAACAAGTCAGCCTGTGCCTCACATGCAGCCTAGGTATCGTGGTTGTTTACCGTGGAAGAAAGGTTCGCGCCTAAAGATCATCGAGGCGAACATGGCACCTAGTGACCACATGTCGAGCGAGTAGTCGTACTCTTGAAAGTCGACTAGTAGCTCAGGACCCTTGAAGTAACGTGACGCGACGCGGACGTTGTATTCGGTTCCTGCGTGGTAGAATTCCGCTAGACCCCAGTCGATTAGGCGCAACTAGTACGTGTTAGCCATGTTCCTCCACTTTGAAACCGGTGCACGCCCACCTTCCGCTTCTCATGGTCGATCATAACGTTGTGAGGCTTGACATCACGGTGCATGATGCCTTTGCTGTGGCAGTAGTCGAGGGCCTTGAGCAATTCAAAAATGTAGTATCGCACGTCATAGTCCTGGAACTTGGGGTACAGACTCCGAAAGTCGGTATTGTTGACATATTCAAAAATCAGCGAAGGCGTTTTGCTCTGTTTGGCGGTCGTTAGCGTTTCTTCATAAGCAAACGGCAGCGGTTGGGCCTCAGTACCCAGTCGCCAATCCAGTCGGAGCCGTCACTAACCTGGTTGTCGCGCACCACGTCCAGCAGCGAGACGATGTTGGGGCCACCCGACAGATTTTGCAGGATCTTGATCTCACGCTTTATCTTCTTCTTCTTGACGGGTTTGAGGACTTTGATGACGCATTTCTGATAGTTGACGACGTTAATGCCCTCAAAGACTTCCGAGTACTTTCCGCGGCCAATCTTGCGGACGACCTCGTAGTTCTCGAGCACGCCCCAGGAGATGTTGACAGAGTCGTAGTCCCAGTATGACCGGGGCATGTTCGCATTGACATCTGCATAGACGCGAGCAAGGCTCGTAGCCCCGCTCGAGTTGTTCAGCGCCATCCTGGCAACAAGCGTATTGTCTGGGAGTGAGGTGTTGCCCGTGTGGTCGACACGCGCAAGGGATGGTGTCGAGGGACCGTATAGTGGGGTGAAGAGGCGGAGGACGTCGGGGCTTTGTGAGACCAGGCCAAGGCCAGCGAGCGCAGCGAATAAAGCGAGCGCAACTGTTGCGTACCGAGGGAGGCGCGCTAAAAGGCCGTCACGACAGTCGCGATGGGCCTCCTGTGTGGGCGGGGGTGCCTTGGGGTCGGCGGTGGTGAGCTCTGGCTGCTCGTGTTGATGGTGGTGGTGGTGGATGGCTTGTGGGCGTTAGACTAGTAGTAGACAAGGGCCAAGCTTTTCCCAGCACGCGGGCCCAGCTGCTGAATGACGATCCATCTCACTTACAATTATCATTTGGCTTTCGCTGTCGCACTTGTCCTCCGCCCTCTGCACCAGCCATTGCAGCCATGTTCCACGATCTAAATATCCCCTGGACCGATGCGACGCGTGAGCTGCAGCGAACAGTAGCTTTTCTCGACGAATGTGAGCTTTTAGTACAGGTTGAATGCGCCAGTAGTAGGCTGACGCGGTGCAGTAGGATACGACGTCGTTGCACTCACACACACTTATTCGGGGAAACTACCCTCTGATATTGTAGGTAAAAGGAAGCGGCGACTCTCCCTCTGCCCACCCCTACTCACCGAATACTATATCGCTTTCACCTAAGTCTGTTCGCCCGCTAACGCTTCTCAACCAGAGTTCACCCGTACCTGCCACCCTTCCTTTCCCCGTGCCCCCCCGCATGCGTATCCTCCGCCGCTGCAACATCTTCCTCACAGACTCTGCCTCCAACTTCCGCATACCCCAGCTGCAACAACACTACGACCTCGTCGCCGCGCGTCCAACCGACGACCGCACCCTCCAGCAAGCATGTATGAGCCTCGACGTAGACATCATCTCCCTAGACCTGACTCGCCGCTTCGAATCACACTTCAAGTTCCCCACGCTGGGCATGGCTATATCTCGGGGCATTAAGATTGAAATCTGCTACAGCCAAGGCATCATGTCCAACGATCCTGGTGCAAAGCGAAATCTGATTAGCAATGCCACGCAGCTCATACGTGTGACCCGTGGCCGGGGCTTGATATTTAGTTCGGAAGCGAAGAGCGTGCTGGGCATACGTGCACCGAGCGATGTTATCAACTTGGCTTCTGTGTGGGGACTTGGTACCGAGAGGGGCAAAGACGGTCTTACCAAGGAAGCGAGGAGCGTGGTCGAGTTTGCGCGACTGAAGCGCCAGAGCTTCAAGGGCATAGTAGACATTGTCTATGGTGGAGAGAAGCCGGTGGAAACATTTGCGCATGGTGCCAAGGACAAGCAAGGTCAGAAGGGGAAAGCGAACAAAAACCAAAATGGCAAGCGGCCAGGTGGAAGTCTCGAAGAAACCCCACTCCACGAGACCAAGGCAGACAAGCCCGTCTCGAAGCGCCAGCAGGCCAAGAACAAGAAGGCGAAGATACAAGTGGGTGGAGAAGAAAAACAGCCGTAACGAAGGCGTGACATGTACACTCACCGCAGACACCAGATGATACCCCATAGACAAAAGCAGCAGTAATGCGCGACAAGGATCGCATGCACACTTTTTTGTATTCTCCCCCAATATTACTACCTCGCAGGAGCACTCAATGCTCAACTGCCACTACCGAACAGATATATACCACAGAAACAGACCCAACACGCGCACAAATCCACACAAGAAAAGATCTCTGTTTTGCCAATTGTGCAAACATCTACCACCACCCCCTCTTGACTTCCGTCGGCTTGACCAACCTCCTCCCCAAGTTCACCGTGACCCGACTCTGCAACGCAACCGTACTGATATCAAAGGGCAAGGGTTGTGCCGAACTGTCCCCAACAGCAGTAGGTGCAGGCGCGTTGGCCGCAACTTGGCTTTGAGCAACTGCACTCGTCGTGGCCTGTGGTGTGGACGAGGAAGACGTAGCAGAAGATGCAGGTGCAAGTGATACTTCGACAGAAGGCGAGATGGAACTAGACGCAGATGTCACAGCAGTAGTGGACCCAGAAGCGGCCGAGGTAGAGACAGAAGCATCTCCACTAGCTACCATGGTAACCCCCGCTCCAGCCGCACTCGTCGTAGTCCCAGCCATGAGACCAGGGCGGGTCAGTGTAGCCGAGTCGATAGATGCGGTACTGCTCGAGCTCGTGGAAGCAGCTTGTTGAGCACCGGGTGGCGCTTCGCCTCCGGCTACCACTGTCACCGCACTACCGACTACGGTTTGCATTGTGCTCGCACTTCCCGATGGCGCGCTGCTCATGGAGCCTAGTTGGAAGGGCTGGGCTTGCGGTGCGGACATGGGGAAGGAACCGGCAGGACACATGCAAGCGCAATTGCATTGAGAAGCTGCCGTAGCTGCCGCGGCGCCACCGGTTCCTGCGACGACAGTGACGGCTGCAGCCGCGCCTGTGGTAGTCGATGCGGCTGCGATGCCGGTAGGCTTGAGAGAAGCTGTGTTCATTGAGGCTGTGACTGAAGAGGAAGATGCTGCTGCGTTGGCGGTTCCATTGGTTCCATCTCCTGCGACAACGGTGACGGCAGCCGCTGCGGACCCAGCAGACGATGAAGAAGATGCGGCCGCATTGGCAGTTCCGTTGGTTCCGTCGCCAGCAACGACTGTGACAGCTGCCGCAGCACCAGCACCACTAGAAGAAGCGCTCGTCGAGGCATTATTGGCGCCAGCAGTGCCGTTACTACCACTCCCACCCGCCTGAACAGTAACTGCCATGCCCACCATGGTCGTGGTCGTTGCAGCCAGACCTCCAGGCGTGAGCGTAGCCGAGTCAATTGCTGTTGCACTGGCAGCGGTCGAGTTTGAGGCACCTTTTGCACCGGCTGTGAGCTCTCCTCCTGCAGAGACAGTGACAGCAGTAGCAGGGGGTGCGGCAGCCAGGGCCTTGGAAAAGATTAATGATGGATCAGATCGAGTCCAGATTATCAACTTACTGTAGAGTTTTTGCCTGTGGCTAGAGTAGCAGTCGCCATAGACTCAGCAGCGGGCATAGCAGCCTCCATACTACTCTTGCTGTTTGAAGATCCAGCGGCCATAGGAGAATTTGTCCAAGGGATTGGGGTTACAGCTGGGAGAGCTGATTTTCCTGCGGGAAAGACTGTTTTTGCTGGTTTGGACGCAGAGGAAGATCCCGCTGCTGACTCTCCAGCAGGTGGTGACGGTGCAGCTGGGCTTTCCCCAGTCGCCACTGGTGATGCGGATGTTGCTTCTGCTGTTGCGGATGCTTCACCTGCAGCGGCTGGTGTGGGAGCAGCTGCTTGCTGAGATGCGGCCTCTACTAGCGCCGTTGCGAGCTTCTGCCCATTGGCTTCTGTGATGACGGTTGAGATGACCTGGATAGGTTGAGCGTTACTGCCGTTCTGTTGTGCTTCAGCTTGGGTTGGTGATGGTAGCTGGCCCTGTCCATTGGGCGCGAGTTGGTTTGCTAAGTCCCCAGCAATGTCGTTGACGGTGCTCTCTCCTGCTGCGGGCTTCGGAGCTAGTTGATTTGCAAGATCACCTGCGACATTGCTCGAGTTGATGTCACTTCCTATCTTTTGGGTACCCCCTTGTGACGGCACCTGTTCAGGGTTCTGACGCTGACTTTGGCCCTGCCCTTGTGGTATACTGGTCTGATTCGTCGATGCGCCCGGCTTTTGCCCATCGAGCCCGCTAAGGATGCTGTCGATGCTAGTTGAACCTCCGCCAGCAATCTGATTTGCAAGGTCACCTCCCACGTCGCTCGTGCTGATGTCTGCGCTGCTGCTCCTTTGGCCTTGTCCTTGCGCGATTCCGATTAGCAAGGCGTTTGCGTCTAGTCCGTTCTGTGCGATCCTGGCGGCGATGTTCCCGTTGTGCAGTGCATTTGCTTTTTCGGTGACAGGTACGTTGAGTGCTTCTACTGGATTTCCTTGCGACCGCTCGGCCCCTGATATCAAGTCCTCAATCCTTCTCCCGACGGTTTCGGGCCGTACATTGGTGTTGTGGAGATCAATCGTTGCTTGGGTGATGGTCTATCAACGATCAGTACATGCGATTTCTTCAAGCATGCAACATACGTACCGCGCTTATCAGGAGCAGGGCTCGCACCCAGGATGCCTGAGCTCTTGTCATGATGAGTTTTCGGAAACGTAGATATTCGAGTACAATGGAAAAGAAAATTAGTAATTAATACATCAACAGTCCAGCTGGAAAAGAATCGAAGACGATGTCACAGACATGCAGAACCGCTCAGCACCTGCACAGCAGAAAGACCGAGGAGAGTTGAAGATAGGATGGAAACGTGTCGACACACAATGGAAACAGATGGTTCGGATCCAAACGAGCGTAATCTTCCGGATAGTGCAAGAGCGAGCCAAAACCGTTCAAAGGTTCATGACTGAGGCGCAAACTATCCTACTTAAACGGGTGCGACATGTCAGCCCCGCTCGCCATGTTTCTAACAATGTGGTGCTGGTTTCGAGCTTCCGCGGCTGCTCGAACAATGGTCAAGTGTGTCTCAAAGGTCGAACCAAGGGTCCAGCGCACAGTAGCGCTGCCGGTAATGTCATTGTCGGGTCAACCTAGTCATCAAGGTTTCTCACAGGATGGTGGCGTACGATCCATGATCGACAGGCCCGCGATAGGCAGTTTTGGTGGTGGTTAAGCTTCACGATCGTCTGGCCAGCTGCCACGGTGGTAAGGTCTGACACGCGATGTGCTCGAGGCGATGGAGTTTCAAACCAGGGACGTTTCAGGCAATGGCATGCCGTTTCTGTCTCTCCGCTCGTGCATGCATGGTATCTATCTTCGACCACTGATTTAATTTCCGCCCAGGTACCGTATAGCATTCCATTCCCGCTCATCGCGAAGCGTGGATGTTGGTGTTCTGTTGTGAGAGCTGTGCGCAAGGCTGGTGATCGCGGTCGAGAGTCGTGCCTAGTCATCGTGGCTTGGCGAGCGATGACGTGCGTCATCACCCTTGTGCCTGACGCTTCACAGCCCCTAGGGCCAACTTCTATCGCGAAATATACGATTTTGGCTCGTCGGGGTCGGCCAAATCTTGCCAGCGCACAGTGGAAAGCCCGGCTTCCGTACGTAGCGAGCAGCTGTAAGACTCGAGCGTTTTGTATATGTAGCCGTGATCCTGCTCGAACGTGCGCCTACACAACGCCAGCATCGTCCAGCGGCCAACATGGGAGCCGTACACGTCCTTGACGACTATTATCTCGCCATCACATTCCTCATCACTGTTGCTTACCAGCTTTTCTTCTTTGCCATCGCCTTCTGGTTCAAGTTCGACAAGGTCACCGACTTTGCCGGCGGTACCAACTTCATTCTTCTTGCTATCCTCACGCTTTCGTTTAGCGACAACCGCGGCGATGCGCGCAACATTGTAGCGTCGCTTTTTATCATGCTATGGGCTGCAAGACTCAGCGGTTTCCTTTTGTTCAGGATCTTGAAGAGTGGAAAAGATGATCGCTTTGACGACAAGAGGGACAAATTCTGGTCTTTTCTCGGATTCTGGGTATTGTGAGTTGCTCTTGACGTCATCCAAGTGTGATTGCTGATGATTGTAGTCAAATGTTCTGGGTTTGGACAGTGTCACTACCAGTCACCATCCTGAACTCGCCCAAGGTCACTCGATTCAATCAGCCGGAGTTTGGAACGGGTCGAGACATCGCGGGCATCATCCTCTGGTCTATCGGTTTCATTATGGAGAGCGTCTCAGATGTTCAAAAGTACAGATTCCGTACTGCTCATGGTAGCGACGGTGCGGTCTGCAATGTGGGATTCTTTGCTTGGACTCGACATCCCAATTACTTTGGAGAAATCATCATACAATTCGGCAAGTATTGTTCATCCATGTTTTGATGTCAAGGCTAATTGTTACAGGCATCTTCATGATTGCTGTATCTCCCGCAGCATACAACTACGTTTCGGGCGGCGCGTATGACGCGCTGTACGCGTCTATCCTTGGACCCTTCTTTTTGACTTTACTGCTCATGTTTGTGTCTGGCCTGACATTGCAAGAACGTCCCGGTGCAAAGAAGAGGTATGAGAAAGGCACTCAATGGCCCGAGTATGAGCGATACCTCCACCGAACGAGCATTCTTATCCCTTTTCCGCCCCAAATATACGCCAGGTTGCCGGTCATTCTTAAGAGAACTATCTTCCTGGAGTTTCCAATCTACGTCTTCGACCCTGCGAAGCATGCGGATCAAGGTAAGGTACAAGCTAGATCCGCGGAGGAGGGACAGAGCAGGCCAAGTGACGAAGAAGGCTTGAGATCTTGAAATATCACGACCTGCCCATCGAATGTCCGATGTGATGATACCCATTTCTCGGCAATTAATTCTCGTGTAGTCACGACTTAGTTAGGGTGCTTTCGTTAGCGCATAATCGTAATTCAGCTTTGTAAACATACCCTCAAACGACATGTGTGCCAAGACGAGACATGCTTTTGCTTGTATAAGCCTCACGCATGACGTTCAATATTGTACAATCGTTACAAATGAGTGGGTGCGAGCCGCCGGCCTTTTCATGATCCGTGTTATCGTGATGCGTTTATCAATACCTATCCAATCAAGGTTCAGTATTCTAGCTTTGTTCACTGCGAAAAAGCCATCGTGCTCAGGTATATGGGCTTGATGGTTGCCATTTTGATCTTCATATCAAGACAAAGTACAGCACTGAGTTTACGCGTTGGGGCGATTTGATGAGCCCTGCGTGTTCCTACTCACTGCCCCTGCGTTAGGGGTGGCAACAGCTCAAGGGCGACACAACCAGCAATCTTCGTGCGTCCCATTCCTCGCCAAAGCTTCCACAGTCCTCGCATCTGAGCCGTGTCCTTGTCGGCGATGACATGTAAGAGCGCAATCATCAAGTCGAGTAGTGGGATGCTCTCGCTTAGTCAGTGGCTGGGCGAATCAATTCACCCGGCCTTATCGCGCGAACATCGGAGATCACCTCACGCCATCGCATAAACCACACCCACGGGACGGTGAGGGTAGTCAAAACCATCAAAATTTATACCTCATGCTCGCATCTTTCCTTGGCTTGTCGTATTAGTTGGACGACTAGCAGCCATGAGCATGCTGGCGCGTGTTATCGACTCGGAGGCTACTTCCACCCCGCGTCGCCAATGGATTGAGCACCTTGAGATGAGATTGCGTCATTGCGTCGCTCCAAGATGACCTGTTTGCAGGACTGAAAGAGCAAATATAAGAGGCTGAAACCGCGCTTCGCCCTGCTGTTCGACTATCCTAGCAATTCCTACATCCTTGACAACAACTCTTTTGGTTCTTCAAGAAGATAACATTTGTTTTTCCAACAACTGCGACATCGTACCACAGTAAAATGACTACGACACCAATTCACTCGACAGGCCGCGGAGGTGCGCTTTCTCTGGAAAGAGGGTCTCCGATACACGCAAGACAAGAAGCTGATCGCCGCTGTAGGTGCCGGCAACATTGGCCCTGACATCACCGTCTACACTGACGGAGGCCTCGTTCGCGAAGGCGTCCAAGGCGAGTCTCTCGATGGCGATTTCTCCACTGGCCGTGGGGGAGCTGGCAACATTGGAAAGTCGCCTCGCGTTGGGCCGCAGTCTGACGAAGGCCGTCGGTCGGTAGACATGGTCCCCGAGATCAACCAGCGCAACGCACAGGACGAGTTCCACACTGGCGTACGTCATGGCATGTCAGGAATGCAAGTTACAACTAACATGATTGCAGCGAGGTGGCGCCGGAAACGTCTATAAGGAGAAGCACGGCGGCCACAGCTCCTCACCCGACCGCAAGGGTTTGGGCGAGAAGGTCAAAGAAGTGCTCCATTTGGACAAGAAGAAGGAACATGAGCCTTCTCCTCTAGCCCAGAACACGACTACAAACTAGATATGATACCCGAGTCGAGCGACTCTGATAGAGGAATGGTAGTGGCACGAGCGTTGGATATTGATGATACCTCAGGCTGTGGTCTCTCACCAAGAGACAGCCTTGCTCTTGATTCCGTTATTAATAAACACATGCACTCTTTCGGATACATGCGCGACTCGGTTGAATCTAGTGAGATGGGTGTTTGTACCGTGCCTAACTACGACGGTGGGGTGACGCCTAGCGCGGACCACGTGGGGTAGTCGCGAAACCAGGTCGCGTCATCTGGCTTGTGAAAATCGGCCAAACTTGACAAACTGGTCACAACACTGCGCAGCATCACAATGGCCTCCAACGAACCCGACGCCGAAGCTCTCATACACTCTGATGATCCAAGCCACCCCGCGAACCACATTTGCACGCTCTGCGCAAAGTTCTACAACTTGGGCTGGGTACGATGACCTCGAAGCGTTGGGCGACGCCAACCAAGACACGATTGAGTCACGGCTAACACGCGGGTTCCCGCCAGGTGACAGGCACTGGCGGAGGAACGAGCATACGCCATGAAGACAAGATCTACATTGCGCCCAGTGGCGTGCAGAAAGAGCTCATGAAGCCCACCGACATGTTCGTCATGGACTTCAACAGCAAAGAATACTTGAGAAGACCACAGGTACACGTGACGGAACCAGGTCGGCCGCAGGGTGGCTGATGTCGTGTTAGGTCCTCAAACCATCAGCGTGTACCCCCCTCTTCATGGCTGCCTTTGAACGCGGCGCCGGCTGCTGCATCCACACCCACTCGCAATGGGCCGTCCTCGTCACCCTCCTCGTCGAGCGCGACTTTGGAAAAGACGCATGCTTTGAGATTGAGGAGATTGAACAGATCAAGGGCATACCAAAAGGCCGGGGGAAGCAGGGCAACCTGGGCTACTACGATCGTCTGCGCATACCCATCATCGAGAACACGGCGCATGAAGAGGATCTGAGGGAGAGTTTAGAGGAGGCCATGGAGAAGTATCCGGATTCGTATGCGATTCTTGTGAGGAGACATGGGATTTATGTGTGGGGGGACAATGTGCACAAGGCCAAGACGCAGTGCGAGAGTATCGATTATATCCTGCAGCTGGCGGTGGAGATGAAGAAGCTGGGTCTGCCTTGGACCAAGGGTTAGGTGGAGAGTAGATGTGTGGAGTTCAAGGACTCGTAAGTACAAAAAGCACCTAGTATATCATTTTTGTCTAAAAACTATAATTCTTGAGAGAAGACCTATGAACGCGTTTTGTGCAGTTGACCATAACAGACACTAAGGCTATATCATAGGTTGAAAATGATACGTACAGTGGTGGTAGGAAGCCTCCATGTTATCATCGTTGACTCACTTTCCTAGTAGTGCTAAGGGATACGCAGATCGTATTGCAGTTGTTTGATTAACAAAAGATATAAAACCTGTGCATAAGATCAGCCAGCTCACTTAAACCCACCTACTCCCTTTCCAGCCCCTTATACAAAAGCCCTTCCACACCACCAACAAAATCCATCCAAGCCTGCTCGCAAAAAGGATAGTAGTTCCCCCAAACAGCCACTACAATTTCCTTCTCTCTATCGATCCAAAACTCAACATTCGTCGCACCATACCAATACACACTCCCCTCGCTTCTCCCCTTGTCTCCGTTAGCAAGTTCCCTATCCGCCCCCTGTACACCACAACCCAAACCAAAGCTACCGTGCGGATCAAGAAGCGGTGCAGAAAGATCCACAGGGACAATAATAGGAGCCGCAGCCGAGTCTAGTAAACAGCGAGAGTCGTTGCGAAGAGCTTCAGGCAATTGCGGACGACAAATTTCCATGGCGCTTTCTGAGGAGAGTATGCGCCGGCCACTCACAGGATCCACACCGGCGTTCCGCGGTAGGAGGACAGTAACAAGGTGCGCATAATCCTCCACGCTAGCAATTAATCCCGTTCCCAAGCAACCGACATGGTGATTGCCCTTACCGGGGAATGCGTCACCTCTTCTCACTATCTCAGGCTTGGGGGGATCGATACTGACAAAACCTTCACCACTCCGCAGCTTCCTAGGCCAGAACTTGCCGGTGTTGTGCGGCGACGATACGACGTCGCCGCCGTACTGTGGCTCGAAACCGATTTCCTTTAGACCAAGTGGATCGAAAATGTTGTCTTGGAGGTACGAGGCAAGGGATTGCTTGGTGATGCGCTCGATGAGGACGGCGATCCAGTCCAGGCCCTGACCGTAGTTTGTATGCGTGCCTGGCTGCCAGAGTAGAGGGCTCGCGAGGAGTACCGCATAAGGGTCTGATGCTTCGTTTGTTGTTTCCCAGACACCTTCGCCGAGGTCCTGTATATACTCTAACAACAGCTTGTTGAAGTAAGTATGGCCACCGCCGTAGGTGTGATTCATCAGCATCCTTGCTGTAATGTCGCCTCTTCTATCTTCTAGCTGCCATACTTTCTTTCCGGTTTCGGGATCGATGGTATATCCAGCCAAGACCTGTTTGGCGGCCAGTTCAGGCAGCCAAGTATCGATAGTGGCGGGATCGTCGAGAGTCGCGAGACCTTTCTCGACGAGCTGCATGTAAGCCATCGCCCCGACAATCTTTGTTAGAGATTGAACGATGACCATGGAGCTCGATGTAGGCCGTTTGTCCGGAGCATTGCCGTGGGAGAAGAGTACCTTATTCTGCGCATTTACAACATGGACGAGAGCAAACGGAAGGTCGGGCGCACCTGTGCCGCTGTCAATAGCAATATCAACATATGATTCTAAATACGACATAGCCTTCTGGCTGATGGTATGGGACGGCATAACTGCTGGTCGGTCTGCGGACAGAGTGAACAAGGTTTGAGGAGGGCACTGCAAAGCTATTTATATGCAGAGAGAGGGAAGACTGTCCTGCATAGATTATTATAGAATGTCGATGATAAATCGCCTGATGCTGTAGCAATCCGATCTCAAAGACATCCAAAAATCTGTCCAATAAGAGCCACTTCTCGACATTATAGCCCAATCTGTTTTGGGGTACGGAGTGACATGGAGGGATCGGTAGGTAAGACAATGTGGGGTAATTGATACCCAGCTGCTACTTCTGGCCTGCTGGAACCAGGATGGTAAGCGATAACTCAGCCTAATGCCATCTGTAATCGACATGTACCACATTCCGTCTTACTGATGCTGACTCTCCATGTAATCATATAGTAATCGGCATACTCGTATTTCTTGTTCTATCGTTAGCCTTGTGCAAGGCCTATATTGGAAAAGTAATGGCCCGAAGACAAGTGACCATTTTCTCGTTATATAAAATTCTCACGGTGCACAATCTGTGCAGGACCTTCAATACAATGTGCGTGTGAGAATAGAAAAGAAAGGAAGAATCGTATGAGTCGAGCGTGAGTACCCTGAAACATGGACAAATAGAACGACTTCCCGTCTTTTCTGAATAAATCGAAATGTTGTACATTAGCAGCTCAAATACTCGTAGAGCTACACACACTGTTCCGGCCCTTCCCTTTCTCATCGCTTCTGAATCCTGCTTCGGGCATATACATCTCCCACCAGATGAACTGGCGCATGAATAGCCACAAAAGTTATACAGCTGTCATGAACTGAAACAACGCAAATTCCAAAACACAAGAAGCCTTTCTTCGTCTCCTGCGCTCGAAATCCATTCCGGGGTCATATACCATCCCATTCGTTCTCTACTTCTTCCCCACGAGAATGAACCTCGCATTTTTCCAGCTCTCTCCGCACTCAACCCCTCCACGCTCTTCTTCTTCCAAACGGATCCTAATACCAATCTCTAAGAGACAGGCTTCACTTCCAACGCCCCATTAGCACTCTCCTTGCTCATCATTCCCTCCCCCGCACCGCTCTCCCCTTTTACCAACGTAGGCAAACTGACCCCCCTCTGCTGTCCCTCCTCTTGTTGCAGTACATCTGGACGCCACCTGACCAGCAGTTTCCTCGCACTAGGTTTTGCCCTCTCATTCTCAGTCCACATCTCCGCCAGCACATCAACCACCAACTTTCTTACCGGCGGCCGAAACATGTATAGGTAATGAAGACAGCTGCATGCTAGGTCAATGCGCTCGGGGTCTTCTGCCATTTTCTTAAGGCGGCTGAGGACATCTTTGTCGATTTGGGGAATCTCCGAGAGGAAGCGAATGATGATTTTATCCGTATGCTCGATGTAGGGAAGGATGCCATCGAGGAGGCGGAGGGCGCAGCGGTGGTAATTACCTGGTGAGGACTTGGTGGATATGTGTCTGTGGCCATTTGTTGTGGTGGCGGAGTCTTTGTCTTCTTCACCGGTCTGGGCAAGTATCATGTCATTGTACCATTCTTCGTTGAGCCAGGAGATGGCCACGTCGATGCGGGATTTCCAGTTGTATAGTATGTATTGGTACAGACCGTCTCTTACCATGTCGCTGATGCGCAGGCTGCCCTTGGAGTTCTTGACCGCATACTCGTCTTTGATGCCATCTTGTGGGTCGTCCAGTCCAGCACTTGCTCGTGTAGCTAGTCGGGAGAGTATAGTGACCCAGGCATCTCTGTTGTAGTCGGTAGCGGCGAGGCGGTTAAAGCCGCCCTTTGCCACCTTGCTCTTTTGGGTCTCATCTACACTGCTCAGCATGCTGAAGGCTCGATGTACGGTCATGTCACCGTACTTCTGAACGTCCTGTTCTGATAACGGGGGTGCCTCGGGCAATTTGTAGGGGGCCAAAGCGGTCGATGGTCCGCCTTGTGAGGGGAAGGGGTTTGAAGGAAGACCATCGAGCTTGTTGATGAGTTGTTCAGCGTCTTCGGGTTCGAAGTCAGGCTCGTATTCCTCTTCGTCCTCTGTGGCGGCGGTTGTCGGGGGTTGTGCGGGTCGGCTTGCAGCAGTCTGCTTCAGTGTTTGATACCGGGCGCGGACGGCCTATGTAACATTAGCAAGTGAATGGCTGGTGGGTCTCGTTGCTGTTCGGCAGCCACGGGTTTGGCAGTCTACAAGACGAGTAGACATCACATACGCTGATAGCTTGTTCGAGCTTTTGCGGGTTCACCGACTGCAGAACAGGCACCACTATCCTCAATAATTGCTCAGGATCTCTGAAGTTTTGTACATCAAAGTTGGCAGTGCTGCCTTCAGCATTCAGTGTGTACAGTTGTCGCCAGCTCACTTCGCCAGGCGGTAGCGGCTGGACAGATGGCGTACGACTCGGAGGTTCCGCGACTAATCGTTGCCTCTTCGCTTGGTCTAGACCATCTGTCGGCTCACTAGGTGCTGGTCGCTTACGATTCGCTTCATCGAAGACTTCCACCCGTTTGCGATGCATGTGTTCCAAGAACTGCTGTATCCGTCCGTTGACGGGGTTTTCGGGATTCCTGTGGTCATGAGAATCAGCAGTATCGTGAGGTAGTAAGGCAGACACACCTCTTCATGATGTTTACAAGTAGTGCTCTTGTTGTGCGCTCAATCGACTTCATGATGACCTTGTTCTTGGGCGTCATGGGTGAATTGGCGAGCTTCAGAGGGTTGAAGTTGAAGACACTGGTCAAGATCTTATTTGCAGCATTTGGTCGACGGTGAATAAGCATGCCCAAGCTGTTGAGGGTCGCAGTCACGAGCAAGCCGTCACTATTCTCTGTTAGAGGCATTCCGGCAGTCTGCAACTGTCTATCTAACCTGTGATCTCCGTTTATGATATCCAACAACCTGTCCAACAGTCCGTGTCCTTCAGCCTCGAGGCTCGCGTATGGTATCAGGGGGTGGTCGCGGGAGACGAGGGAAAGGGAGATGTCGTTTTGGTCGGCGCGCTGCAAGGCATCAGATGGATGTATATGGGTTGGATGAGGTGTGGTAGTTACCCTTGGGTCTGCCACGCCTGGTGTCTGGACCAGGACGACTTGTTGGAGAAACTTGACGCAACATATGCGCACACCTGGCGCGGCTGTGTCCATGCGACGCAAAATGTTGGTTTTGATGCCGGCCATGAGCTGCCACTTTTGCGCATCGCTGGGGTCGGAGACACTGGCACATGCAAGTATAAGAAGGGGTTCGCATGAATGCAGGCATGGCATGGCATGGCATATTTGGCATGGGGACTTCTATCTGATGCGTGGGATCACTTACATGTGTTTGTAGACGAGCGGGTACACGCTCGCAGCCGCCTGGATGGCGCTCTTGATGACGCTCTTGTCTTCAACATTCTCGAGATAAGCCTTCAGGGTAGCCAAGACAGAGGGCGCGCTCTGCTGCTTGACCTCCTGGGGCCATGTGGGCGATGCGAAGGCCTCGGCTAGGAAGTCGGCGCCCCAACGTTGTATCTCGATGCTCTGGTCTTCACTGTAGCCGATGATGGGAAGCACGCCCGGTATGATGGTAGGATAGTATCTACCGTCGCCTAACGCGAGCGACCGGGCCGACTCCATCTGCTGTATCGTCTGCGAACTCATGGCGGTGGTTGTTGGCGAGTGCACAAGAGACGAGCTGTGTATATTTGAAGGGGTGAAGTAGTAGTGACGCTGATTCACGCGCGCAATGCAGCCAAACTATGAGCGCGACAAAGCCCAGTATCCGCCGTCAGGGGCGCTCCCATTCCCAGCAATGCTACAACCAAAGAGAAGAGAAGGCGTGTTTGCGCGACTGGTGGTGCGACTGGTGTTTGAGACTGATGTCGCGACTGGTGTTGTGGCTACAGCTGCGGGTGAGGTGAGTGACGCGGAGGGTTCGCGGCAGTGCCATGATCTGCGCCTGCCCGCCAAGGCCGCCTAGCGTGGTGGAACTTGACCACCACCGCGGCGACACCTTCTTCCCCCGCAGCGTAGTCCGAGCCTCAGCACGCCAACATGGGATAGTAAGTCCAGCCGTGTGGAAGCGCAGAGGGTGTATGCTAATCCCGACAGCAAACCCTTCCAATCGACCTACTATGACGACCGCATGCGGGCATCGCCGGCCCTGCTGCGAGCCCGCGCGCCCTACCTGATCAAAAACACAATCACTGGCGCTGCTATCTGCACGCTGGTTATTGGAATCTGTATGGCGCCCGCCTCCTCCGCCTAGAGCATGGACTCACGTTCTGCAGATACCTACACCATCAACGCCATCTCACAGGACGAGTTTGAGGATGTCGTCGTTCCAGACAAGCCCATGGAAAGGACCGCGCAGCCACTGGGCACCACCCAAGCCCTCCAGCAGGCCGTCCAAGCACGCAAGTAGCGAACCGGGCGACCTTGTATATCGGTGTATAAGAGTGTATGAGCATTGGGCAGGCGCTATAGGAATCATTCTGGGAATACCACTTTTTTGCCATCACGAGAGATCCCGCATCTGCTTGGTACTCGGAACCAGTCGTTGACATGATTGGTCTACCAATCTCGCCTTGGATACGTGTCCGCCCCTATTCGCTGCTCATGGCTCATAAATTGGTCGTCACGTATCGTGACTCGATTGCGGTATACTTCATTATTACCATTTCCTGATCTTAGCCATCGCGACTTGGTTCAGCCAGTAGCACACACAGTCTGGCCACGTTCAGATTACCAGACTCATCGTCATAGCTTCTTTTTTATACTGCAGCGTGACCGTCGTGACTGTGGCGACGTAAGATGTGAAATATACATATTGCAGCAAAGCGCCTTCAGTCTGGCTTTTACAATTCGCTCTTTGAAAAGCATATATAACATCTCTTTCTACGTCGCATCTCTCCAATATCCATTCAACAGCACACATAAAATCTACCTTTACACATTCGTCGCGTCACCAACCATGTCGCCTCCTGTCTTCCCGGACACCCGTTGTGCTCGCCCTAGCGCGAGCAGCGACAGCACCGGCAGCGTCACCCTCCACGATGCCCATGTCCAGACTGGGGATACATCTTCTATTCGACGCTGGTTCAACAGCATGCGCAAAGTTGTCTTCCCCAAGGGCGTACAAAAACAGCTGGACACCTCAAGCGGAAAGGACTCTCAGACTCTTCAGACCCTCCCTTGCCCTGTGTCCTCTAATGAGTGTGTCGCAAACATCGAACCTGGTATCACAGTCGAACCCGCTACCGTCTCGAGGCATGTTGCCCGTGATCGACAAACTTCTTCTGTTCCTGCTTCCACTTCCGCCTTCGCTCCCGCCTCCGTTTCCGTCCCCACCAAGTTTGGTTGGTGCATGTCAGCCTACGAACAAGCAATGGCCGCGCCGACACCCTCTTCGGAGAGTACTGACCCTAAAGACCACGAAATGACGTCAGCTGAGCCAGCAAAAGGCAAACGCAATCGCCGACCTCGCCAACCGACCATGATCACTCCCGCCGTGTTGGACAAGATCGCCAAGGACAACAAGAAGCACCAGGGAGCCACGGCCGCCCGGGAGAAAGAGGTCAGGGATAGCAGTATGGGAGTTTCTTCGTCGACTCCACGTGCGAGAGGAGTTCAGGCAAGTCCCATGAGGTGGTCACAAGACTAGCATGATGGACGGGACTACATTGATGATTGTTGGAATGGCATGTATGTGGCCCTGAATGAATTATGTGTGTGTGGCACTGACTGACTTGGTACATGGTTGATGGGGTCCTTGTCGTCGCTAGACTTTCCTATGGAAGGTTTTGTGGTTTTTCATAAAGATGTCAACTTGCACTATATCGCAAAAACACATTGCGCTCTTTCAGGTGGAAATTGATGAATGCAACATCCTCTAGATCTGAGGTACTTATGTCGAAGGACTGAAATTCACTCTTACCCTCATTCTGCTCTACCACGTTGTGCGCGACCCTCGTCAGATACACCACATCCTTCTCCACGGTTAGCTGAAGTCTCATATCCCTCCCGAGTTACCAGTGCACCAGACTCTTCATATGCTTTTGGAATTACATCCTCGATCAAGTCATGTATGGTCATTTTGTCGCTTTCAAAAGGACTGCTGGCCACCAAAACCAGAGTCTGGAAACCCCATGTCCGAATCCAAGAAGCCTAGCTGGCTAGATTGCAGAACAAAGTCGCATGCGGGTTCGGCGACAAACTGTGCAAGCATGTCATCAAATGCGCCTGTAAGCGTAGTATCATTGAATGACATGTCGTTGGGCACAGATGCCGTATGTGGCGCTTTATCATAAGGTGGGTCAGCAACTGATCCGCCTCGACAGGTAAAACATTCAAACATACCAACCGTCTCGAGCACATGCAGAAATCTCTCCAAACACTGCCGGCCTTTCCGGCTCATCAGGCTGCCTCTATCAATCCTTTCCAGTGTCTGCAAGCTTGATGCCACGGCTTTTCGAACGTCCAACGAGTCAGGCAATCTGTTTGGCACGGTGGATTTGTCTTGGTAGCTCGCAAGAAGTATCGCAAACAAATGCAAGGCGGCCGTGAAGACTACCTGATGTCAATCACGTATTGCAGAGTCTATATCTCAGAGGGAAAAACTTACCATAGTAGTTGCAGGTCCACCAGACCGCATTGTTGTCCAAATACTCTGGGCATGTTTTGGCTATGCAGGATACGATATTTTCGAGTTCCTTCACTGCTGCAAAGTCATTTCCAACGGCTACTGATATCTCACCAGTACATGGATGGAACGTGTCTTGTCCGAGCCCGTGCTCAGTGATTGAATCTAGCATTGGCCGATTGATAAGTAAAACGGTGACATGATAATGGATAGTTAGCAGCGTGCGGAAGCGGTTGCTGCTGTACGATGGTGGCGACCACGTCGCCATCTCTGTGTAAGTAGCCAATGTACTCGCTAATGGAAGATTTCTTTTCCACTGTTCGAGTCTGCATATGTGCTGTAGCCTTTGAGAAAGAATCTCTTGGATGGTACAAGGCTGTGAAGAACCGAAGTGGCGGTCTTCAGTCGCTTCGATAATTGAAGCTCTCACCTTGGTTAATTCCCTGCGTGCAAGTCAGTTTTGTTTGTCGCAATCCTAGGCCACTCACGCAAGTTGATAAAAGTAGAATTCGTTGTCAGTGAGACTCGATAGGCTTTTTTGTTCGTGTAAGGCGCTCGTGTGGGGTGGAAGGATCAAACGGGGTCGCCCCAACGCCATACTCAAGGCGTTATCCTGTATGATGACACCAAGCCATACTCTTCTCAAAATCTCACAATAATGAGAATCTTTCCCTTCATAAAAGTCAGACGTGTGTATTCCCATTTGAAAAGCTGCCTTGACTGCAATTGCGTGGTAGGTCCAACTTGCGATGGAGCGTTGTGTATTCTGTTGAAAATTGCAGAGCAGTAGAACCGCTTGTACTTTGGATAGTAAGTCATCTCACGGCATAAGTGGGAGAGTTTCCGGTCAGATATTTTCACATACCAAGTTCCAGACTGGAGCCACGAAGAGACAATCCATCGAGAAGTGCAAGCGTACGGCGGTAAAATATCTCGGCCTCTGGACATGACTTGGTAAGTGCCGCATGAGCAAATATGACATTCAACAACGCTTTCTTGGCGTTCGAGCTGTTGTGAAACAATTCCAGGAAGGAATGGGCTCCATTGAAGCTGATTGCGTGTTTGTCGACATATGGCAAGACTGAACCTTGGGCTTCGAAGAAGCTATTCATCAAACCATTCAGATCTCGATCATTTGACGCAACATCATGACTTCTAGACTGTGGATTGGTGGGATTGTGCTGCGGGAGTGGTTCCAAGGGTGGCTTTGCAGTGTTTGAGTGTCTTTGGTCGAGGAAGCTGGTAGATAAGAGGATAATATCCTGTCCAGCGCACCGGCATAACATGGGTAACCTTTGCGTCAAAGCATCGGTCAGTCGCCTGAAAAAAGCATGATTTGAGGTAGGCCCTTTGACACTCTCATATTAGCTCGTGGTGATTTTAACTGTAGTACAGCTTACCGAAATAGCCAATGTCTTGTTGTGGTGAATCGTCAAAAGCTTTCGTCGCCAACAGATCCACGGCAGACTCATCCTGACTATCCAATGGCTCAGGCACAGCTTGAAGAGGTTTATCCGAAAACGCTGATGTCCATAGCAATTGGGCCTCGAGGTTCTTGACTCTCTTTGCGAGCTGCGCGTATGTCCTGATCTGGTGTGATTAGCATGTGCATTGCCATTGTGATTGGCGCATACGGATTTTTTAGCTGTGGCGATGGCAGACGCTGATATTGGCACTGTAAAGAAGACTCGAGGCAAGTGGAGCACGAAGGTCGTAGCCCGTCACACTGACACTTTGTTAGATGACATATGCGATGGACTGAAAGGATGTGATTACGCGAGATTTCCTATTTCGACACTGCGAGCAAGCGAGAGCCACGCGTTTACGTTTCGACACCCGATCTCGAGGCGAGGTAACGATAGAGTGCGGCGCCATCATTGAGTGACTAGGGAACTAATGGTTAGATAGAAGGATTGTCGCCCACACGCTCGTCGGCAACCCACGGGGTTCCGCAACACGTGACTGGGTACCGAGGCTGGCCGGCGTGCGAGCCCAGCCTTTCGAGCTTTCCACCAGAATCAACCATCAACGTTTGAAATTAACGACTCCATCACTATGAGTCAGGGAGAAGATGCGGTAGCGCTGTTTAGATCGCCTGTACTGGAACCGCAAATCAGCTACCCCAAAATTGCTGCCGAGTACGGTTGCGGTAGCGCAATACTCGCTCGAAGACACATGGTAGACCACGCTCGCCCGCGCAACACTGCTAGTGCCTCTGCAGAACACCCACTAAGGCGAAGCTGATTCGAAATCTTCATTTATCCATCCGGACCTTGATTACCTAGGTAAAGGCGAAAACTTGGTGGTTGGGAGCCTCTACATCCTCAAACTAACAATCTTAAGGCACCCTTTTGATCTACTGGAGAACTCAAACAAGACTTCTTTGTTCTCTTACTTACACGCTGAACCATGAGCAGATTTCTCGCATAGGGCAGTCATCATGGCGACTGACTCCTTCTGCGAACTTTGACCATAAGAGGCTGTTCTAGATCGCTGATACCTACAGATACCATATCTGGCAATCCTCCCAGGCTCTGGCCTCTTTCTTCGCTTTGGTACACCGCCCTTTTCCCCCCTAATCGTACGTACTCGAAAGCGAACTCCCGGAGTAGAGTACTCGTCAGCTTATATATGTTTGTCTGCGCAAGTGTCTTCCCAATACATTGCCTACCACCAAGACCAAAGTGCATCAAATAGCGTCCACGCGCTACCGTTTCAGGCTGATCCCATCGATCCGGATCGAAAATGGCATGGTCATCGCCCCAGACAGCTGGATTGTGGTGAAACGCATGGTTGCAAACTGCAATCGAGGTCTATATGACAGTTAGTAAGTTGATACCCGGTTTTGCAGCCACGGAAAAACCTACCCCAAAGGGAATGTGCTCGCCTCCTACGGTTACACCCTCAGGAGTAAGGACTCTGCGAGCCAATGGCATTGTGAAGACTGGGGTGTCGCGGAAATTCTCTTTGACGCATTTCCGGAGAAAAGGGAGTGAAGCCTCGACCTCCGCAAGCGCATATGCTGGTTTGTCTTCACACAACGCCGGGAGCTGAGAGTCAATCTCAGTCACGCATTTTCTCATGATTTGGGGAGCTTCCAGCAGATGGTAAAAGAGTAGTGAAGTGGTAGCACTCGTAGTGTGGGTTCCCGCAATGCTGTGCCATGATTAGTTTTCACCTCTGCCGACAATCCATCGACAGATGGAACTTACATGAAACCAAACGCTTCAGCCTCGAGATCGATCTGAGACAACCTCTCTCCGGTGTCAGGATCTTTGGCCAGAATGAGGCTGGTCAAGAGATCTTTCCGTTCTGGTGCGGCTGCATCATCGTCGAGGTCTTTAGCATTCCGTAGGGCTGTGAGTCGCTCTTGAACGCACGTTGCTGCCAGTTTCGCAACGGCTGCACGGCCCTCGAACAATCGTCTCAAGGTTTGGGAAGGCACCTTTGGAAGCCATCGTTTCAGCCTGAATGTCATTGCAGGCCATGCCCCAGTCACTGCCGCGAGCAAGCTATGCTCGACTACCGGTGGTACGCGGGACTCATCATCAGTTTCCTGAACTGCAAAGGACCGACTGAAAGCTAACTCGCCAAGAACATCAATGGTATACAACTTGAAGAGCCTTTTGAGGTCAACAGCCTCGCCACTTTCAGCATATTTGCATAATTTCTGCTTCAAGATCTTGACGTTCTCGTCCAAGAGGTCTTCCATCTTCTTTACAGACGAGGCGGAGAAGCTGTAAGACATGTTTCGTCGTCTGACAGAATGTTTCTGAGGAATCGTTTCAAAGACAGGTTCAGCAATATTTCTGCCAAGAAACTTACCGATTCGTCACGCATCCCAAAGATGTTCGGAATGTGCGATCCATAGGCATCGTAAAACTCGGTTTTCGGGAACATTCTACCGCCCTTTTGATAAATGATCGGTATAGCATCTTCAGCTGTAGTGCTAATCTTATCCGGGCCATACCGGACGAACTGGCCGTATTTCTCGTGGAGAGCAGTCAGATTGTACGGCTGCTTCAGGGAGAGAAACTCAGAGACCTGCCAAAGATCTGTAAGAGATGCGAAGAAAGGGCCTGGGAACTTGGCTAGTGGATGCAAGAATCGCTGATATACGATGTAGGTTGACAAGTATAGTATGAGCCCCAAAAGCACGGCTAGGAGCCAGACGGGAAGTGACATGCTGGGTGATTGAGCCGAGGTTGAGTTGGGCAAAGAAAAAGTTCGAATGTAAGTATCGAGTTTGCTCTAGTGATATGGTATAGTGGTTCCAGCCTTTATAGAAGTGGAATCGCCCTCAGCTTACATAAGAAGTTGCTCAAAACCACCATTCATCCGGCTCCTCGCGCTGAGTAGGCCCAGATGTCTTTCCATCTAGATTCTGCGGTCGTGCAAATCGGACTGCTGATGCAAGCTTCGAAGTATTGTAGAAGGACTGACGTCAACGAATCGGGTTGCGCTTACCCGACAAGATTTCGATCTTGCTCCTGGAAGTGACCAATCGGATGCCGCTTATCCGTAGAAACCACAGTCCCGGTAACGGCCGCGTGTGCGCTCGCTTAAAGATAGGCCAGCCAAGACTCTGGCGGGTCGGTTGAGGTTGCAGCAAAGCAGGATGTATTCTTCTTGTGTGGAGGTAGATCTAGTGCTGAATAGTTTTATCCCAGTCTTGACGAGCTTGTCACGAGCAGTGAGCCTTGGAGATGACGCTATCGAATGCTCTCGTATGGGTAGAGTCTTACCTCCCACAATTTCACGTTCTTTCTTCCCGGAGTCGGGACGCTATCTCTCCGCTACGACTACGCCGCTTGTCATGTACGAACTACGCACATGGGAGATAGCGAGCGTGGAGAGCGCACACTGATACACTGTCGCTGCTTTGTGTTCTGAAACAGCTCCCAAATGAGAGAGCGTCATTTGGAGAATAATGAAGTTAGTTCGACGGGCGACAATCAGCAGGTAACCAAGACCTATATTTGTATCCTTTCCCAAGTACATACCTGTACATCAAAGCTTCATGCTACTACTCATTGTTGCGCTGGACTGGCCTGCACTCTTACCAATACTATCGAAATGTCCTCTTTCTTGAGTGTTCGGTTCATATACAACGAATATACCACGGTTTCGTGGAAGTATCGTGCATTGTACCTAGCTCGCCTCAGAAAAGTTGGACGAAAGTTCATCCAGCATGTGTTGTATTACATTCACTATTCTAACTCAGCTTATACATATGGAGAGCATAGCCAAGGAGATGATAAAAGGGTAGTAAGTGGACCGATAGCGCGGACTGACTTTGTATTCAAAATGTGTTGGTCGTACGCTGCGTCCAGTGTTACTGGAGCTCTTCCTCGATGACGATCTGTCCCTGGTGGTTCTGTGATGCCTTGACCACAACCTTGTGTGGCCATAGTTTGAAACGTACGGGTATGCCGTATCTGCAAAGATGGCTACTATAGTGTTAGTGAAACTGTTTGCAAGAGTACAAATCGGTATACTGACATGTAATTCAAACGTACTATGCATAGATATTCAATGAAGAAGCAGAGAATCCACCAGACAACAAGAACCTTATGCCATGTTTCTAGGTATTCTTTTAAGTTGTTTTCGTCGACTGGTCCAAGGTTCTTATTCAACACCGACTCGAGGAATGTTATAGTAACGAATAATGAGAAGATCCCAACGTATTTGCCAAATCGGGAATGTACGTCTTTATAATTCGCGAGAATTACCTGTTTAGTAAGACAACGTCAGTCCTGATAGGTAACTCAATAGAAAGGACCGATCGTACTTCGACTTTGCTACCATAGTTCTCCGGTAAGAGATACATCAAGGATCTCAACATAATCGCCCATTGGATCACTGTACCGCGCCAGCCCTCGATCTCAGGTATAATCCAGGCTGTCAGCGAATACGATTTACTCAAGTGCGGGAAACGAGATATCGCCAGGCCATAGACGATATCCCCGACTAGACCAAGATTGATGAGTTCTCCACCAACGAGGTCTCCGCTGAACTGGATGATACAAATGCCAGTAGTGCCGACGATATAGATGTGCTTAAGCGTAGAAGAGATTGAAGGCAAAATGCAGAGCTGTGCGTAGACAGGAATGATAAGGAAGAGCGCAAAACGCAGCCTGTCGCGAGACGTGAAGGGAGGATGAAGGGAAGGAGTAGTGGCGATGGGATTTGTCGACATAGTCGCAGATGCTGTGGCCATGGTCGTCCGCTTAAATTATAGAGTGTCTCAACGTAGGGTTAGCAGAGCTTCAGCGCACACGTACCAGATAAGCTGGTCAGCTGATAAGCTTACCCCGCTTTGTGTTACCACAAGGAGAGCCTTACTTGCAGGAACATGTTCCCATTCTCGTTTAGTGTTTCCATTGTACACTTCAGGGGAAGAGAACGTTTCGTTAGGATGAGTCGCTTGTAACTAGGACAGTCTGGTTATAGCAATATCTCTTGTTTGGTTCTATGGTCGTTATTACTGTCGTCATTTCCTCGAAGCTTGCCCTTAAATGAGCATCAAGGTGCAGTCACCAGCTGGGAACTCTCTCGACAGAACAGGGCTAGTCGCTAGCTGGTACCTGTAATGTGATTGCTTATACTAACTTAATTGCTCATAACGACACTGATAGCAGTAGCGAGAGTCACAAGTCTAGTGAGCTTCTTTACAACTATTCTGGGCCAGAGGTGGCATAAGATTCTGGAAAATGTGGTTCAGTGGGAAAGGAATAGACAGAAACAATACTTTTGGAGCAGATACATAAAGGCACGGGCGCTTCACCTGATTCAACATCAGCATGAAAAATTTGGATCAGCAAGAGCGTTTCTCTGCCACCTTCACAATTCGATCCGCAAAACGCTTTGTAATTCGAGAGACACGGTCATGAGGCTGAGAAAGTGTCTCGAATACGATCTGATAGAACCTCCTTTTATCTGGTGTCGATGGTATCGTTGAAAAGACTGATAGTTCATGTTATGAGAAGCGAGCTGTAAGGTGTCAAAAACAATGCAAAGGAAATACATGTGGTCGTTGCTTGCGTTCAAACAGTCCACATGCAGATTCCTCAATCATCAAGAACTGTAAGACTCAAGGAAGTACTGATACAGCAACGGTAGCCAGCGAGGAGATCATCCAGATGACGGTAAGAACCCCAAGTTTAGGAGGACAGAATCTTGGTGCAATCAGCTAAGTTGGCCTCAAGGCGTACGTGTGAGTACTTACTCTTCCATACTGAGGCCAATAAATCCGGCCCAAAACAACCATTGTGCAATCCACAGGAGGATCATACTCGTAATTGCGATCAGAAACAGTCTAACCATGCCTTGTTCGATGATCCGGTTGTCTGGAACTTTGGAAGGCAAGGTACCATAGACTGTATATATCTGTTCCCCGCTACTCGTCGACTGCAGTTGCTCCTGCATCCAGCTCTTTTCAAGCCAAAGACGAAGTAAGCTCTCTTCAATTCGTGTCCAAAACGTGTTGAATGGCGCGGCTAGTTCCTCCACAACACTCGGAATTGTCCTTCTGTCAGTTTGTGGCTCTAGCCCATGAATTCGCGCGCGTTTAATTGACGTTTTTGCCCCACGTGTAGCTTGCATGAGGAGAGCCAAAGCCGCAATAGTGACAAGAAGCCACATAAGTGCTCCCGCGTATAGGAATCTAGCAGATAGTACTCGATCTAGTCTTGCCATACCCTGACTATAGAAGCTGTGCTTTCGGCCATAATTGACAGCCGTAATCATATGATATGCCGAGAAAATCTGGAGGATCGATTCTGAAAACAAGAACGACTTGACCGTGGGAGATGTCGTCGCTTGAAGGGGTTGGAAGACAATCAGCAATACCGTTAACCAGGTGAATCGAGGCATCGAGCACCAGAGAAGTATCATTTGGGTGATTGGGACATCCGCATACCCAAGGGTCGACCGAATGACAACCGCATTGAGCCAGTTTGCACAGAGATGCAGAAAAGCGATCGAAAGCCCTCCCAGAATCCAATGTTGTGAGTGCAGGTAGCGCAGATACATACGTGTTGTGGAACTGGTAGCTTTTCTCGGGCGAAATAAACCAGCAAGAAAAGTGGCTAGGTTGATTAAACCAAGACTCCCAAGCTTCCATTCGATAGAGGCACATGCGTGCATTGGTTTCGGAGATTTCGAATGATTGATAGAGGTCGTATCCGAGTCTTTGGATGGTTTGATGCTCCATCTCCAAGGAATCATGTCGAGGGGAGTAGGGGCGGCTAACTGGCGCCAATGCTTCGGTAAGCCGTGCCACCCCGACTCGCCACCACAGAGGTCGCGGAGCCATGTTACATAGTTTATCCGGGTTTCGAAGATATGACATGATCCCTTGCACATGTTATAGCTTATGTTGCGGCAGAAGCAAGCCCTGTCTATCGTACGCTTGATTTTGCAATAGCCAGCTGAATCAGACTCGCAAACGTCAGTCGCACACCGATCGGTAAGCCCAATCACTTTTTTTGACATGGAAGCGACACAATCAGGCCAACGCCACTTCTCGGTAGGAATATAAGCGTGTGTTGTCGTTTGGAGTCCGTCTGTCCAATTAATGGGTAAGGAAGTCGTGCCGCAAGTAGCATTCAACCACAGCCGCTCCCTTGTCGAAGCTAGTCCCGGAGCTGAACAAGGCTCCAACTGCAGGTCTATACTGAATGTGTCACAAAAGCATTGCTTATCGAAATAATCGCCATATCGTATACTTTGCGAAGTGACGTCGTACCCGACCGTCTCGGAATCCAATGCGATAATGGACCGCAGTGATTCACTGTATTCCCATGGCCGAGCGGCATTACCGGTGTGCTGAGTGTTGGATGCGAAAGCACAAGAGGCCATTATACGATGGAATGATTCCATCGTTGATGCAGAAGCCGAGTCTTTCAGGCACGTTGGTGCCTTATTAGTCACATCCATGGTGGCATACCCTCCAGTGAGCGAGGCTGGAGAGAGGTTTTGCAAACCATTGGCGTCGCCGACATCGACAAGCCATGTCCGACCTGTGACTGTACGTATCCATCGATATAGTTGCGCCTTGGCAAGCACGGATCGGCTGCAATACGGGAGATAGGCCTGGACGATATCAGAGGAAATTTCAGTGCTGAGACAGCTAAGCTGAGTGAGCCACTGGTGGTGGGTACAAATCACTCCAAAATGTGAAGTGCATCTTTTACCCGTACATTTCGTTATCGCACCTAGCCAGGAGGAATGGTTTTGTTGAGCGATGCACTGTGGCATGGGGATCAGATCTTCAGGGTTTACCCAGCCACCGCGATTGGCTAGAGTGTCCAGAGTCTGATCATCATTGCGAACTCCGATCTTAGCAGGATGAAGCACTTCTGTTTTCTCTCTTAGCATTGGAGACACTGGAGTCATAAGAACGCGATTACCTTGGGCAGCTACACAAAGAACGACGACTGTCAACAGCACGAAGGATATACTGAGAACCTTCATTTCATCAAGTGGTTCAGCTTGACGTAGTATCTCAGGAGCGATGGTATTGTCTGCCTGGTTCGGATGAGGCCTGATGGCGTTCAGGTGCGGGGTTACGGCACATCAGCGGATTATCTAGTATCCGTATCACGTGTCAATTACTCTGAATCTTCGATTGGTTCAAATATTCTCAGCCCTGGATTGTTGCAAAACGTTGAAGATGTAAAACTCAATCAGTTTAGTGTATCGAAAGAAAGAGATCGCCACTTTTGCTACTAGACAAGAACATACAGATCATCATCAGCGCCGTCGAGGTAGAACAGCAGTTACATCTACGCAGCCGATACATGATCGTTTGCTACTGAAGTACAATGGCGTCACTATAAGCTCTTGACTCCACGACCGCCTCAAACGCTTCCAGAAACCATTCTTAGAAAAGGCTGTGCTGCATCGAGCACAACACCAACGATCTTATGTCAAGGAATATTTATTGGGCCTCTGTTGCTAAACCAAAGTGTAGATTCTAGAGACAATCAAAGGCGACCCAGGTGTTGGAGACAAGGTGTGTTGATATGCAATAGTGTTACATCAAGCAGATACCACAATTCACCGACGTCAGATCAGCAACATGGGTAAGGCCCATCATCGGTGGGTACATATAGTCGTTTCGATCTGCTGCATCTACGCGCGTTGCAAACAGAACTTGGGAGTTCAAATCTCTCGCAGCCCGTGACCGATCAATCGGCGCTAGACGTGCCACAGCGGTGGCTCGTGCAGTAGGCCGAAACCGAAACCGAGAGCATATGAAATCACAGATCCAGCAGATCGGTCCGAAATTTATCGATAATCAGTGCAGATTGAGATATGCCCGGTCGCTATTTCAGTCCTGTTGCGTAAAAACGCGAAGACCACAGTTCACTTCGGCTACGCTTGTAGCGTGCTGGAAGCCTGATTTGCAGACTTTACATTATCTGATTATGTGCTGAACAGCGACAACCATCCAACCTTGCGATCATTCCAGATGCATAATGGAGATTGGATCTTTACAGCCTGACTATGAAGCTGCCTAATAGGACAGCTAAATCGCCTTGCGATTGATGATAACTGGGATGTGTAGCATAGACTCGGGACCAAAAGCACCACTAGTGTGAAACAAGGTGATAGCTTCAAATATATCATTGGCATATTTATATCTCATTTTGGCTGTGGAAGATCTGGTATTCTTTGGAACGGACATGAATACGACAAGAACAATAGTGTGGGCTGGATTTGCAGATAGGAAAGAAATAATCAACGTTCGTTATGCTTCGAGTAACCGGTCCATGCCGGCACCATTAACTCGGAGTCGTCCAGTCGTTCGGCTGTCTTGCCCGGTAATCTTCCAGCACGATGTTTGCGGAGCTCTCTAACGGAGTGAATTGCGGTGTAAATGTTCGAACTGCTGCAAGTTCCGAGTCAGCTTTTCCAGAAGATTTCAATACTGTCATCTTTGGTAACTTACGCAATCAGGACAGAGAGTGCGACCACAAGCCAACTTAACGTACAGTCAACTCCTGTGCATTTTGAGACATTTGAATCAAAGACAAAGAAAGTGACAGCAGCCCAGGCCACAATTTCAAAACAGTTCATGAAAGCGTTTGCCCTGTAGCTATGCCATCGGCTGAACCAAGTCGTATGCTCTGTCAGTATTTGATACGCGATAAAAACGAGCGATTTTGCACCCTGCAAAGTAATTAGCTACAGTATCGCTCGTACGATGGGATGCAAGACAAACAATGGTAAGTGCAAGCAGATTCTCTTTTTTCTTGAATTGGTAGTCCATCGAGAGTCTCGGAATTGTGAGGCTCATGGCTGCAATGATCAACATTGCCTGGAGAGCGTGGACGAAAGCAGCAAGTTTAGAGTATGACGAATGCATTGTGAGCAAAGAAAACACAAATGATAAGATGCTCAGGCAAAAAGACAAAAGGAAAGTAGGTGGTGTCGCACAGCTGGGTGTGGATCTTGTGAAGAAGGAAAACCAAGAGATGATGTATGTGTTATATTGTTTGTAGCATCCTAGATCATTTTATATGAAGGTCATCGCAAGGGGTTATTAGTAACAAGGTCTATCTTCCAAGAGCATTGAGCCTGCGACAGATGGTAGTGATGAGTTTCAAAAAGAAGGTATATGCGGACAACATGAAGTCGCTTGTTGAGGCATTAACCAATCTTGTCACTGTTGAGCTCACGCCATGACTAGTTGAAGCGAGAGCGAGAGCGAGAGCGAGAGCGCCACCAGTCCGTGCAACAACGAGGCTTGGCCCCGAAACGTACTAACCATGAGGTGACATCTTTCATTGGACTATTTGGAACATAAAAATATTGTTTCTATCGCGAAACCACCTAAACACATTTGACTACGACGACTGGAACAATTGCAGAATCTACAGCATTACGCATCCCAAGACTACTAGATAACTCCCCCGACACCGTTGCTGCCCTGGCAGGACCGGGCAAACAGATCCTGACGCTCATATCACTGTTCAATGAAAAGTGCGCGGACTGAGCGGCCACGAAAACAGTAGGAGGGTTGGGAAGATTCGGGTGATGTAGTCACGGGACGCTGTAATGATGCGTCACTCAGAACAGACGCCTCAAGTTTGCAAGTGTTTGCCTCAAGAGACTGGTGACGATCGTCGTCAGCACGATGTCGCAGATTCAGTGCTATGGGTCAGGTAATCATATTTTTCACAAATTTTGGCGCCTTCAAAACCTGCACTGAGAATCTGAAAGAAGAAGTGTTGTATGTAAAGGAGTGGTGGAGAAATGATTCGCTTGATATGCTTTTTGACATTGTTGCCTACATCATTCCACATAAGAAGTGAAATATTCCTGACTTGTCGTCTATCGCACCAGACTTGTTGAATATTCAGGCCTCTAGAGGAAGATGTGAGACTATGTTTACAGAAACTGGCAACAAACTTGAACCACAGAGGCGCAAAGTGGGCAGCCGACCATCGGCTGCGTTGAGGTGCATTCAGTGGTGGACCCACGTGCGTTTGAGACCACCAGAGAAGGCAGCAGTAATATACGACGACGAGAAGGTTACCGGAGGGGTTGATACAGAGATGTAGGATGAGGCGCCACCAACAGCGTTCAAGGAAAATCCATCTTGGCCACATGAACTACCCGAGGCGAAACACCCCTGTACAGCCTTTTGCGATGGAGTAAGGAAAGCATAAGGCCATGACTGTCTTCAAATCAGCAAACAAGAATCCTCGATTCTATTTTGTCTCACTCATTGGCAGGTTTGATTGTATCACATATTATATACTCTTGTCTCCTTGATCAAACGGCGTTCCGATCTATTTGTAGCAGCTGAGACGCCGTTATCGTATTTGCTCAGGATTCTTGAATAAGCAAAGAACATCACTGCTATTGCGGGATGCCTATTCAGTTGTAGGGGTCACCGCACTGGCGAGCCAGATCCTGCAATGTGGTGTCCTTGATAAGGGTCACAGCATCTATACCGGTGTTGCCAGCCCTAGCAAGCTTTTCAATCTGCACCAACAGTACTCGCCCAAACATCTCCGCTAACTCGTTGTTGATAGCTCCATCTAACCACGATAACACGATGCCAAGTTCAGTGTGAAACTCATGGTCATGAAGATTCTGGACAGAGCAGCCAACTACATCGACGTAAAAAGCCACACCCCAAGGCATGGGCGATTGCGAAAACCACAACCCCTGTAATTTGTTCTTCACCTCTTGCGGTCCTTCGTCTAATTCTAGCAAGCCAAGATTTGATAGAGCAAAGGAGCTGCGGTAGGGCACAATCGACGCACCCTGCTGAGTTAAGAACGTCTCGAAACCTGTCGGACATGGAGTAACTTTTGAACCTTGGACGACAAACGATGGCGTGCCGGGATACGGTATGTCAGGTATCAATCCAAGCATGCCCGCTCGCCGTTTCGCTGCTTCTTTGCCAACCGTCGAATGTATGTATGAATGATATTCTGACGTGGTCTGATGGATTGTCTGAGTTTTGAGTTTTTCGATATCTGCTGCGAAGTCGGCTAGTGCGGTATAGTTGCCAACTAATGGCGGGTGACCAAGCTGTCCAGCGCGAAGTGCGATTGGCGTCTCTGTAGTGATACGCGTTGGCGGAGGCTCTCGATACTCAGTGTCGGAGGTTGCTGAGAGCAGGGCCGTCAAGCAAGCCGTATGGATAAGGCTTTGCATCGAACCAGCGCCGGAGAACTTGCCAAAGCTTTTCAAGCCAGCGACAATCGTATGTCCAGAGCTGCCAAAATCGAGCCGGTGTCTACGGATCCGGCAGTCCGTTGGGCGTTTGTCAAGCATTTCCGCCGTAGGCCAGAACGACGGTTTTCGGAATGGTCCATGAAAGCAAGCAGGCAACGAATTGATCAGAATTTCCTGTCCAATCGCACGTGCTGCCTCCATATAGGTTGGACACATATCCATAGTGTCCTCAGCGCGTGGCCATAAAGACTCAGCTCTTGTATCGTTGGCATCCAACTCAGGACCGAGGAGGAGGAGCTTCAAGAATTTGAGAGCTCCACTTCCATCCATGAGTACGTGGGAAAGCGTCAAGGTGACAAAGCAACCTGTGGAACCAGTCGTGTTATAGATACCGATCCTCCAAAGAGGTCCTCGATCCAGATCTAACGATAGACCCCAATCTTCCTCATTGTTCATGACATCCTCTAAGTCCCAAGTCCTCGTATCTTCGAGATGAACAACCGAGTGGAGTTCTAATGGCAAATCGTTCGCCTGCCATCGTGGCTTTCGCGTTAGTCTATCAGCGACACTTGCTGTAAGTAGTGGATGGATTTCAAGTAGCTTGCTGACGTTCCGTGATATAGTACCATACGTATCGCTAGCTGAAGAGTTCCGAAACAAAGAAGCCAGCATGATGAGTGGCATAAAACCACATTGAGCTTCTGCGAGCTCGAAGCGCTCTTGGCGACCGAGATATAAGGCCATGTTTTCGTGGTAAGTTGCTGATTGAATTCCAGAAAGCCTCGAGCTATATGTAACCTTGTCCAGCCGCCTCGGCTCTTTTTCGGCAGCTCGTAAAAGTAGCTTGCGCTCAGTGGGCTCGGACGGGACCCAGCTCACAAGGATTCCGAAGACGCCGCCAACGCCATATGATCTAGCACCAAATTTGCGAGAATCTCAAAAACTATTGACCAATGTCTTACCCTGACCCCGCTGTGACGCAAACACTTCCTGTGCTGCAACTTCTCTACAGACTGTAGTTTCAAACAATTCTGTATTGCTCCTATTGCTCTGTTATGCTGTACGCTTATTCTTAACACTATAGCTGAGATTGTTATGAGTATTGTGCCAATAAGCTGTACTCACTGTCAATGAATGAACGTAACTCAAGATTCGTACAGATGGTCAATCCTCGCGACGCACCTTCCGATCTTTTCCGTGAAGAGGACTCAACCCATGTTCTCATCACGGAGATGACCGTGCTACGTCAGACCTTGGCATGCTGTATCGTCCGGGGTGTGCCTTCGAGCTAGCTAGCTAGCTCAATGAAGCCGAGGTGTGATGCACGCTCCTTGAAACATCTAGGCTGATCACGCGTGTTCTATCTTGGCATAAGCGGACTCTATCATTCCGTCCAGGAGCGCAATTGCGGCTTCACTGTGTTACGAAGACTACCATTTGGGCCAGCATATATGACACTACAACGATTGTGAGATCGTTTAGCCAAGTGCACCTACTCATATAGATGCACCTGATGAGCGAACCCCTCCTGTAGGGACTGATAAGAAATTTCCTACCGTAAACAGTATTATCGGGAGCGCGGACAACCTATGACGAAGAAGGAGGCCAGCAATCTCCACCTCTATACTGGGTGAAAGCTCCCGTTGATCTTGTAGTACTGACGACTTTTATAGTGTTGGTCCAAAGCCTTCTTGTTTGCAAAGGGCTTCTTACAGACATTGCATCTGGACAAAGTGTCATGGGATGGTGTGTCGCGATGTTTGTCCATCGCCTTCTGGCTGCAGAACTTCTGCTCGCATTTGGGGTACACGTGAACACCGCGGACAGCTGCATTGTCAGCGCCGTTGTGAAATCTCAGCGCATTGCTAGGATTGAATCTTATTGGAGCAATTGGGATATCGGCTCGCCAATGCGCCAACTGTCGTGTGTATCGGGGGACTAGTGATAGAAAAGCCAGATACTTGAAGGCGCAGTCTGCTCCGTTTTGTGTACCCACAATCGTCACGACATAGGTATAAGATCAGACTCTTGTATATCGGATGCAGGACAAATGACTGAATTCGGAAAACAGTCTGAGTTTCGGGTGTGTTTTCCATTGTAGCTAGCCTAGTGTCACTACATCATATTCCAACCATATTCCTGTATGAGCGCTTGTAATCTACGCACCAAAGCAGTTGACAAATTTAGATATTATCAAGAAACGACCATCGGTGATAAGATCGATCCTCTCAACAATGTCCGACCTGCAACAGCAAGCTATCAATACTGTATATCCAAACAGGGGTATATCCAGCGACTCTCAGACCTCTATATTGTGTCCTCAGCGGATTACTGATCGAGATGAGAATGCAGCTTCGTTCTAGGAACATTTACTTATGCTTATATGATTTGACAACGATTCTATAGATGAGCGAGATGATCACTTACGAAGAGTAGTTTGTACTTAGGAGAGTCTGATTATAGCAATATCACATCATACAAACTACCCCATCTTCATCAAACCTCTCATACAATGTTCTCGTCCCCAGCCCTCTCCTTCCTCTTACCCACACCATCCACCAAGTCTTCCTCCAATCCCCGATTCACCCTAAACCCCAGCCCAGGCACCTTACTCCTCAACGCCAAGCTGCTACAAACCACACTCACACTACTCAACGCCATGGCCAAACTAGCCCAGACAGGGTCAAGCCGAACATGCTTCCTACCAGACTCCTCCATTGCCATGCCCCCTTCCATCCCAATCCCATTATGATGCATATCCATTTTCTTGCTACCACCAGTCGTAATGGGAAATAAGACGCCAGCAGCAATGGGCATAGCGACCAGGTTGTAGACGAGGGCCCATCCGAAATTAAAATACACACGGCGGAAGACCACGCGCGAGAGGTCGAGCAGAGTGAGAATGGTCGTGAGGCGCGAGTTGATGAGGATGAACGAGGACGAGGAAAGGGCAATGTCGGATCCGGAACCTATTGCTATGCTGAGGTCGGCAGTGGAGAGAGCGGGTGCGTCGTTTATGCCGTCGCCTACCATGGCTACGGTTGCACGTTTTTGCTTGCTCATCTTTTGCTCTTTCAAGTTCTTGTTTCGAGATAGAGACGGGATACGAAACAAGGACTTGTGCGGCTTGGTCAGCGTTTGCTGTAGGTACTTGATCTTTTCTGCCTTCTGGTCTGGCAGCACGCCGGCGATGATATTGGAGGTGGGGATACCGACTTGTGCGCCTACAGCGTTGGCGGTGATTTGGTTGTCGCCGGATAACATCCATACGTCTACACCACGTTCTTGCAAAGCTGAGATAACGCTTAGTGCTTCAGGACGCAGTGGATCAGCGATGGAGAAGATACATGCGAGTCTCCATGTTGATGAGCTTGGGGTTCCGGCAATGGGGGTTGATAGGGACTCTGATTCGGTGGGAGACTTGGAAGGCTGAAGAGCACCTTGATCGCCGTCCCGTGGTAGAAACAATGCGACTAAAGCGACTGACTTCCCTTGAGACTTCCACTTCTGTAGCGATGAGGCATCTTGAGCGAGAATGGGTACGTGGTGATCAGCCATGAAGCCTTCGTTACCAATGATAGCGGTAATCTCTTGACCATCGATCCTAAACGTACCCTTTAAACCCTTTCCAGGAACCTCATCAACATTGACTGCAACATGTGTATCGTGAACTTCCTGGTCACAGAAAGATACAAGTGCTCGAGCAATAGGATGATTACTGTTCTCCTCGAGCGCCCTGACAATGCCCAGCACGAACGCAGCGTTCTGGTTATCAGCGAACTTGTGATTTGTCACCGCTGGGTCACCACCTTGTGTCAAGGTACCGGTCTTATCAAAAACGATGCAGTCCAATGAGCTAGCTTCCTGGAAAGCTTCACCACCTCCTCGTACGAGAATACCGTGTTTGGCAGCCAGACCGCCTCCGACAAAGAGCGCAGTTGGCGCGGCCAGACCGATACCGCAAGGACAGGCGATGACAAAGACAGCTATGGCGAAGCGGAGAGACCAGAGCTCCCAACCACCAGCACTCTCGTTCTTCCAGTCGCTAGGTATGGCCCCAGTAGTACCGAGAATCAGCCAAACAAGCCATGTAATTATGGCGGCGGCAATGACAAAAGGTACAAAATGCGAGGTAATCGTGTCAGCGACACGCTCAACAGGTGCGCGGCGCGACTGTCCTTCTCTCACAGCATTGATAATCTGATCCAGCATCGAAGTACCAGATATGGCTGTGACTTTGATCTTGATTGGAGCGCCTTTGTTGACAGTGCCGGAAAAGACTGTATCGCCCTCTGCCTTCTTGACCGGACGCGATTCACCAGTCAAGCTCGATTCATCAAAGTTCGAGTTGCCTTCAATGATGTCTCCGTCAAAAGGCGGCGAAGTGCCATTATGGACTCGGACGACATCACCAATCTCAAGAAGATCAGTAGCGATCCTGGTGTCGCCTTTCTCCGCATCAACAAGGATAGCCTCATTTGGGCGGAGCTTACCAAGCGAGGTGACAGCATCGCCAGTTCTCGCCTTACTGTAAGCTTCCAAGAATCGACCAATGAGTAGGAACATCGTCAAGAAGACCACCGCATCAAAGTAGGAATCATTCATCGAGCCAGAAGACTTCTTCGTGGCGGCCAAGATGAGTTCAACAATAGACGCCAGATATGCGATCGTTGTTCCAAGCGAGATGAGCATGTTCATGCTGCCGAAACGTGTGAAGCGATGTAGATACGGTGTTCGGCTCCCTGGTCGCCACATCGATCTCAGCTCTTTTAGCGCGCGGCGGTGGAACGTATCGGCGGCGAAGAAGTAGACGGGTGTAGAGAGGATGAACAGCGCCCAGCTGAGTCGAGTAACATTGCCTGCCCACATGCTGCCCATGAGATATCTACGTATAGGATTCTTAGAGCTAATCAAGCTCATGAAGACGATGCCAAGGACAAACGTAGGGATAGCGACTATGATGCACAGTACAAGACGGAACAGAATACGTGTCCGCTCTTGCGCATGCATCTCGCGCGCTCGCTCTTCAAGAGTCGGAGGGTGGAAGACCGAGGGCTGGAATGCAGGGTTAAAGCTTTCAATTGTTGCGAAGATTTTTCGAATCGTGAACCGAGGAGAATTCGGTACATATCTGATGTGAAGGATAGGTTGCTGTAGAGATATCGGCGGGTCCTCCATCAAGAGACTATCTTCTTCTGCGAACGCTTCTTGCAATCCTCGCGTGATGTTGTCTGGGCAGTGGTGACAGAACATACCATCTATGCGAATTGCGACAGAACGTTCCATGCTCTCGGTCAACGCAGTTCCTTCTTGTACGACCTGATCTAGTGTTGCAGTGTATCCGATATCTTCGATGGTTTCCTTGATTTCAGGAAGATGCTCTTTACCCCGGAAAACGATGGTCGCACTGTTCGAGATCAGGTTAATGTCGGCTCTCTCGATCCATGTAAGAGGTTGCAGCGCTTGATTCACGTTTCCGACGCATGCGGAGCATGTGAGGCCTCCGAGGGAATATGTTGCGCGCCATTTCTCGGTCTGCTGCTTCGATGCCGCCACCGTTTTTGATGACATGTGCTGGACCTCTTCCAGCTTCTCGACTGCAACGTCGAAACCGCAGTCTTCGATCGTCTCGACAACCTCTCCGCATTTGTCCTTGCCACTGAATACAATCACACCGCTGTTTGTCAGAAGATTGACATTGACCGATTGAACCCATGGATGTTGTTGAACCGCGTGGGTGATAGCGGAGACGCATGAGCTGCACGTCATTCCAGTGAGAGCTAGCGTCACCTTGTAAACCCGTGAAGCGGCAGATGAGTCAACAGCGACGAAAGACTCGGATGTAGGCGACTTTGGTTCAGGCGATGTAGAGCCATCAAGACTACCCCTAGGCGAAGACGTAACGACAGGCGCAGGCTTGAACGGCGATACCCCTTGGCTGTGCAAGGTGACTCCACCACCTTCTCTCTTACACTGCTCACATTGAGCGAGATGTGTCTCTTTCTTCTTCATGTCGTCGTGCGAACCGTCGAGGCCTGCGACAGGACGTAACCAATTGTTCACAGCACGTTCAAAGCTTGTGTGCCACTCCCTGCTCGTTCCCTCAGGGTTCTTCACCTCGATCGGATTCCTAACCGCCTTGTTGTCCTGAAACACACTATGTATCTCGAATCCAGCAGCCTCGAGCGAGATCGTGATGTCGTCGACGTCAAGGCTTGTGGCGTGGCGCACAACCACTGAATGCGAAACAATGGAAACAAGAACGTCCTGTGGCGGGGGATCGAGCGCGCTGAGAGAGGCCTGGATACCGTCGACACATGACGGGCAATGCAGATTAGAAATAAAGCATGTCGTGGTGATAGTGCTCGCTACTGCTTGGTAGCGCAATCTGGGTGACGGTGCCGCGGGTGACATAGTGACAGGTTCGGGTTTTGGGTGACGTTGGCTACGCAATATCGAGAGTATCGGTAGTCCTCAGTCGATCGGGTAGATGAGCTTCTGGTTTGGGGGATAATTATTGGTCGTAGTGGGCACCAGTCCTGGGAAATAGCCAACGGCTGGCCTCACGCAATCAAAGCAATCAAAGAAGCGACTGGGCGTAGATGAAGAAAGAGAAGTCCAAGGAGAACACCACACGATACTAAGAAAATCTGCATATAAGTGAAACTACGTTTTCCCGAGCGGTTTCTGCGTGATATGTCATTACCACCTACGATTGTGATTCATTGTCGAAAAGCGTGACAGTGGCGGCCGCACAAGTCGCGCAGTCACCACAAATGAGGTTTAGCGGGTCGCCGCACAAACTGCGCAACCCACCCGTCTGACTCGCCACATCGTATTGTTGGTGAACGAACCCGGGGGCAAACCTGTGCGTGCAGAGCAATTGTGCAAAAGAAATCCTACTCCACTCTTCCGTGATGGCTTACTTCGTGGCTTATGCCATGTCAATATCAGCACATCTGCAGCCACGTGAAAATAAGCTTTTCGCTTGCCCCAGCTTCGCACATCTTTGGCTCCCGACATGCATGTTCATCATCTATACATATCGAAATCAATCTGGGAATACCGACAGCCCTATGCGATGGATCACGCGGGAGGACGGCATCGTGATTGCGGGGCAAGAGTCCCGGTGGCCCTTGTCCAGAATGGGAATTACGCGATTTTGCGAAATTAGTCTGTAAGCAGTCTGCTTTCTGATAGGAAGATCGGCACATTAACGGCTTTGCATCGGTTGTGTGCCGACGCAAACTGATGTTCAATCTGAGCCTGTCAATATCAGCAAGCATCTGGTATGTACGGCTATTACAATGCTACAAGGCCAATTCGCCGAGCGCAGAGGAGCTTGGACCTGAGCTTGTTTGCAAGTATGACTCGGGCTATGTGCACTGTCGAGAACAGATTTGACATCTCAGGTTCAAGGGAGGTCGCATAAGGGTGGGAGTGATAGCGGAAGGCGCGGATGAGTTAGCTCAGCATTTTCATGCTTTGGGACGTTCACCATCCTCCTGGACTATCAGTATGTATCATGGCTGCGTCTGGCAATATCGCCATCTCTGCACCAAAACAAAATCACCGTCCCAGGAGAACAGAACCAAGATGCGACGCCGTCACGTCACCGCCAAAAGCGCTGCTGCAAACCCAAAACAATCAACGTCCGGTCAGAAGAGCAAAAAAAAAAAACAAGCTGAGAACTCGGGCCACGGTAAGCCAGTCATGGATTACTTCAATCCAGTCGTCTTAACATGCTTATCATCTTCCACCTCTTGCCCCGAAGACGAGTCTCTCATAAAGCCCGAATGACCCGGCTCGTGCGAGTATGGTGGCGGCGAAGGAAGCCCCTGCTCCGCGTTCAACATCTCAGCAACCGGTCTACCCGCCAGTTCGCCCTTGGTTTGCATCGCCACCGTCGGTTCTGTTCCTTCAAGTCGTCGGTGGGCGGGAATAAAGACAACGTAGTATCTCGGCATGACCAAGCCGAACAGAACGACAATAATTGTGAGTATCGACAAGATGAATCCAGCAATCATCATGGGATCGTATCTCAGAGTGTGAAATTCCGGGAACGCGAAGCTAAAGATGATGGCGAGGACAGGTCCACTGAGGTACCTCAGAAGGAACGGCATAAAAGCTGGTATCTTCCAGTTCTTGCCCTGACCGACGATAACATTAAGGTCCCTTCGTAATTGGTTACCAGAATAGAACGCCAAGAACCAGAATTTCCTGATGAAGGGATTCGCGTTCCAGAAACTCGGCGCGCGCGCAACGGGAGGCCGTGCGACGATGACAGCTACAATGGCCATGAGGACGTAGAATCCGATTCCTGCCCCAGCGCCAGCTCCGGGTTGGCTGATACCGTGCGCAAGGCTGATGCCAAAAATCTGGCCACCAAAGAAACCAATGTTGTAGACAATAAAGGCGGGGAGACCGGTTTGATCGACGATGTCGCGCCAGCGGTAGACGGTCGTGGCGCTTGATACTTCGCTCCAGACGACGAAGATGAGAGCTACATTGTTCACCCAGCGATCGATGCCATCGAGGAGGTAGTAACCAAACTCTGTGCAGTATGGCAGACACCTATAGCAAATCCAGTTAGTAGCGGATCCATGGCACCACAAATGAATGAGAAGGCAATTGCTTACATCAAGAAGGAAAGCACTGTCAGCGCGGTGACAACAACCGGTCTCGAAGCCTTCGTCATGCCAGAATCACAAACTAACGTAACAACAACGTCGAGCATGACAAAAGCGGAGCTGAAGCCAAGAACAATGAGCGTGAAGAAGAGAAGTACGGCCCAGAAGTTTGCTCCAGGCATTTGCAACACAGCTTCAGGCAGCGTGAGGAACCCTACGACAAAAGCACCGAGACGAACGCCATCCTGCGGCCACCTTCGCAGGTACCCGACGACGCCAAAGACGGCGAACGCAGCGAAGTTCTCGAACAACACGTTGCTACCGCAGATGAGGCAGGCGTCCATAACGGCGTTGGCATGCTTCGTGTTGTAGCTAGCGTACGAGGTGAAATACCCGAAGCCGATACCAGTGGAGAAGAAGACCTGACCAACAGCCGTCTGCCAGACAACGCCAGAGGCAAGCTGATCGCTCCTCCACGTTCTCCACACGAGGTCCACTCCTTCCCTCGCATTAGGAAGGGATAGCGCGCGCCCGACGAAGATGATGGTGGTGACGATGGGTAAACCCATTGTGAAGTAGACGACGCGTCCGGTCATGCCGACTCCACGGAAAATCGAGATCCAAATAAGAAACCAGACAAAGATGCTCCAGCCGACGGTTTCGCCGATAAGAGCGCCGTTGGGGTATCCAGTGAATGAGAGAACGGAATTGCCATCCGCGCTCAGGCTTCCCTCGTTGATTTCTCCACGCTGGAGAACGTCGTTGTAGTAGAAGTCATCGATGCGGTTGGTCCACGGCAAGGGACTGGTGAAGCTTTCTTGGAAGTATCTCATGATCCTGTGTAAACTGGTATCAGGACAGATCCAGTCTGGAGCTCGTGAAGGGAATATTTGCTTACCAAGCCAGGTTGACAGTAAAGTATTGTACGACGAGGAAACTGACGATCACAGGGCCCATACCCACGCCTTTTAGACGCGCGTTTATATTGTTGACTAGCGGAGGCATGTTAGTCTAGCATTTGGCGTGTATTTGCCAAATGAGTTATCTTACAAGCAATTACAGTGCCACCACGATACGCCTGGCCAATGGATACTTCCAAGATAAGGGCCGGGATAGCAATGAGAAAAACAGCCAGCAGGTACGGGATGAACCATTGGAGGCCATAGTTGTTGTAGAGAACACTAGGGTATCTAAGCAAATTGCCCTGGCCGGCGCAACCACCCATGGCAGCGAGAAGAAAAGCTGCTCTGGAAGGCCACTGATCACGACCATCTTCGCTTTGCGAAGCAGGAGGCGCTAGGTAGCTGCCGACCTTTCGCAAGAATGGCATTGCCATCTTGACAGAAGCTCGTTGTAGCGATGATCAGAGGGGAAAATGTAAGATGCTCGCCCTCGAAAAGACTGCAAGTACGGGCGATTGACCTTGACAATGTTGGATCGACGCCACTTAGGGTAGAAGAATGGGATGCGGAGGGAAGCGTCAACGTCGACATCGAGAAGTGAACTGATTTTGTATCCTGTTCAGGGTACCCGCCCCACTACGTCCGCCAAGATTGTACCAAATCTCTTCAATCCACGTTCGGTTCATGGTGGTAGTGGCTTGAGAGTGACCCTGCAGCCTTTAGGTAAATCCACATGGTTGAGCCGCCCCATCAGACCATCGGTGGTGTGGGTCACGGTAACTCCGATGCTGGCCATCACACAGAACAAGCTTTTGCCAGTGGATAGGTCCTTCTTTTTGGTAAATCACTGCATGCTATGGGGCAAAAACACGGATCTCGGTGAGGTTGTGGAGGTGCACCGTTGGGAGCCAAGCTTCCGCCGGGGAGGGTGTGGAGAAAGGTCCATCGGCAAAGGCCTGGCGTACGTAAGATGGTTGAGTTCTAAAAGCCCCGACGAATCAAATTTGCTATCAATGCCGACATCCGCGTGCCAACGCTGGGCAGGGCTCGGTTCCGCCGCAGCTGTCACGTCACCAACGATCCTTCGCACTGAATTGAGTGCTTGTTTGCCGTTCAAGCAGCTCGGGCAGATCTTAGGTTGCCCAAATTTCCGGGATTTTCAATGTCTGATGGCGTGCTTGGAGGTCACCACGGGGTGAAGGTCAACCTCTGTGAAAAGAAATGTCAAGCAAATCTACGCGCGACAGGTATGTAAACCCGTCACAGTGCTAGCATCAGGCGTGCCGTGCGATCGGCATCGTGTGGGTTGCCTTTCCGTGCTATGCAGCTGTGTGCCACATTTCAGGACGCACTGGGTGTAGTCGGGTGACCCGACGATCTGGTAACATGCCCGCTAGAAAGAGGTCAGGGTGGCCGTCCTTGGTGTTACGGTGATGGTGCTGTGAGCCACAAGATCTGTGTCAGCCACAGCACCGTCCCATCAGGGCTAATGAGAAAGCGGCGCTTTGAAGTTGAACAAGTGCCGTGTTCAATGAAGCGGTCAAGTGTCCTGCTCATCCTGCGCTTTCCATCGAAGATATTGTACAGTAGCCTTCTCAGCCTCCAGCTCAGCTGCGAGAGTGTTGTTGCGATGCGTCAGCTCCGTGATTCTGGCGTCTTTCGCTTTGATCGTGCTGCGCATGAGGTCGCGGCCTCTTCTGTATCCTTCCGCACTTTTGCTGTGCCGTACTAGCACAGTCCTAAGCTCCTTCTCGCAATGCTCTGAGAGGGGCACGTTGCTATTCTTTAGCATGTCAAAGACATCTTTGACGATGTCTTCATCCATCGCATTCTTGAACCGACTTGGAGTGGGCGTTCCATCCGAAGAAGGCAGTGTCGCGACCTGCTTGTTGCCATCCGCGTTAGGTCCGGACGTTGGCGTGAACAGAGCACTCCCTGTGGTCGGGAATTTCGATGCGAACGGATTATCTACCTGACTCTTATGATGGGTTCGAGGTGTTTGTAAGCCGTTGTTTCTGGAAATGCTGCCCGACTCCATTTGCCATGGTAGTTTTTGTCTCTTCGGTGCGGGAGTTGTGAAGTCGGTCGTTCTAGCAGCTTTGCTTGGCGTCTCAGCCGCAACCATGACTTGATTTAGATCATCGTCATCAACCTGCCCGAGACCATATTCGTCATCGGAATCATCTTCCATGGGCCGCGATCGCTTGCGACTTGCTGTGGACGAGTTTGCTTGGACTGTGTAATGTGGTGGGGCGCGGGGCGGACGCCTGGAAGGCGTAGCTGGTGTGGTGGGAGCTGGATTGGCAAGACCAGGCTCGGTGCGAGAGTTTCTTGCTAGAGTACTCTTCTCCCTGGGCTGCGCGTCGTGGTCCCAGAGGAAGAACTTGCACTGCTCTTCCTTTGGCTTTTGGCAAGTACGAACTGGCGAGGGTTAGGGAGATACTTGCGAGGCAAGGAAGCAGGAACATACACCATTTGCCTTTATTTGCGCCTTCCTTCTTGGTCTCGAAGTGTACTGCAGGCAGGCGCGGATTGCAGTCACCTAACCACCGTCAGCCATGTTCATGTGTACAAGCGACACAACTTGCAGTGCCAGACACCATTGAGAAACTGTCCCTTGAGCGTCCCGCCACCACCAGTACGTCTACCCCTAGACGCAGACATGACGATAGTAGAAAGTAGAAGGCAGCGATGATGTCAGTGTTGATGTGTCGCGGTGGTTGGCGACAAAGCGTCGGGCTGGGGGAATCGGTCCGAGCAGGTCGCTGAACCCTGGCTCAAACGACTGCAGCGGGGTGGACCTCAGACAAGCGTTCCTGGGGCGCTCAACGCAAACGCTCCACTTGGCTTCCGTCGCATCTCGTATCTGGCCACTCGGATACGCACGCTGGCCTGGTACGGAATGTAGCTGCAATCATCCACCTCAATACTCAAATTCTTATCCTCCCGTTGGCTGCGTCCCGGCTTGGACACGCGGCTGCATCCGGGCATGTTCTCGACCATGAGCCTATTCCTTCGCCCTTTTGGCATCCGATCCCGCATCTCGCACATGCTTGGCTGCCCTTCCCGAGTACCACCAACCGCGATAATCATGCCCTGTACGACTGTATAAAGGTTACCAGTACACTCTCCCACCCTCCCTCTACCGACGCACGCTCATTGCGCGCGCCACCATGCTGCTCCGCTCAGCGCGAAAGATTCCGCCGTCCTTTGTCCTGCTCCTCGTCTTCCTCGTCTTCTTGGGATGGCAACTCAGTCAGGGTCCGAGCCATGAGGAACTTCCTCCGCCCCCACCCCCAGATGTTCCTGCGCCCCCGCCAGTCGAGGCAGAACAGAAGCCCCACGAGGAAGAGAAGAAGCCCTTGCGAATCGCCGTCGTGACATTCGTAACGGACCAAAGATCCTATCTCCACCTCTCGCTCAAGAACAAAGACCGTAAGTCCAGCCTTGCGAAATCGTCTCAGGGAAGTGCTGACACAGGGGCTCGATAGACTACTCGCGACGCCACGGCTATGACTTCATCACCGACTTTGAAGCGCACTCTGAACGGGGGCCTGTCTACTGGAAGTTCGACATGGTGGAGAGACTGGTCAAAACTGGCAGATACGACTGGATATGGTGGCTGGACTTTGACACCCTCATCACCGACACCGGTGTCAGAGTTGCCGACATCATCACCGACGAACTAGACAAGGCTGAAGATCCGGACCAAGTCGACTACATACTCACACACGACTGCAACGGCTTGAACTTAGGATCCTTTGCCGTCCGCGGACATGAACGATCTCTCGAATTCCTGCGCCGCGCACTCGAATTACGTGATGAAGCGGAGAACGGCGATGAGCACAAGAATTACAGCGAGCAGGACGCCATGGTCGAGCTACTCAAGGAGGATCCATACTCGGGCAGACATGTTGTGGCGCCCCAGTCAAAGCTGAACGCCTTTCCAAAGGATATACCGTGTTTTGAAAACGAAGATGGCGAATGGAAGCCGGGCAAGTTCCTCCTGCATTTTGCGGGTGCATGGGCGCATGTCAAGGGCGAGGATCCCACAGGTCAGCTTATGAAGAAGTATGAAGGGAATATCATTTGGGGCGACTGGAAAGAGTTTTATTGAGGGTAACTTTTCCAAAGGAGTTCGGGTATGTTGGCGTTTGGGCATGTACACGATATCCATGGTTACTTTTCTCATGATAAACCTTCTAATCTCGCACTCGAAAATTTGTCGAGCTATAGCACAATGTTGCCCAGGTTCTCAAATTATGCGACATCATCACCCATGGTATTTAGCCTGTCTGTCTCATGCTGTTCACACTTTGAGAGCCTCGCACCCTCGCGTTACAAAAACCGCAGCAGGGTGGCACGTACACCAAAAGATCGCAAACACTTTTCTGTGCGAAATTCAGTTCCAACAAAAGATTGCTTCTTAACCGGTGTTTCGACGATACAGCTGCCGACAAGTCGCTCCACATGTCCTTGAGCCCTGTCTACTTTTGAGCACTTACCTGAACGACTGGCAAGTGTCTACAAAAGCACAGCAAACACAACTCCATCGTAAATGACGCTGGTTCCTTCTGCCACATATCGTTCTATCTGATGCTATTTTGAGTAAAGTATTTTGTAAGGGGTGTGTAGAAGTAAGAGGCTGTGGGGTAAGTATTATATAGTCCTTAGAAGACGCACAAGCTCCGTGCCGCCCTCGGCTCAAGGCTTCAAACATGGCGATCGCCTATGTGGTACTCAGTTCACTCTCTCCAGTCATAGAGTATGCCATGTCGTGTTACGATACTCGTAAGCAGAGATCATGGTAGGCTTGGAGATTGATGAACGGGTTTGAAGATGGTGATGCCAACATGACTTTCTCTAGAGTGACTTTGAGAACGAGGATCATGGATTGTTTTTCTTAACAACTCTACAAACAACATGCCAGTATCGTTGTAGCCTTGTGGTGATAATCGAAACCGGGGTAGGTAAGACTATGCGGGATTCAAGCCAGCAGATAGTCAATTTAGAATAGGGGATGCGGACTTGCATGTTTGGAATTGACCGAGGGAGCGAACGCATCAGTACTCGCACCTCATGTTTTGGGAACAAAGGCCAAGGGCCATGACCTCTCTCGTTTCGACTTTTGGTCGGTAAAATGATAGTGCGTGTTTGTGGTAACGAAGAACAATGCATGGAATTCGCATTTATATCGAAAGCCTTTGGCTTGGCGCAGTATTCATGACCTGATTCGTGGAACTTTCCCAATCGAGAGATCCTGCCGAAACATGGAATGAACCAAACTTTCTTTTGTGTGGTCTTTCTCCTCGTCTTGGCCAGACAGATGTGAGGTACATCTTTTGGTGCTTCATCGGAGTCATAAAAATTTTGGGTGTTGAATTTCATGTCGAACAGGAGGAACAGCAAACACATGGCTTGTTGACTAGTTTTTTTGGTTATTGCGAACCGCCTTGTGCAGTGTAAAGAAGGAAGTGTAAGGTCAATACGAGAAGTTTATATACATGACGAGCTAGTGATTTTCCGCAAAGCAGCATATAGCATAGCGGAGTGAGATCAGGGTCTCTTGGAGTCATCCCAGAACAGACTGATGATTTCCAAAACTGCTCCCGAGATTTTAATATGAGAGTCGCATGTGCGACCCTTGATCTCGTCCGAGGTTGTCTCAATCACTTGTTGATTTTGCTTGGACATCGGGTCTCACATAGCAGGAAAAGTCAATGGAATACCAGAAACAGGACTTTGGAAAGCATCGTTATGTGTGATCTGCAACCAACCAGTTGGAGCATCAGTCCCGAAAGATGATCACGGATAAGTTTTCGAAATCACCCTTCGAAGAAAATAATGTAAAGATCATCGTAAGTTATTCATGTATGTTGCTAGAGCTACGGAAGCTGCGGAATAACATGCCGATGTCATGCGAAGACCCCTCAAGCCAGCCTCCACTGCTTCCTGATCAAGTGACTGCGATAAGCTGTAGCTTTCGGTCCGCGCTTTCCTCGCACCTGCTCAAGAAAGGACAGTGCCCACCACAGCAAGCAACACTGGCATGGCGTTGTTCGAAGCCGGGATAACAAACGTGTTGCTGCCATCGTCCTTCTTGACATCGCTCCATTTTGTTGAATTCGACTCGCTGTTGTGGTACGAGCCACCAAGGTCGAGGCGGCAACCGAACAACGTGGCCGATGCGTTCGCGTCACGGCTCAGTGCCGTATCCACCTTGGAGGTGATACTCTTGTACGCGTTCGAATCCAGCGAGATTTCGATACGGACGTTGTAGCCTACAACGATCTTGCTGACCTGCACCATCGGATCCCAGAGTTGCTTAGAGGCGGATTTGTACAAGTTGGGATAGGTCTTCTTGATATTTCCGGGGTTCCTTTGGACAATTGGTTAGCTACGACACTCGATCATGATGCGAAAACAAGACTGACCAGGTGCTCGATGGGTTGACCGCAAAGGAGCTGATGCCATCGGCAACGATCTTGACAGAGAGGCCGCTGGACGACTCATCGACTTTGACATCATCGTACTGCTTCGTGTGCGATTCGTTGTACTCAACCCTGAAGAAGGGCCAGAATCCGCCTGACGCATCGATTTTGCTCTCGTCGAAGCCAACAGAGTGCCAATCGTAGTTCGAAGTGTCGGAGGCGTTGATGACAATGGAAGCCTTCTCGTGCTTGTTATCCCTATCAACGGTCTGATCGATCCAGGCCTTGACTTGCTTCGCGTAGCCCGCATCAATATCGTACTTGGGACGATACTCATCTGCGACCGTGTTGTCGGCAGCCTCGGGTAGAGCGGCATTGACTATCATCGTGTACCTATTTCTATCGTCAGTAGGAAGCATCGTTCTCGTTGACAGAATGCGCATACGCTGAAGATTGTTGTGCTAAAGCCAGCTGGAGATCCCTCTTCATCTTCTCAAGCGTCATGTAATTAGACCTGTAGATCTGGTTCATCACGTTGTTATAAGCCGAGGACGCAGCATTCTGGTCATTCTCAGCGGCCGCATACATGGGATAGTTTTGGATAATCCACTGGTACAAAGGAGTACCGGGATAATCGAAAGAATCCTGCCAAGCAGCTTTGGCTTTCTTCGCTATTGCCTGGAAGTTTTGGGACGTTTCGCTCAGCCTCTTGTAAGCCTCGTCCCTGATTTGAACAAGGCCTGCCGAAGCATCAGTGTCCTAGGTGAAGGTCTTAGCCTAATCCTCCTTGCGACTCTCTTATCGAGACTACTTACGAGCTGGACCGCTGTGAGATAGTTCAGGCACCTCTGGGCGTAGCCATCATTGGAAGGAGTGAAAGAAGGGTTGTCAACCTCTAGCAAAGGGTCGCTAGCTCGGAAGACACCGAAGTTGGTCTGCGACTGCTTAATGGGTCCTGAAGCCAGAACTGCTTGGGAGTTGATTGGGGGGATGAAGATCTTGTTCTGCGATCCAAAGTCGGACTGCTGAAAGTAGTCATTCTTGATCTTGTTGGCATATACCTTTCAGAGTTCAGCTTCGGTCAGGGGCATATTGGCGAAAGTTGGAGGGTGGCTTGGGGAATCTGGTCAGGCTTTGGAGATCTTGGTTGCTAGAGAAGATGTGCTGGTTGCTGGTGTGTCTGACCTGGCGGGGAATGTCAGACTACTTATGCAGCTCGAGAACACGGAGCTGCCATAAATCTGACGGGTGCATTACAGTACGCCCAATGGAGCTGGAGATTGTTCAAATCACATCACTAGCCTGGACTGTTCCGTGATGCAGAGCCCGTACCGATTTGCGTGCCGCTACTCACAGCATATGGTGAAGTCTGCCTGCTGATACGTTGCGGTGACTATGGCGCTATCCTACCGCGAGCTTCATGCAGAGGCCAATATGACGGGGGAAGGCGAAGGGCTGATTTGATTGCGTGTCTATCTGCACGGCGTTCGTCATCGTTGACGGAACTGAGTGCTAGCAATCCTGTAGGCTGAGCTGAGGAGTCCTTAGTGTGCACAAGATTGTCCAGTGTCCTGTGTCCAGTGTCTATAAGCGAAACTTAGGAGCAAGATATTGTGTCTTGACCGTTGCCACCTCGCGCGGACTTGAACATGCCGGTGTATTTGGGGATGTTCTCTCTCCGTGGTTCTGCATGTCAAGCACTGCACAATACGCATATCAAAGGCCGTGTATCATTGATGAGATACGGATCGTTCGGGCTCTGAGAACACAGCGGTACCTGCTGATGCACGCAGCTCACCTCAAGTTTCGAGTGTAGCCGAAGCTTCATGCCTAATCGACTGTATTCTGCCGATCGAGCATACTCTCTCATTCACTGAGATTGCTATCATTACTGGTTGATTGTGCAATACAAAGGTGCGTGGTTTTACAAGATCAACCTAGTGTTACATCACATCTTTTTCGTATTCATTTGTGGCAAGCTCAACTTTTGTCTCATGCACGCGGATGTAGGTGCGTCGCTGCGCGAAGGATCCAAGGTTTACAAAATGGCCAATCTTTGGCCACACTCGCCGTTCAGTCCATCACGCAGAATGCGATATTCATGCCAGCAACAGAATTCAGGGCTTCGATAGGCAAGCCAGGGTGTGGGATAATTCGATGGTAGGGCCGATGTGGGTCTGCGGCTGAGGACCGGTCCGGTCCTTATGCCAGTCGTTGCTCCTCTTGGTGATTGTGGCTGTTGTGCGTATAGCTGAGCGTACCATACTAAGAGTCGCCAACGCCGCGCTAGACTCGCCATCACCACGCTAGTCATACTACGCCATGGAGATCATGAGCGTGAACACAGTGCATATGCATGGACATATGCAATGCAGCAATACGACCTTGTTCACGGCCCGGTGCGTGGTGCCCCGGTGATCATTTACTGTGTTGCAAAACTTTATCAAGATGCAGGCAACGCTGAAAGAAGAGAAAGATCAGCTGGCTGAAGAGTTCTGGACTCATGAGTCGACCACGTCTTCTCAAGTCGAACCCTTCCAATCCGATTGCACCAGGGCGCTGTCAATCTCCTGAGGCATGGTCTTTTCGCATTCGAGTTTCTTTCTATCCTGACATACCCGTTGACACATCTCACGCTAGACAGCGTGCTCATGAGCAATGGATGTCAAAGCAGCTCAAGACCTCGCCCAGCGACTCGGACTAGTTGAGAAGCTATCGCTCGCGGGTCCAGCACGTTGGAAGTGGTCAGCTCTGGACCATGAAGATGACGACGAACCGAAGCTTGCACCGATCTTGCTTGAGCCTGAAGCTCCCGCCCCGAAGCTCACATCACCTAATCAAGAGCCTGCCTCTGCTGCGAATCATCCTCCGACTGCCCCGTCCATACTTGTGAAAGCATATGCCATCGCGTTGCGAGCATTTCTGACAACAGAGACAAATCTAAGTAACCCGGATCAGGCTATCTTTGTAGCAACGCTGCAAGAAAAAGGCGTCCCACTCGCCTGTGCTCCAGAATATGCCAATGAGGCGTTGTACTGGAAGTCGGATCCGATACAGGATGGACGTACTCTGGCTTTCTCGGCCACGGGAGCGGAACCATCGTTTTTTAATTTCTTGAGGGAGTATGTGTGTCGCCGTCACTTTTGACAAGATGATGCTAACACACCTGGTAGCTACGTTGCCTCTGTAACGGATGTGAGTATTGTCAGACCGTCCAAGATCAGAACACTGATAGCTCGTAGCTTCAAAACCAGGATACTACCCTGACGTCGGATCAGAAGAAATACATCGATGCTCGTCGAGACGCTGACGATGCGTATCACAGTTTGTGGCAATCATTCCAAGATAAGCTTGCAAAAGACCCTTCGTATCACTGGCAAACGCACTATGAGCATTTCGGCATGGAATACCAGGCGAGATGTGCCATACGTGATCTCGCAGGTAGCGTACTAAAGCCAACAGACTGGGTAAAGACGATGCAGGGTTTCGATGCCGCTCAAGCCCGGCGAGATGAACATCAAGGGTGAGTTGACGAGTCTCCAGTAGCCAGCCAATACCTGCTAACGGCAAACAGTAATACGATGCGTTGCAGCCTTGATTCCTTCCGTCTCGACGAAAAAAGTCGCTACGAAGTCAACGAGGCCTCAGTGCGCAATCGCCCCCTCCACGTTCTGCCCAATTTTCAATCTGCTGCTTTACCTTGGCGTCTCCCGTTCAAGGAGGAAATCGCCAACCCGCAAAAAGTGGAACTCGATCTCAAGCGCGCGCTCTTGTCCACCTGGTCAAGTCTTGGGTTTCCCCAATTCGACGACTCTCCAGCTGTTGCAACGCCCGAGGAAATCGAATCTTTCGTTGACCAGAGCGGGTGCCATATCTGGCTTACCTATACGCATATAGTACCTTTCCGTGTAGCAAGGGGGCTGTGGGATATCCCAGATTTCCGGGACGTGCTTAAGCAGCTCCGGGCGGACGTAGACCCTAGGTTCAAGAAAAAGGTTCATAAGACGGTGACGTTATTGCTAGGGTACGGAGTGCAGATTCGGATGCAGTTCGATGCCAGTGCTGTTGGATTGAGTGAGGATGGGATAAAGCTAGCGCCAGGCTTAGTTGAGGGTATGACGATGGCAACTGTGTCGGCGACGGAAAAGAGAACGCCCGTGCCAGAGAATGATGCGTATCCGGTCTTGTTGGCTGTGCTAACGCAGAAATGTTGAGGCAAGTACCAGTAGCAACCTTAGCAGAGTATTCGGAACTCTTGGTGCAGTAGGCTTAGCTACCTTCGGTTCCATCCCGACCTACAAGATCCTTACCATCTGCCACACTGGCGACAACATCTGCGAAGGCGGCACGAGCATTACTGCGGCGCATTTGAACTACCAGAATGATGTGGCGACTGCGGGCGCTTTTATCGCTGGCAAGGTCTAGTGGTCGGGAGTGACTGAGAGGATCTCATTCTAGTTCGACAGTGAGGTTGGAGCAATTCATTGATGCAACTGATTTCTACTCATTCATTTCTACGTTATCAACTCCCTGAATCCCCAAAAAAAAACATCGATGGAGACACGATTAGGTATAATGTCCAAGCGTATTTTTTGCAGATGGTACGTAGGCACCCTGCGCTTTGCGCCTAGCTTCCAGCTCCGCGGCTTCAACGCTGCGTTTGAGTTCCCGTAACATGATCTCGGTTGTAATAGCCATTCCGTTGATAGCATCGATCATCCTCTTCATAGATGGCGTGGCGAGAACATCGTTGGACCTCTTATATATGATGTTGTGCTGCACCTCCGCCCAAGCTTGTGTGACAACGGTTCCGACTTGAATCTCCACCCTAGGCGCATTCAAGCCTATAATCGGTGAATAGTTCTCGCCCCATTCGACGACCTGTTGCCATGATTTGTATCCGTAGTGCTGCCAATCTTCTTCGTTTCTATTGCTGTCCTGGGAGCGCCAAGGGCCTTGATTATGTTTGTGGCTGTCTTCATTTCGACCTGAGACAGTATCGCGTCCGCCTGTGACAGTACCAAAAGTGTGGCGAACGATGAAGCGATCGTTGATAAGTTTCACAACTGTAGGCACGTCGTCGGGAAAGAACAGTCCGATGCGGACACCAGCAAGATCTCCCATCTCAGAGTAATGGTAGATATTGTGTCCTTTCCCCAACCAAGCCCTGAAGTCTGGGTCTCGCGCCAGGTCTTCCATCTTCTTTTTCAACGACTCATACTGCTTCGTCCTGCATGTCACCACCGCCTTAATGCCATTTTTCTTGAGCAAGGACTCGCAGTCTTGCTTTGTGCAATCAGCAAATCTTACCCATCGCTCGTATTCAACAGGGTCCTTGTATTTGACAAGAAAGGCCACGATAGGATCGGCATTGCTGTCCGGCGGGATAGTCCTACCTACCGGGTAGGGGATTCCAGAATCGCTGAACTCTTGATGACTGCTCCCCGTAAGGAGACCTTTCTTCTTTGAAAATCTGTCAGGAAGAAAAGACATGGCTGTGCTCCGTATAAGATAGACGAGTGGGAAAAACTAGAAGTGTTCCGGAATATAGAGCTGTCTTCGGGAGGTGCGCTGTCCTTTTGTATACCTTTCGATAGCCGATCGGCGACGAAATTGATATCAAAATTTGTGTCCAGCGCTTATACAAGCCTTTATAAGGGCTGTGTATGATTAGGCGTTGGTGGCTGCCACGCTTGGGTGAGACATTCGAGGTGCTGCTGGCCAGTCGAAACAAGATTGTGCACGTGCCCGACTTGATATCGGCGATTGAAAGCAAGCTTTAAGTATTTGACGAACCACATCGTGCGGCAGTACTCCAATGCAGCAAGTGGTATATCGATCAGGCTGCCTTGGACCCCAATGATCTAGGCAGTCACGTCACGCGGCTGAGAAGGCTATGTCCTTCTGGATCCGATAAACTCCCTTCGGCAATGCAAGTGGCTGCAATCAGCACACCACATCAGACTTCGACAAGGTTGAATGCGGCTAAGAATATTGGTAACCAGGCTGAAACTTGGCGCAAGCTCGATGTTTCCCTACTCCAGCAAATTCCGGGGTTCTCAAGACAAGACAACGCGGAACGGCCTCCTAGCGAATTCGCTTGCCTGGTTCAGGATTCAACGTTGATCAATCTCAAGAATCGCTGGCGAAATTCTACAGACGGATCATGGCTGATTCCGGCTTCCAGTACCAGCCGTTGCAGGAGGGTGAAACGACAAGGTTGCTAACACTGCTCCCCGGAGAGCGACTCGATGCTTTGAGAGGAACACTTGAAGTCGTTTCTATCGACTGTACAGGGGATTATGAGGCACTTTCATACGTCTGGGCAGACCCAGGGCCACCGCATGTCGCTTACGAGATTCTTATCTGTGAGGGTGAGAAGGATGTTAAGCTGTTGACACTGAGAGGAGGATCCATTTTTGCGGCTCTGCGCCAACTGCGTCTTCCAGATAAACCACGTCGCATCTGGGCTGATCAGTGCTGCATCAATCAGGACGATCTGAAAGAGAGAAGCCAACAAGTTCATCTAATGAACAAGCTCTATCGTAACGCAACTCGAGTGGTGGTATGGCTCGGCATGGATACCGCGAACGAAGCAGCCGACGCTTTCAGCCTTATCCATGAGCTTGACGAGGCTCTACAACGTCGTGAAGAGCAAGTGCATGTTGAGAAAGAAGCGGTCAAACGACTGGAACAGCATCTCCAAGAGAATCGACTAACTCTCCAAGCCTTGACTGATCGCTCATGGGTAAGTGGTATATGGTGTTCGAAAATCCTGGGAAGATTTGGCTAAGAATACCACTAGTTCAAGCGCGGTTGGATCGTACAAGAGATTGGCACCGAGACACCAGCGACGATGATGTGGGGCGACGCCATGATCGATTGGAAACTGCTGGCGGTCGTGTGCGAGAGACTTAAGAGCTACCATGAACTTCGCAGCTCCTCAGGTATTCGAACTTCCGACATATCGTTTTTGTATCGAAGGTTCATCGAGCCCGATGAGAGCACTCACCACGCAAATCGTTTCAACTTGGTCTATGAGCTCCAGCGATCTCGTCATCTCCAGTTCACCGATCCCAAAGACCGCGTCTTCGCTTTCCTCGGTCACTTTTCTGTCCTCTCGCACCATTCTCTCGGCTGCGGACCCGTCACTCTCAATGTTGACTACACCAAAAATGTAAAGCAGACGTATACGAATGTTGCAGTACAGCTTTTGCGAGCAAACTCAAGCACAGCCTGCATTCTCTTAGCAGCCGTGCAGCACCCTCGTCGCAGCCTTCCAAGCGCCTGCACAACTGAAGCCGAAGCGGAGCTGTTTTGGGATTCGTGGCTTCGAGAAGAGAAAACACTGCCATCCTGGGTGCCCGACTGGACCTGGTCAGAGGGTATCATACTCGCCGAACCTATATGCCCGCACTATGCGCATGGAAGCTCCATCGCACAGCTCGAAGTCTTGACACAGGCCGACGTTAAGCCAGAGCTTCGAATTGGTGGTGTGGAGATCGACACCATCGTTGGATGCTCGCAGCCGTTGCTTGGGAACGACTTCTACAGGAAGAAGGCACCTGACGGACCTCCCGCCATAGTAGAACGGCTCTGGCACGAGCTGTGTGGAGAGCAATGCTTTAATCTAGCTCAGGCATACGTGAACGGCCAGTCGGCATTCTTCGCGCTCATGCAAACACTAAGCAATGGTTGCGTTCAAGCTGCAGGACACGACTGCACACTCTATCATGAGATACCCGAGACCTTGTGGTTGCAGAAAGCAGCTCGTTATATCGTAGAGACTTTGAGAAAGTGCGAAATCGGCGAAGACGTAGTGGAAGCAGCAAAAGCGGTGGGTGCCGAGCAAGATCGCGAGAAATGGAGTCGTTGGGCGAGCTCTGCCTCAGATGGTCGAGTCTTTGCAAGGACGGACAAAGGTTACTACGTACTTGGACCTTCAGCCCTGGAACCAGGAGACGTAGTTTGTGTGCTCTTCGGGAGTAAAGTGCCGTTCTGTCTCAGACCCATGGGCAGTCGTCGTCTACTCGTTGGCGAGTGCTATGTTCACGGATTGATGAAGGGTGAAGCGAAAGATATGCTTGATCGAGGAACACTCGATTCTCGAGTGTTCCGCATCGCTTAAGCTCTGTGCATACTGAACTTGGTAGCGCAGTGCCAAATCTTATGCTGTACCTCTTTGCGCGTGATAGAAAGCTGAGAGTACGGTGCGCTCAACTTCTCCTCTCGTGAAGTGCAGATCAACATTGCCAGATTTTCCCGCCCGGACTTCATCCTCGGTTGCCCATACAAAATTCTGGTGTTCGTTGGGGTCCAGCTTCACCATCAACTTTGTCCCTTCTTCACCCAAGACGTGTACAGCGAAGTTGAATTGACATACTATGCCCCCATTGCTGAGAGTGAAGAAATGCGGATCTCCAACGGGGCCTCCAACTCGAACTGCTTGGAGGCCAGCCTCCTCCCGTAGCTCGCGCGCAGCAGCATACACTATGCTTGAGTCCTCATCGTCGCAAGCGCCACCTGGAGGTTCCCATTTATTGGGATCCGAGTCGCTGGCTGCACGCTGAAGGAGCAGAATGCGGGGTGCTGGGTCACTGTTGTCTAAGACCAGCGCACTCGTGGCAATGTATGCAAATGAGGCTTCTGGTCGGGACTCCAGATATGCCCGTTTTGAGACCGCGAATTCAGTGGCAGAGGGTTCGATCTCAAATACATCTGTTGGCGGCGCTGTCATCGTATATTATAGAGGGAAGAGCGTCGATGTCGAGCATGAGCAGCCAGCGACCCCGCACTTGAAGCGAGGCGGGCGGGCAAGGGCCATCCAGCCACCGAGAACGCGTTCTCTTCACAAGCGCGCTGCACCGCGAAGATGTGTTGTCTAGGTCCAGTACCCGTAGTCCAAGAAGCCAATCATCACACTCAATTAACTCACGCTTCTGAGTAAGACGCGACAGAATGATGTTACGTCTCGGGTTGCATTAAAGCCACACTGTCTCAAGCCACCGCAGTTCATGTTGTGCAACGAGCGTTTTGGAATCCGAGCCAGAAAGCTTCAAAAATCAAGCTATGTCTAACCGTATTGTACCAAGCGGACTTTGAGGTAATAGAGTGATATTGGCCGTCTCTTGGCCTCGAATCAGAGAGGCAAACATCCATGTTTCCTTTTCTAGTTTTAGAAGAAGCATAGCATCGTTGGTTTTGGTTTTCGGCAAAACGCACTCTTCGTGATAGATAAGAAGTGCAGCAGGAATCAAACTGCCAAAGAGCGGGCTTTGAATTCATAACAACCGGTGTTAAGAGTGGACATATGAGTGTGGCGGTGGTGGATTCAGGATCGAAGAGCTCGCAAGGTCATGGACAGAATTCGAAGCCCATTTGGTATCGCAAGACCACAGCCAGCGATGACTGATACTCGGAACCGGCGTGCTAGGAATAAAGATGTAGACTTTTCAGAACAGGACCACATGCACCTGCTATCTGAGCGTTTTCGAAAAACAGAAGGTAGCCAACGTGAGTAGAGAGTAAAGAAGAAGATTCCGTGTTTTGTATCGAGGATTTCGACGTCAACACCCAGCATGTGGTAGGTGTTTTAGCCTTTTGATGTTGACTTTCAAAGGTCCGATAGCTCTTGAAAGCCGTATGACTCGGCGGAGTAGCCGTGGAGACATGTACACGCGGCGAGACTGTTTTGGTGGAACAGTTTGGAAGAAGACACCGATATGCGCTAGACATATTTCTTTTTTGGCGCAGAGAAGAGCGCACCATGCCATGTTGTCGTTTTTTTTTTTTGGATGACCGGCGAGTGAGCCGCGGAGGATATTATGGAGGGAGGAGAGCTGTCGTGGATGATGTTTATATATCGTCGGGAAACGAAACATCGCTTTGTCACTGAAATCTTTTTGGCGAACCGCGAGAAATGTGGGAGTAGCGATCTTCTGCCGGACACATAAGAACACCGTACTCTAATGTTCGGGAAATGTCAAACATGAACTTAATGTGAGGGGTTTTCGTGGACTCTGGCAAACAACACATACGGCAGCATGTTCAGGATTTTGAGTGAAGCCACGGTATAAAGTTATGAGTAGGAGAAAGCAGGAGAAAGCAAGCAAGCAAAGATTCATATATCATACAGCAGGGCGGGATGACTAAACACACATAGTGCTATTGGTCGAACCGATATTTCTACTATTGATGATGGATACCACAGCGCAATCAATAACACCACTGACCGCTCTACAACATCACCCCACTTCCTCACGCCCCTTCTCAAACACCCGCCAATAGCTCTGCCGCTTTATCAATAGCCTCCGTCAGCCAGACATTCCACTCCGAACACAACGTCAAGTTCCGATCTTGAAGCGCCTCCATGCTCGCCGGAAGAGTTTGTGCCTTATACCCTATTTCTTATCAGCCACTTTACACAACATTTGTTCAACCCAACTTACCATCATCGCGATTCGGCGCATACAAGCCGTTCTTGTAGAACTGTCGACCAGGTAGACCCTCTTGTCTAACAAACAGCCTCTGCACATCCTTCATAACGCGGTTCGCTTTCTGCACCCTCGCCGCGTCGTCGAGGAACGACCGCTCCCTGGTTCGGTCTGTAAAATCGGTGGCGACCTGACGTAACCTCCTTCCCGCAGATGCAAGATCGCCCATCTTGATTTGTCGCTGTACAGCCCCGCTATCCGGCATGCCCATTGTCTCTCCGACCAGCTCCCGGATCCAATAGTTGATGTTGCGCGCATACGTATCCATATCGAACGGTATGAGAGCATCGTCCGCCAAGTGGTATGCTAGTAATGCAATGAACCGCCCTACAGTCGTATGGATCCCGAAATCGGGATCAACCATGCGCTTCATCCAATGATACGAGTCGTAGTTGCTGTGGTAATGATAGACTGGCGATTCGCGACTCGCATCCATACCTAATCCAACAGTGTCTTTGTCAGCACCCATCTCACAATCACTTGGTAGACCAAAATCACCTACCAAAGTCCAGAGCTCCGATACCCAACTGCAGAAACGCCGTGTAATCACTTCCGCTCCCAAGATCCGTAAAACCATTGTCCTCAGGCCGGAACATGTACAACTCATGCCAAGCATCGTACAAAGTCTTGTTACCGTATTCAACTTTCTTCATGATGTCCTGCGCGAGGGTTCGTAATTCGGGGGTAGCACCTGCGCCGGGAAGTGGACCTGCGACGCCGATATCAACGTTCAGGTAGATTAATGCGGTGGCGGACAGCCAGGGAGCGTATTCTTCGACCCACTCCGTTGACCCGATTAGTGCGTATTCTTCCGCATCCCAAGAGGCGAAGATGCTGTGAGATACAAAGTACGTATTAGCTTGAACCTCCCGTTGTTCGAAAGAATGGGGAGCGGTGAACGTACATGTTCCGCCGTGGCTTCCAACCTGATTGTAATAAGTTGCCAAAAGCCTTTGTGAGTTCGATCAAGATGGCGGAGCCAGAATTGGGATCCGCGGCTCCGCCGACAATCCAGGCGTCGCGGTGGTTGCCGATGATGATTGTTTCGTCAGGATTCGTGCCATTGATTGTGCCGATCACGTTCCAGATTGGTGAAATCTTTTCTTCCATGAAGTTCGTAAGGGAAACGGTTATTTCCGGTGCCGGACCGGTGCTGTATGTTGCGTTCAGGCCACCGATCCATCCGTCTCGATTGATTAAGTCTCCTGATTTACCGTGGCCGTCCAGAGCTTTTAGGAGTGGCAACGCATCGCGGTGGGATATGGGCAGAGACGGGATTCTAGGTAGGTTTGGGGGCCTGCTAACATGCTCGACGTCAGGTTTCGATGGGTATTCGGGTGTTGTTGGATCACCGGGGTATTGGTTGATGTACGCGACGGATCCTCGCTGTATGGAGGACGGTTGACGCGCTGAACCATCTGCAAGAAGTCAGACATATGTTTCTGCTATTCGTCATGTTAGGAGTAGTCATACGAGGATATGCAACCTGACCTTTGGCCTCCTGTGGTCCGTCGTCACCGGGGTCACTGAACATGATCACTCCAACCATGCCATGGGCGTCGGCATTGAGAACCTTCACACCACGGAAAGGACCTCCGTACTTCGCTAGAGCGATCTTTCCTTTCAGATCGATATTCAATGCTGTGAGTGCGGCGAAGTCGTCTTTGTGGCCACGGCTGTTGTACATTAGCTGTCATCCGCAGAACTGATACACAAGCCACTCACCCAACATAAACATACTCTGCTTCCACTTTTCCCGAAGCAGAGTATCCATGGAATGCTGGTAACGCTTGAGAAGAGCTTGACGTGTCGTCTTCCGGTAAAGCGTCCTCGTACATCTGGGCCTCATGCAACGTGCGATTTCTCGATCTTAGGACCAGTTTCTGCTCTTTCGGATAGCTCAGAAAAACTTCATACTCGACCAGTGAACCGGATACTCCATTCTTGGTCCACTCCTTTGCAGTGGCTTCTGCCATGGATCTGTTGCGTCCAGCGACATGATCGCCATGGGTATAATAAGAGGACCAATCGTCTATGGAGGATGCTGAGAAGGACTCATGTAGGATATCCTCATTCTTGTTCCGTACCGGAGGGAAAGGAACTGCTTAACGAAGCACCAGAGGATGTTGATGTGATAGCCGACCGGTTTCGAGGCTGCGGAGTTCTCGCTGGCATGCTGTTACCAGATGCACTAAGCTCAGCGCGATCAGCAGGAATGATACCATGGTTGAGCGATATCCGATGTAGGTGCAGTCGTGCTCGAAGTTGGCATATACGCAGCAAGTAAGCGCAAGGTATAAGAGCAGGGCACGTGCACCTGCCCGCTTCCAGTGAAAGGGTAGGAGCGAATGCCCACCGTCGGTTCCCCTCTCAATCGTGCGTGCCTCATATATTATCAGGTCATTTTATTCTTCTGAACAATATACAGGGATGTGCAAATAGCCGAAAGATGGTCGGTACGCATACTCAAAATACATACATCAATAATCCAAAAACTAACAAAGACCGATACAGGAGCTTATGTCCATCTCATGAAGCCCCCAGAAACCGATGGAAGCTAACATAGACGTTTGCATCTACCGTATCTTGCACCCGAAAACTCACAGAGATGATCGTATTCGGTACGTCATTCCGGACGGTTAAGGTCAACCTCATCGCATGAGCACGCAAAATGTGACGGAACAGCAAATTGAGGCGACGACATTTGATCAGTAATTGAGTGTTTCACGCGTGGAGCAGTGATGTAGTAGTCTGAGTGCTTGTTCAATAGAGCACGGAAGTCAATTGGTATACGTCTTACTCGAAAGTGCACCTACTGTGAGCTCACCGTCCACCACTAGAGCTCATTATGACCAGGTATTTCCGGATCTGGCTTCTCACTAGCAACCAGGAGGGAGTCGGCTAGCTTCTCCTTTTTACCTTCACCCATGCGGATAGCATCGACCCATTGTTCGACTGCGTCAGCTCCGAAAGAGCTGCCGGAGTACTTCTTGTACCATGCGCGCTTACCGTTGGTGGCAATGAGGTGGACCTCATCTGCACTTCCCAGGCCGAGTTCTGTGGTCAGGGATGCAGCAAGTGGATTTGTCGAGGACACAGCTACAAAGGGAAAGAGATGGCTGCCAGAAGCATCGTACTTCCTGTGAATTGATGCAAGGGATGCAATGGCGGTGGTTGCAGCGTCGGAAGACTCGTCCTTGGGAAGCAGTGCCAGGATACAGGTCTTGCTCTGCTCGGTCAAGCACATTGATTGAAGCTCGGCAGCTTCTGTAACCAGAGGTATTGTCTGCTTGGCCTCTTCGACTGGGATTTCGATTGGGTTGGGTGTATCACCATCCTTGACATTCGGATCAGGCGACTCAGTGGGCACAACCGGCTCCTCGACAGTCTCATCTGTGGCTGAGGCGGCGGCTGAAGATGAATCTGCGGACTTGTGTGAAGCTGAGGCCTTTGCAAACTTGCTGGAGGACTTGGACTCTTTCTTGGTGTCCTTCTTAGCTTTGGACTTCTTCTCCTTGGCAGGTGGGCAATCGGGGTTAGGTGGGGCGACCTGAGAGAGGAATTCAACCATTGCTGCTTTGTCAGCCTTGCCTTGGTGCTTGATGGGTGTGTCGGAACCCGCGGGAATCAAGACCAAGCTTGGGAAGTCGGTGATTCCATATTTTTCCACTGCCGCCTTTTCCGACTTTTTGATTTGCGCAACCGAAACGACTCCAGCGAAGTCAATCGCTAGAGCGCGCAGTGTGGCGCTGACGATGCCCTTCTCACTGAACAGAATGGCCTTGGCAGTGTCCTTGTTTTCTTGTAGCCATTCGTCGAGATTCTTGTCGTTTACCCTCTTCACGATATTGGGGACCTTGTCCTTGACAGCGTCCACGATTCCCTTGGCCGAACGAGGTCCTTGGTAGTCCTCCACCGTAGGCTTGCCGGGCTTCTTGCCGGGTCGAACAATCTTGAGAGTGGGGAAGCCCTGAACGCCCATCTTCCCGCAGAAGGGTTTGTTCATCTCTTCATCGCAGTTGACGGCGGCGACTTTGGCGATGCCGGCGAGGGATTTGGCGGCCGTCTCGTACGCGGGCTTGAGGTTCTTGCAGTGGCCGCACCATGGCGCGTAGAATCTGAGAGGTGTGAGGAGAGGCGATGATGACAAACGAGGACGGCTTACTCGACAATAGACGTGTAGTTGGACTTCGCAATTACTCTGTCATAGTCCATGCCAGTGATCTGAACGACGGCGCTGTTCTTGGAGTACATGCTCTCGGCGTGGGCATTGAGGGCCAGCGCGGCCGTAGCGGCAAACAGCGTGGTTGCGCGGACCATGGTTGCTATGTGTTGTGGGTGAAGTGGAGAATAAGCAGAGGTGCAGCCGCTGTAGTGGATATAGCCTTACATGGCGTAGTTGCCAGGTTGGCCTTTTCACTCACTTGTAACAGCTTGCCATAAGTTACATGGCCAAAGCTGAGATGCGGGGAGACAGGGATCAGTCCGGACTAGCGCCTATGACCGCATGCCCGCTGTAGCTGCCTGCACCTTACTGCGTCTATCCACAGACTAAACACCACATGCCATACGCGTCTTAGCACACACACAAAATACCACAGCAATGGCCGACACAGTACCGGCAAAGCTCAGGAGCTTGCAGCTCGCGTCCTTTGCGAAGCGCGCCGCTCAGCTTGAGAAGTTCAAGCCCATCATCACGTATTGGTGTGAGTACCCTCGCGCCTGCCAATACAAGAGACGTATACTCAATCTGCGCAGTGCGCTTCTACATAGTTCAACGAATCATTGCCGGTGGACTGCACTCGGCTGATCAGGAATGTACCGCCTACACGACCGATCTCATGGAGAAGCTGGAGCAAGCAAAGGCCGAGAACCCGAACGAGGATGCTTTGTTGGATGACACGGTTGCGAGCGCATACTGTGAACAGTTTGCTCTACAGACTCTCGCCAAAGCAGAGAGGGAGATGGCCGAGAACAGGGTCAATGGGTGCGTACCAAACACGTAGTTCCATTGCTGACCCTCACTTCTAACACCATTTGCAGGCAGACCGCTGATACCCTCCTCGCGGCATCGACCTTCCTCGAGGTCATGTCGGTATGGAAGAATAACGACCCCGAGATCACTTCCAAGACCAAGTTCGCCAAATACCATGCGCTGCGCATCGTCAAGGCCATCAAGGCCAACGAAGACCCGAACGCGACGAATCCCAGACAAGAAGCACCACAACAGGCCATGTCGCCGTCTGCGCTAGATCCAAATGATCCAGAAGTACGGAGCATAAACCAGGGCGCGCCACCAGAGAACCCATACCAACCATACGTCGAGACGGTGCCCAATACTACTCAGCCATCGCCCAGTCTGTCTGCGCGCCAAGTGTCGCCGCCAGCTCCCAATCTCCCTTCCGCGCCCACGGGTTACAACCAATCATCGCACAACGATGTCTCGCCCATGTCACAATCAGCAACCTCAAGGCAGGGCTCCGTCGTCTCAATCGGCGGCGGATACTTTCCAAAGACCGACCCTCCTACCTTCACATCAGAGACAACTGCGCCCGGGCTACCTACCGCGCCCATGGACGTCGACCCTATGACATCTTCCTTACCAAACAGCCCTGCACCACAAGTTCCAGAAGCGGCAGACCCTGCAAGCTTCTACCAGAACCCTACGTCTCCTCCACCCCAAGCCCCCGAGCAGCCACCTCAAAACCCATACCAATCACCTCCACCACCCCAAGTGCCTCAGAAGCCACAGAGACTGTCCTCAAGCTTCACAGTCACTCCACAACAATCTCAGAACGTTTTTACATCGCCCGTGGTGTCCCAGCAACAGCACCAACAACAAAACGTTTCCTCGCAGCCCCTTCAGCAACAATACTCGTCGACATCTCACCAGAATCCGTACGCCCAAGCACCAGGACCTCCTCCACAGCAGCAGCTGTCATCGCAGGGTCCGTTCAGGGACGATGAAGATTCCATCATGGCAGCCACAAAGCATGCGAAGTGGGCTATTTCAGCGTTGAATTTTGAAGACTCCACAACGGCTGTCAAGGAGTTGAGGGCAGCACTACAGGCTTTGGGTGCGGCTTGAGTTGTGGGAGGGGTCGCATAACCCCAGGAGCAACTTCTTGGTTCGAGGTAGGATGATTCCATTGCAGCTCCTTGTTCTCAACCTCATTACGCCACGTGTCTGTAGGTGCCCAGCTACTACTTTAGGCCTCCTGAGGTGACGCCGAAAGTGTTGTATTGTGACTGGATGTCGTGTTGGAAGTGTTGTTGTTTGTGAGTGTAGAGAGAGCAACAGATACGACTTCTCTTATACAATGTTCGCTGTATACCCATGCTTTGTACATAGATGCGCAAAAGACGCATTATTCGTCAATATAAGTCTCTTCAGTTGGCTACAATGGTGTGAACAATGCAGTCTCCTGCATACCCATGGTGATGTATCCAGTAACACCATTGAGCAGTCAGGCTGTCATACCCAAACTGGCCAATTCCGCCGCCTTGCCCTGTATTGCACCTTTCTTATTGGCCAGTTTCTCTCAAGGACAATTATCTCTCGCGTGAAGTTAGAGTCCTGCATACATGATAATACGCCTTTTGGGACTTTGAGAAAAGAAAAGGGATAAGAATGATGGAGAGAATATGATGACGAGGACTGGAAGAAAGCCCATTTGATGGTGAGTGCTACTGAACGCGGGATTGGAGTACGAGATGAGAATTATAGTAAAGAGTCTCAGCTTCTCAACCTCGCTGACCTAGGCCCCAAGGATAGATAAGAACACCGATGTTGAGAATTGTTCTTGGTACTTTTGGAACGTACAGATTGGTGTGCCGGCGCTGAGAACTGGTCTTACTCCTTCTAGGCGTATACCGAAGTGAGAATACCAGGGTTGTCTCAGTTCTAATCTACTGCGAAGATGGAAACCATGTTGATCCCAGGGTCCATGGAACTTTCCTCAGGGGCAGAATCATGGCAAAGTCTCGACGCCGATACTGCGGTTGAATGGCGAGAGTCGCTCTGCCGGACGACTGCCGTAGTACTGCATGCTCCGGAATATTTTGTTCAGCACGCCGGACATATACCGACGTGTGTTTGTTAGGCCGGGAGTAACATCCTGCGATAGACACAACTCGGTCTCCAAACTCTCCCTGGGCCTACCAAATCTTGGCTGCGGGGCACCTTCTCTGAATATACGGTCTGGTCTTTGTTTTCTCACTCAGCGGGCCGAGGCCTGACGATAATATTGGTGGGCGCACTTTTTCATTCAGTATCGATAAGCGCCGCGTTGGGTTGGTTAACCGAGTTTGCCTAGCGTCATTCGCCGACACTACGAGACATCCCTGCCAGGCCAATTTTTCTCTGATCGCTCGCCTTTAAGCAAGCGCGAAAAAGATTCCCAACCCTCTTTTTCACCTTCTCTCCAACACCTTCCTGCTCTTCAATTTTTTCAGGTTGTTCCTTCCACACATACCGCAATCATGAGCGACGAAGTCTACGAGGGTGCCATCGGCATCGATCTTGGTGCGTAATATTCGCGAATTACCCCACAGTGGGATGTGTTGTGGGCTAACAATATCGCAGGCACCACCTACTCTTGCGTTGCCAACTACGAGGGCACCAATGTCGAGATCAGTATGCGCCCGCCAGTTCCATTGCGAGAAGGTCAATGTCTAACAATGTTTGCCCACAGTCGCCAACGAGCAGGGTAGCTTCACCACTCCCTCGTTCGTGTCCTTCACCAGCGAGGAGCGTTTGATCGGTGAGGCGGCCAAGAACCAGGCTGCTATGAACCCCGAGAACACCGTCTTCGATGTCAAGTGAGTTTTTTTTTTCGCACGCGCACGATCAGCAGACTGACTTTCGCAGGCGTCTCATTGGTCGCCGATTCGAGGACGAGACCGTCACAAAGGACATCAAGTCATGGCCATTCAAGGTCGTTGACCAGGGCGGCAGCCCTCTCGTCGAGGTCGAGTACCTCGGTGAGACCAAGCAGTTCTCTCCCCAGGAGATCTCTGCCATGGTTCTCGTCAAGGTAAGATCTGCGCACACATTTCGCATGGCGGGGCAGCGACTAACAAAATCAACAGATGAAGGAGGTCGCTGAGACCAAGCTCGGCAAGAAGGTCGAGAAGGCCGTCATCACCGTCCCCGCCTACTTCAACGACAACCAGCGTCAAGCCACCAAGGACGCCGGTGCCATTGCTGGCCTCAACGTTCTCCGTATCATCAACGAGCCCACCGCCGCCGCTATCGCCTACGGTCTCGGTTCCGGAAAGTCTGACAAGGAGAGGAACGTCCTCATCTACGATCTTGGTGGTGGTACTTTCGATGTCTCTCTTCTCCACATTCAGGGTGGTGTCTTCACCGTCAAGGCTACTGCTGGAGACACCCACTTGGGTGGTCAGGACTTCGACACCAACCTCCTTGAACACTTCAAGAAGGAGTTCACCAAGAAGACGAAGAAGGTGAGAATGAACCCCGCAGGATTCGCGATAGTGTTGTTTGCAGGATACTAACATTTCCAAGGACATCAGCGGTGACGCCCGTGCCCTACGTCGTCTCCGGACTGCTTGCGAGCGTGCCAAGCGTACTCTCTCCAACGCCACCCAGACCACTGTTGAGATCGACTCGCTGTTCGACGGTGAGGACTTCAACGCCAACATTACCCGTGCTCGTTTCGAGGACTTGAACCAGAAATCCTTCGCTGGCACTCTGGACCCCGTTGCCCAGGTTCTCAAGGACGCCAGCCTTGCCAAGGACAAGGTTGACGAGATTGTCCTTGTTGGTGGTTCCACCCGTATCCCCAAGATCCAGAAGCTCCTCAGCGACTACTTCAACGGCAAGAAGCTCGAGAAGAGCATCAACCCCGATGAGGCTGTTGCCTACGGTGCCGCCGTCCAGGCCGGTATCCTTTCCGGAAAGGCCACCTCCGCCGACACCGCCGACCTTCTCCTTCTCGATGTCGTTCCCCTCTCCCTTGGTGTAGCCATGGAGGGTAACATCTTCGCCCCCGTCGTTCCCCGTGGTCAGACCGTCCCAACGATCAAGAAGAGAACCTTCACTACCGTCGCCGGTAAGTTTTTGTTACATTCCACCCTTTGACGCTATCCATGCTAACTTATATTTAGACAACCAGGTTGGTCGAATTCTGTTGCAATGTGCATGAGACATACTGATTTTGTGTTACAGCAAACCGTCCAGTTCCCCGTCTTCCAGGGTGAGCGTGTCAACTGCGAGGACAACACCTCTCTCGGAGAGTTTACCTTGGCCCCAATCCCGCCCATGGTTCGTAGATTTTCCATCCTTTCATTGCTACGCATCACTAACTCTTTCTCAGCGCGCTGGTGAGGCCGTCCTTGAGGTCGTCTTCGAGGTCGACGTCAACGGTATCCTGAAGGTCACCGCTACCGAGAAGACCTCTGGCCGCAGCGCCAACATCACCATCTCCAACGCCGTCGGAAAGCTCTCATCTGCTGACATCGAGAACATGATCAACGACGCTCAGAAGTTCAAGTCCAGCGACGAGGCCTTCTCCAAGAAGTTCGAGTCAAGGCAACAGCTTGAGTCTTACATCTCCCGTGTTGAGGAGATGATCTCCGACCCCACCACATCTATCCGCCTCAAGCGTGGCCAGAAGGAGAAGATCGAGTCTGCTCTCTCCGACGCCATGGCTCAGCTCGAGGTTGAGGATGCCCCCGCTGATGACCTGAAGAAGAAGGAGCTTGCCCTCAAGCGCACTGTCACCAAGGCTTTCTCCACCCGATAAGTGCATCTCACATTAGCGGCGCCACGAGGGCGTGCAGGAAGGAAGGAAGGGCGCACGTGCAGGATACCCAGACTGCGAGCTGCGAACGGAGTTTCATCTATTGCGGCATTTAACGATAGACATGGTGTGTTTGGTTCCTTATCTTTCATGGGTTCCCGGTATTCAGGAACGCGGAAAAGTCTTCTTTGTACTTTCACGACGATGCCTGACGAAACGATCGTAATGGATGTTCTGCAAAAGTATGCCTAGCGGTCAATGTCTCTTATGTACCTCACCGAAGTAGATACATGGAGAGAATGGAAAGGAAATTGAAATGACTTCACAAATGACATCTCTGCTATGCTTCTCCTTGTGACTGCTACTGCGATGTGTTTGCTTGCGATAGACGTTATGATAAGCAATGAATGCCTCCAGGCTATACTATAGTCGATAGCTCAAGGATAGCATCCGGTCGTTCCTACCAATGTCTTTTCAGCGTCCATGCCGGTGGTAGTGTATGAGAGTATGAGGTCTGACATTCTTAGGTCGTACCGCTCGAGAGCAAAGTGCACCCTAAAGGTCTTCACCAAACTTTGCACTATGCTTTATGAAGACAAAGTGTAGGGAATACCTCCAGGGTACCTTATCGTCGATCAGTTAAGCTGAACGTTCGGCTTCTCTAGCTGGAATTCTCGCTAGCAGTACCCCGCCGATGTTTATGCTAGTTGAATACTGGGCATGCTTCGACCCTTGACCTGATGTGTTAGCAGTACTGGTGGTCATCTCATCACTCTAGTAGCCTGATTTGAGGAATGACTTTGTATTTTAACAGGCTATCTCCAAAGACCTCGTCCGCCAAGAGACAATCTTAACCGTGAAGAATCTTTCGTTGCTCATTGATATTGGAAACAAAGATGGGAAAACGAGTACATTCGATGAACAAACAAAAGGAAACGCTGCGGTGCCGTTACAAAGCGATACCAATTTCCCCTCAACTGCTGTCCGAAGCATCCTCTTGCCCTGATTCGGCGCGAGGCTCTTTCTTTGACTTTCCTTTGCTCTTCTTCGTGTCTTTCCTAGGTGCCTTGCGCTTCTTGCGACTCTTCTCGGACTCAGTATCACTCGATTCGGTTTTGTTCTCACTGTCAGACAAAAACTCATCTGAAGCCAATTCCAAGCTTCTTTGATTTTGATCTGAGCGTCTGCTTTTCTTTCCGTTGAGCCTGCGTATAGTCGCGAGGCGCAATACTGGGAGGAGAGGACTGTAGCTTTTTCTTGGAACCTCGGGTGTAGAAGCCACACTGAGAAATGTAAAGTTGATTAAGTCGATACAGAATTCGTGTCAGTGAGTAGCAGATACTGTGCAGATTTCCGAGAGGTCTCGAATTCCTCGCCAAAGCCTGGCTGCCTGTAACTCAGATCTCTTGTCGCCTTTGCGGTTAGCGAAAGAAATTTGGCATCTTCTAATTGGTGTATTGAGTAGCACAGCTTATGCCAGCGTCGTGGCTATGCATAGCGTTAGTGTAGCCCTCCGCAGCTGCTGCGCCTCATCGCAATCTGCTTACCTAGCTCGCCCACGCGCGTACATACAACGTTCTTGCGCATAGGAGTATCCATCCACTTCTTTTCAACTTCGCGAAGATCCTTGTTCATTATTCCAACCATAAAATTACCAGTTCATACACTTGGCAACGATAAAAATCCTCGCCATTCCCCTCACCTTGAAAAGAAGAACAAACTGGGCCTTCGGATGGCAGCGCAAAGCCCTGATCAAGAAGGACGCACACTTCGACCGAGGAAGCGCAATGAAGATATCGCTGGAGGCATCACAGTCAAGCGGCAGAATGCGCGACCGCTTGTACAAGAGTTCCCCGTACCACTTATCCCCACTACGGACTGTGACGACGGCATCTATGCTCCGGAATTTCAAGATATCGACTCAGTGGAAAACAGTTTCTTCAAAGTAAAAGTCCCAGGTACAGTCAAACTTCGCAAGCAGATGGCTGTATTCGTGAAGCAATACGGCCGCAGTAAGATACCTAAATCCATTCTCCAAGACCTTCTACGTCCTCGCCTGGTACGTTTCCAAAAGGAGCTTAACGCCAAAGGGGAAGAGTTTAAACGTCATCTCCTCGAACTCTGGAAGATGGAAGACAAGTGGACGTATCCTATTGACAACTCTTTCGCAGCATCGTTCTTCACGCAAATTCACAACATGTCCAGAATGGCATCAGCTCCGCGCTTTTGTAGGCGTTGTACCAGGACAGATCTGGAGCGAATAACAGAGTCACGTGATTGTGGTAGAAGGATGAGGTGGTGTGGGGTTTGCAGGATCTTATCGCAGCGGAAGCTTAACGCAAGTAACGAAGCTCACATGTTCAAACAAAATCACCGATCGCCGTTTAGGATATGCGCCGCCCCAAGTTGGTCTGCTTGATATCCGAAATCTTGCAAGAGCTGATCAATTCATACAGGGCCCGGAGCTGCGCTCTTGGATAGGCAGGTTGGATTCCCGATGTTGCCAGATAGCGACATTCGTTTTGAAATACTTCGAGGGTGGATGCGAGTCTGTGATAAAGACCACAAAAGCTTCGGGTGCTGCTCTAAATCAACCTCTCGATTGCCTAGTAGAGTCCTCGATGTCAGCGACAATCGACTGCGACTTCATGTGTCTAGTTCAGGTGAGCGAGGTGAGTACGTCGCTCTGTCACATTGTTGGGGGAATTTATCGCAGCGACAGAAGAGGTCTTTCTGCACGTCATCCGGGAATCTTGAATCGAGACGCACGCGGGGTCTGGATATCGACACGCTCCCAAAAACCTTCCAAGATGCTATTATAGTGACTCGTGAGCTCGGCAAGAGATATATATGGATCGACTCGATATGCATAATTCAGTACGACGATGATCTGGAAGACTGGAAAAAGGAGTCGGGGAAAATGGGCAACACCTTTGGCAATGCCTACGTAACCATTGCCGCAACTTCTGCAAGAGACGCTACTCAGGGTTTCCTGGAACGACAAAGCTTGCAAGATCCAGAATCGCAATACGTCAAGGTAGACAGCAGCTCACATGGAGCCTTGTTCATCAGCACCATCATCGACGATTATCCTAGCGATGTCGAAAACGGTGTCTTGAATCAGCGGGCCTGGGTCTTACAGGAGCGAGCACTGTCGCGGCGGACTATCCATTTCACGGCCAATCAGACATACTGGGAATGCGGTGGAGGGGTGCGCTGCGAAACGCTGACTCGAATGCGCAAGTAAGTTACATTCATGTGTGCGATGATATAGGAATACCTGCAGCAGAGACGAACATTAACGCACTTCCAGCTCGAAAGCGCTTTTTCTGTCTGATCCAAAGTTCCCAGCATCTCTCATGCATCGTCGAATAGACGACAAGATCCGATTATTTCAGGGCCTCTTCGAAAAGTACTCGCAACTTGGTATCACTGATCCCACCGATAGGCCGATAGCGATTTCTGGGTTGGTAGATCGGCTGGCTGAGACATTCAAGATGAGGGCCTCACATGGTGTTTTCGAGGGCTATTTGCACAGAAGTCTCCTTTGGCACAGAGCCGATACAGCCAGGATGCAGCGGATTCAGTTTGCAGAAGACCGACAGATACCTTCGTGGTCATGGATGGCATCCAGTGGACGGATTGAATATCGCAAAGTCGAGTGCTGCGATGTTGAGTGGAACTCTGAGATTCGCTTCACGGACGAGGGACTGCAGGCTCCTACGAGGCGTTTACAGCAGTGTAAGATCGAACCGAGAGATGATGGAGCTTGCGATATACGAAGTGCAGCAAATGGTGCCGATATGGGCTGGGTGAGGTTCGATAGGACTGACATTGTTGACGTACGAACGGTTCAATGTGTAGTAGTGGGTCGAGATGTGGAAACCTGTCCGAAGCATATATATCACGTCCTGGTGGTCACGCCAGTAAGTCGGAGGAAGGGGGCCATGGTTGAAAGAGTCGGCGTCGGCTCACTCCCGAGGGAGCTTTTGTGTTTCCAGACCAAGCCTGCCACTGTGCGCATGGTATAGACACTTGACACATATCAGTCCAATGTCCAGAAGAACCTTCGTTGCGCATATCAACTACCCAAACCTGTGCAAGACCGCATCATCGCCATAATCCGACACCAGAAAGTCTTGTCGTGGCTAGGAGGTATCAAATCGTCAGTCCTCTTCCTGGACGGACATTACAGCTCACCGAGAGCCATGGCTCAGAGTCCCACGTCATTTGTCTGCGACAAGTCGGCTTCCGCCATACAGTCCAACAGCGAATTGTCGAAAGAGCCGTCTTTGCATCCGCCCGTGAAGACTATCGTGATATCTTTTTTTGCGCTGAACACCTCGATCCCAAAGATCCTCATCAAGGCGCACAGGGCATTGTCAGAAGTCTTATAGCCCAACTCTTGGTTTGCTATCACGAATTTGACAGTCGACTCATCAAACAGCTCCTCAAGTCCGATCTAGATCATCTTAAACCGTTATGTGCCACCTTAGAGATAATGATTAACGAACTTCCTGAAGTAGTGCTGACTTGCATCATCGATGCTATCACGATGCATGAGGACAGCGAGGCACGCTGCAAGAAGGTAGAGTATGTTCTCGATACTCTGATTGAGATTGCAGAATCAGACAATGAACGGAGATGTGTGTTCAAACTCTTAGTCACGTCGCCAAGAGTGTCCAGAAGGTATGGCGCGAGGACTGGCGGTAAGGCATGCGCGAGTGTGCTCACGATGCCGGAAAAGGTGGCTTCTCAAGGAGCTTTTACGATGACAAAGTGGGGCGACTATATGCAAGCTGGTCAAATTGGGTACACTGGTTGAAGACGATCCGTCGACGCATAGGTAAACAAACATTAGAATTTCAGGGGGAGAAAATGCTGGCCCATGGTAGGACAAAGCTTCAACCCAACGGTCCGCGAATTGCATTCGTTATTGCGCCTTGACCGTGCTTCCTAGATTATGCCTTAACGATATCCTTGGAGCGGTTTTCCAAGCACTGCTGCACTGCCAGCTGTTACAATCCACCCTCACGAGCGAAAGGTAACATCGTCTTGCGATCTTCCATCGTGTTGAACTGAAGGCGTCTGTGTCCTAATGCGAATGTTTAGGCATATCCTCGGCATGATAGTTTTCTGGAGACGACATTGCTGTATCTATTTTGAGCAATGCGCCGGTCGAGGCCGCCACCAATCAGAGCTCACAAGGGAATCGCGCGTTACCCCTTTCGGCCACTTGACATGAGCTTCGGGTAAATACCGTGGCAATCAACGTCATTTCCGCCCAAAACCCTTCCAGAAGGTTATGGATGGGGGGCGCGCCACAGCCGGTGCTGGCCGTTTCGGGGTCACAAAACTGGGGATACGATATTTAGCCTCGTGTTCCGACTGGATGAAGTCATAGCGGTGCACTTTGGTCGTCGGCGCCGAGTGTGGGCACTGTTCAGCCTCGTTGAGGACGAGCTTTGATCGTGAAATGATGTAGGACAAGGCGAGCGAATACGAGAAAAGATTTGGGTATATGAGAGATGGGATGCTGCTCTTTTTAGGCTTCCATCCAAACATCAACTCATCAACTCTACACTAATACTTCATCACTACAACTACCCCTTCCACACTTCAACAACACCGACTCCTCCAAATCATCAACATGAAGTTCACCGCCGCCTTCGCCGCTGCCTCCATGGCCGCCATCTCCTCCGCCCTTCCCCAGGCCTCTTCTCCCTTCCCTCGCCCTGAGGCTGGCGACGTTTTCCGTCTGATGTCTCTGCGCTCCGCCACTCCCATCCAGTACGGCAACGTCCAGGCCAAGGATGGCGGCCTCGTGATCAACTCGCCCGACGAGAACAACAAGACCTGCATCATCAACGGCGACCGCGACAACACCACTAGCGGCATTAACTACGCCTCATTCTCGCTCGACCAGGAGGACGGCAGCGTCTACATCTACACCTTCAACCCCCCTCTCCAGCTGTACGTCGACCGCAGCGGCATGGGTCAGGGCAACGTCCGCTACTCCACTGGTGTTCAGCCCATCGGCAAGAACCAAGAGCGCGGCCCCTTCAAGATCAACGACGACGGTGACCTTGTCTTCTCTGCTGGTGGTCTTACCGGCGATGTTGGCTTCCAGGCTTGCCCCGGCGCTGTTGGCGGAGGCTGGAAGATCTGGCTCTCTGGTGTTGACAAGCCTGCTGGTTCCGAGGGATGCACTCCCTTCACCATGAAGGCGCTCAAGGAGGACGAGCCCAAGAAGTGCCTCTACTCTTCTGCTCCTGCTTAAATGCCGAGCCTATAGAGATTCTTCGAATGTACATAATGATGGTCTCGAAGACGGGACTTTTGTTTTCTAATGTGTATATATGATAGCATTTGAGCGTCTGCATAGCCTTTTGTTAATCACTTGCTGGAACTGATAATGACAATACTTATCTTCACATTGCGTTCCTTCTTGCTGCACGTACTGATCTTTAACCAGTGTAAGGGGCTACCTAAGTAGAATTGTGCGGTTTACACCGAATTGTTTTGCAACTTCGTGGTTCAAGAAAGAAAGCTGTGCCGCCCTAACGCGATCTAATGGCTTCAGTTGCAGCGTCAATGGGGTCTACATCGGTGAAGTCATGTCGCGTTGAAGTTGTGACGATGCATGTGTTCTGATGGTGGGGTGGTGAACCAGCTCATTGGGCAGGCACTCTACTAAGCCCATTTTTTACCTTACCCAGTCTGTCCGCCATCCCCAATCTTAACATCAACCACCATCACCTGCTACCAAAAGATGTTTCCCTCAAACCTTCCAGGAGTGATGAGAACACGTTTTTGCAAGTTTATCCATGTTCAAACTCGCAAAGTCGCTCTTTCGAAGGCAACCATGGCCCCAACTCAAATTTCCGACATCTGGTTTCAAAGTCGTCAGCGAGGCGGTATTGTTTGAGGAAGAACAGCTTGAGGAGTTTCACAGGGGCGCCTACTATCCTGTCAACATAGGAGATGTTTTCGCATCGAAGTACCAAGTAGTAGGCAAACTTGGTTTCGGTGTTACGTCAACTGTTTGGTTGGCTCGTGATCTACAGCAAGTCAGCCTTCAGCAATTATGCTGTTTATACTAACAGAATACCAGCCACCATGCCTACACGACCTTGAAAGTTTTCACAAAAGAGGGAATGGACGAAGACGAGTATAACATGTACGACATCTTGAGCAAAGGCAATGCTTCGCATCCAGGATACAATCACGTCCAGACAGCTCTCGATTTGTTTACTATTCCTCGGCAAGGTGGCGAGCATCGATGTCTTGTTCAGAAACCAATGTGGGATAGTTTCAGGGATCTTTTGAATAGAAATCCTGCGCACCGCTTCACAGACGAGCTTCTAAAAGCTGGGTTGTCGCAGGTGTTTCTCGCACTTGACTACCTCCACACAGAAGCCAAGATCGTACACACAGGTGCGGGCTAAAACAAGTCTTCCCGCAATTCCGTTGAAAAGGATGTAGACATAACAGCCGACAACATCCTCATAGATATTGAGGACCAGGACATCTTGAAAGCCTTCGTTAACGCAGAAATGACAACTCCCTCACCACGAAAAGTCGTAGACGGCAAGCCGATTTACGCGACACGCCAGTTTGGATTGCCGAAAGAGTATGGTCGTGTTGTCCTCGGAGATTTCGGCTCTGCAGTCCGTGGAGACAAGCCTCAGATCCATGACGCGCAACCAGATGTCTACCGATGTCCAGAGGTTATGTTGAAGACTGAATGGGGTTATCCAGCTGATATCTGGAATGTTGGAGCGATGGTATGGTTCATCTCGAGCCTAATGCAAAGTCAGACGTTGACCGGGGTGCACAGATTTGGGACCTATATGAGGATAAACACCTCTTCTACGGCATCCCAACCGAAAAGCGATACCTGACCAGAGCTCATCTGGCGGAGTTAGTCGCGATGCTCGGCCCATCGCCGATAAATATGCTAGAAAGAGGAGCGCGGAGTGAAGGATTCTTCGATGGTGAAGGTGAGAATGCGCTCCCAAGGTACCCTGTGAAGCTAACCGAAGTTCCATCAGGGAATTGGATAGCCGAGATAGACATACCACAAGGCTTGACGTTAGAGACGTCAGAAGAGAATCTACATGGAGAGAAGAAAGAAGAGTTCTTGCAGTTTGTGAGATGCATGTTGCAGTGGAGGCCTGAGGATCGGTGGACCGCGAAGGAGTTGCTTGGGCATCCTTGGATAAGAGGAAATTCGTAAGTCAGGTTTGGCAAGTTCAGATGACTTGGAAATGAATGGTCTAAAATCTTGGAAGGATCGATTGGGACGAGAATGATGGCATGGAGGTCGCGTTGCCTCGAAGCAAGATCTTCCTACACTCGATCATAAACTGTGCAGAAAGCATAGTACCGAGGCCTAGCAACAAGTGAGAATGATGCTCTGTGAAGTTGCCATGCCTTTCTTGTGAGCCTGGGCCGACGGTTTACATTAGCTCGAAAGCTTCTAGCACAATCCCACCTTTCTCTAACCCTTCTACACTCAACCTCGGATCCTCTGTCCTTCCCTCACCTGACCGCGTATTCAGGAACCACCGATCTGCCAACCTCGCACCCCTCACATACTCAATCTTGCAGGCCCCATGACAACTCTCTCCTCTGTCTTGAATATCGCAGAAATGCACCTGCCAATGCCCCGGCAAACTCCACAATCGTGGGTCTTCCCATGTCCTTAGCGCACCATCTGTGGTCTGGAAACACCATCTGCGAGTTTCGTGCATCACACCCATCCAGCCCGGTGGCAGCGCACCAAGTAAACCCTCTCCAAACATCACACCTTGGATATATCATGGACCTACGACCTGGTACCTTCTGTTTCCTGTGTTGTGCTGCTACCGCAGCACAATAGGCACGCTCGCACCCGCCAATATGGCGACAATATCACCGGTCTTGACACTCGCAGGTGAAACACCCAAATACCCCTTTTCTGTCGTAAAAAACACTTCTCCCCGCCGATCACTAGTCAGCTCGTCAACGTACGCTCTATGACTAGGCTCAGTGCGCAACCCTGCATCGCCGGCAGACCATACACACGCCGTGAATGTGTGGCGGAATTCCGCGAAAGTGGGTAGATGACCATCGTAATACGAATCCTTGCAGAAGTCATTGGAGAGGAGTAGGACGAAAGCATCGAGAAGAGTTCCGCCGAGCGGATACAGAGACTCCATGAGTCCAGGTGGCTCCCATGCGCGATATGTAGCGATGATGTCTGCAACATTGTTACCGTCATATGTACGCGCGGCGATGGCTTTACGTGCAGGTGACACTTTAGATACACCATCCATCTTCACTCCTCTCAAAACTATACCCCCATCTTCTGTATCCACATACGACTGTCGGGAACCAGCATGCGCATGCGCAGCAAACAGATGCGATTCAGATTTTGGCCTCGCGTAATCCGGGACAAACGAGTTGAAACCCGGCGGACAGGTTTCGAGGTCACATGAGCGGAGAAGCTCGAGGGACTGGAAGTGGGAGATATAGCGTAGCGTCATATCTTTGAAGGCCTGAGCGGGGGTGAGAGAGTAATCTGGCGCGATGTGCAGGGCGGACATGGCGGGAGAGGTGGAGAGATTGGCGTAGATCAGGTCGCGAGAGTCAAAGTAGTTGCAGAGGCTTGAGCGGTGGAGGGTGTATGTTAGACTGTTGGTGTAGAAGGTATGACGTTAGCATATGTATCTTTATCGTCGGGGCTAATGTCGTACTGTCCACTTCTGTGGTAAAGGATGCTGACTTACGTACCTATCCGATCCCAAGTATTTGAATAGCGAGCGATAAAACAAGATCTCGTCGACGCCGATATATTTCCTGTCCATCTTATGTTCCACAAACACACTCATCTTCTCTAAACTTCTCCAATCAACCTCCTTCTTACCACACAAAACTTGTACCTCCGATGCCAACTGTATCTCCTGCCTAATCCACAGTCTACTAAACCACGGCCTGCGCAAGAACCTACTCAACGCTGTCCAATGCTCTGAACTCAGTGTAGAATCCTCTGGCCGCTGCTCTAGGATTTGCGCCTCGCTCCCAGGAAGTGTGCGGTGAATGCCCCGGTGATGCCATGTCAATTCGACACCTGCGCTTATTCGCTGGATAATGTTTAGAACTAACGGCGTACTTTCGTCTTCTGGGCCGAGCCAGACTACGACGCGTGAGGCTTTGTTGTAGATTTGTCCCATGCGCGCCACTTCCTGACCCTTTTCGACGAGATTCGCCTGGTCGATACATACGGCGTGGATCCAGAGCACTCGAGAGAGATCGCGGAGGCGCAGATATCGCAATGCGGTCATGAGGTTAGCACGGACATTGAGATACTGCAGGCTATCTATGTCGCCACTGGTGGTGGTGTGCCTCTGCCAGATGTACAGCTTCTCGTGGGCTTGCGTTGCAGAGCCCCACGTGTAAGAGAGGCATTCGTAGGGTGTGCGAGGTTCGTCTTGGAGCCTTTCGTGGATGATGGAGAGGTGAATGTCATCCGAAAATTGTCCAGGCAGCAGCTTGAGGAGTCTGATGGCATTTCCTGGCGGGTCCAGGACTTGATATGCAAAAAGTTCTTCTTCTGCCATTATTGATAACGGGTGGTATTCATGTTAGTGATGGGGCGGCTAGAGTTTGAGACAGCTCTCATATAGCGGGGCAATTAGTAAAGAAGGCTGCTGCTTACTACGTACAGCGGCTGTGTATCCCAGATGGATGTACAAGGGGGGGAAGCTTAAGCTGCATGTAGGGATAGGTGCATACCATGTCCGTGCGCATCGCACGATCGAACAGGTTGGAAAACTGCGTATCGCGATAACAGAAGCTTAAGCGATTAGGTCGTAGGCAACCTTTTGACTCATTCGGAGAAAGCGCTAGTTGATAGGTAAGTAGAATGATAAGCGTAAAAGAACTTACTTTAAGGTTTAGTTGTATATGATAGTTAGTGTATGGCTACGACTCCGAGAGCGACCAACAAGAGACCCATCCGATACTACGAAAGCATCGTTACGCATTTAGTGGTGGGAATGCTGATAGCTAAATGTCTACTGCTTAGCGCTGTCCGAGCAACTGACATCTCATTCCTTCCCACCATACTATCCTTCCCTCAATATAACCTCTACGTCACGCTGCAGATATCTTCACCAAGCTGAGCCGGGTTTGAGATCACAGGTATCTGCTTCGAGGTGATCCTTACCCGCCTGGATATGTACAGAACATTATTCCAGATTCCGTCTATTACATTACATCATGTATAGTCATGATGTTATAGCGATGGACCGACCCATATGTAGAATTCTGATCGGCAATCCGTGATCCCAGTAGCAGGTGCTAGACATGCAGCGCACCAAGCTACTTTCAGTATCTGGGTGGCATTGAATTCATTCGCAATCCCACTGGCGGCACCTCTGCTTTACGAAACAGTTAACAACGGCCGGATCAGCGGTCCAAATCAGGGTCCCTTTTGTCTGCATTGCCTCCACAGCGTAAGAGCCGCAAGGACCACAGCAGGCACACCGACTCCGATTCCAATTTTTGCCTCAGTCGGAAGTCCCTCTTCTGACTTATCTGCTGACGGTACATTCGTCGCTGTTGCTATTTGCGAGGGCAGGTTTGTTGTTGATGTGCCGGTGGATGTGAGAACTCGTGTTTGCAACGATGTTGGGATTGGACTGCTGTATGGTACATCTGTTGATGACGTCGTCGTGTCCGGAAGCATTCCTGACTCCGACGATTGTAGAATCTCCGTCCCATCCTCGTTCAGATATACCCCAGAATAGCTGTTACAACACGCAGCATTGGAATCGCCGCAACAGAAACTGCCGTCAGTACAGCGTGTGACGTGGGTGTATCCTGACTGACGACCTAGCATTCGGCGTCAGTGACTTGAGAAAAAAGCTTGGGAAGATAAGATGTACCGCAAACGTCCCACAACGGACTGCATCCGCTGCCCTCCTCATCCCAGTTGTTATTTGTACATCCAATGACGAAGTACTGCCCTGTCCAGTAATTGCTGTAACAGGCGCCTTGGATGCAGACGTCGTCCGCATAGCCATCGGTTCGATTGAGGTAACAGCACATATTCGATCCGGGACAGGGCTGTGGGCTGGTGTCTTCAGCTCCATCCCCTGTGTAGCAACTACTGTGGTCGGCAGATGCGCGAGCTAGCAGGAGGGCGAAAATGATGAACGAGGGGAATGGTGGAGTGTGTTGCTGTGTCATGTTGTCAGGAGAATAGGGTAAAAAAAAACAGCCGGACAAAAAAGTGCGTTCTCAGGTGTGGTGCCTACGGAGAAGTCAACAGTCATATAAACAACACGAAGAATCATTCTACTGATACTTTGCGCATGTACATGTACACGGTATCTCGCACACTGCGCCTCATTACCTTGTGAGAACCTTCTCGACATGTGTGCGCATGAATTCCCCCCTATAGCCGACAACACCGCTAAGTTGAGGCTGAGTTGTGTCACACCGGTTTGCTGTGGCTGGTCGACGTGTGGTAATGTGGTGGCTTGCGGCGGGCTGAGGACACGCGGGTTTTTGGATCCCAATTTCCATCGCGCGCGCAGCTGTTGACCCTCCTCGATCTTCTTCTACTACATCAAGAGTCGCGATTCATCTCAATCCATCTCTTTTGGTGCCAAGCATGATGCAGTATTCGCTCAAAGTCGCATCATCAGTCTTGAGAGATGAGGGAAAGTACCATGGCGGCCGCCCCCGTCAGTAAAGCGGGGAAACTAAGTACACGGTGGATCACACAGCCACCACGCCAGGTCTGCACGTTATCAACAAAACGATAACCCCAATATCTCTTAAAGAACGTCTGCATGAGCATGGTCGCATCGTATTCAAGCTTCTCGAGCCGTGAAACTTCGTCAACTACGACTATCGCAAGGCCTCGTTATCCCAAGAGTAGGAATGATTTGAAGGCCCCCCTATAGTTTTTGTCATCTACCCCGCCCACAAAGCCATAGAGGACTAACTCGCCCTGCTTCCACACCACAAGGGGACCGCAAGCGCATCCTTCTGCTCTTGCCCATCTGAGCCTTTTCATCTTCTTGCATTAACTATTTGCGCACGCGCTCAGCATGGTTGATGGTGCAATGCGCGAGTACTGCTACAACTAAAGAATGCTATAGCTTCTCCTCGGTTGAAGAATCACGTCACCACCAGGATCGATGATGCGCTTCACGTCGAGGCGCGGGGAACAGATAGCTTAGACTGACATCCGATTTCGCACGTTCTCACAAAACAGAAGTCCATATATAACGCAGAAACATAGCCGCTGCCTATTGAATGAGCTAGATCATTTCTCGGAACCACGCATTCACGCAACAGAAGCACACTGAGACGGATGCTCGCGGACTAGCTTGTCTACTTCCACGTTGAAGCGTGTCTACTGAATTAATATCTCCATTACTTGATACCATTCAAGAACAACTATGGCTACCGCAGCTACTGCCGCTGTGACGCCTCCAGCGCTCGGCCGGGTCTTCAGCACTACACCCGCAGCCCAGCCACCACAAGGCCAACCAGACATATCCTATCACCCCGACTGGGAAAAATACCAAGCTCGTGTAGCCCGTCGCACTCAGACAGATAACCTCCCAAAAGCTCTTCCAGATGGATTCCCTAAGGAGCTAAAGGGCGACCTAGTTTGGGAAGGAGAGTCTCTTGCCCAAGAATACGATTGGACCTACGTCTTCTCGGCCGACCAACTAGCGGAAATAGACAATGCAGTTACTCACTTCAAATGTAAGCTCCCTGCCTCGCTGATCCCTTCTATTTGGGGGATATGCTTTTGTTACAACTGGTTGACGACCGGACCGAATAGCCCTCAAGCTCGGCTTTGGCTACATAGCGCAAGAGACATTTCCTCTTCCTAATCTGCATGCAGAGCTGCGCCGTCTCTCCCATGAGCTACATTTTGGCCACGGCTTCTTTGTTCTTCGTGGTCTGGATGTCGATAAATATACACGCGAGGAAAATATCATCATCTACGCTGGTATATCCTCGCATATTGCTTCTATCCGGGGCCGTCAGGACGCTTATCTAGACGACAAGCGTGCGGATGTTGTTATAGGACATATCAAGGATGTCAGATCTGGAGTCGGGGAGGGCGAGAATAAAAGTCAGCTCAAGATTGGTACTCCAGCGTACACGTCGGACAAGCAGGTCTTCCATACTGACTCCGGCGATATCGTCTCTCTCTTCGCACTCTCAACGGCAGCAGAAGGAGGCGCTAGCCGTCTTGCCAGTACATGGCGTGTTTACAATCATCTGGCTACAACAAGACCCGACCTTATCCATACGTTGAGCCAAGACTGGGAAGCTGAGCTGTATGTTGCCCCAAGTCAAAGACAAATACAGTAAAATTCGGAAGTCACTAATACATTCTTGCTAGCTTCACCAAGACCGTGGATGACAAAGAAAGATTCGAGAAGCGGCCTCTTCTCTATTACCAGCCTGCCAGCGTAGATGGCAAAACGCCAGAAAGGATCCTTCTTCAGTATGCTCGACGCTATTATGTTGGTTTTGGGCAGCTTCCGCGCGGCAACCATCTGCCACCGATTACCGAAGCCCAGGCAGAGGCACTCGATGCCTTGCATTTCTTAGGCGAGCGTTTCAGTGTATCGACCAACTTCGAGAAGGGCGATATACAGTACGTCAACAACGTTGCCGTATTCCATGCGCGTGACGGCTTCACTGATAAGGGCGATAAAAAGTGAGTTCTCCAGAATATCAGAAGACTACCGAGTGAACTAAGATCAAATAACTGACTATATTGGGGATCATAGGAGACATCTACTACGACTGTGGCTGCGTGACCCTGAGAATGCATGGGAGACTCCAGTTGCGCTTGCCTCGAGATGGGACCGTGTATATGAAGGTGTGACACCGGAGCTGCAGGCTTTCCCGCTCGAACCGCACACTCGCAGCGAAAGCACCCCAAGTGCAAAGTGAGCGACTGGTCTTCTAGCCCATGTTCGGATTGATCTATAGCGGGAACGTTGATCTTGACGCCACCAGGCTATAGTGATTCACGGGTATTATGCATACCATTAAAGGATGACATCACAGTAGTCGTCGCAAGTACTCAACTAAGTATCAGCTGTCGCAATACGATACTCGTGATTGCATGTGATCAGACCTTCCAGATAAAAAAGCATAACTCCAAACGCAAAGTGAAGTTTAGGAGTAGGCTCCTCCAGCATAATAACATAAGACAATCTTTTTGCGGGTTGAGAACGACGGAACTACACTCCATCTTTTTCATGGACTCGGGGTAACATGATTACAATTGATCCCAATCTACCAGGTTTTGTAAAAGCTAGAGTTTGGCCTCACAAATCATCTAAATATACAGCAAATTAGTCCTCCTACTTGCCAGAGCAAGCCACGTGATACCAACATGCGCTCCTATTACGGGTATTATGTGGAGCTCTGGCGTGCCAGAACAGCTAGTTAGCGTCAATGATGCAAGCGCGTCGATATATCGCGAAACACCCCACAAACGCTTCGTTTTGAGACCATTGCTCCAGTGCGCGCCGATAAGACTTGAGCAAGGTCTGATACGCGATTCTTGGAGAGCAAGGGAGCACATTGCAGATTGTCAGAGCAGAAAGAGTCGGGGGCTTTGATGGTCTACGAGCCTTGGCTGCATCGCCCACCACTCCATCATGAGCGCTTACATGACGTGCTTCTAGGCAGGTTCCATTTCTGGAAGGTGAGAGACTGTTCATGGCATGGGTACTGCTTGTCACTCCCGTAATTGGCATTGCGATGGTGATTGTGCCATCACATAGGCTGGTCACGACGTGCGCATGGACAAAATGACAGGGCTGAGGAAGATGATACCCTCCACTGTTGTCGTCCTTAGATTCTTGCTATGGTGTATCAATCTTGTTCCCACATCACGTCATTCTAGACAACTCGCGATGCGTTATATGTACCGTCCCTCGCATTCTTGTTCATACTGCAGGATACACCATTAGGATCAAGAATAGTTGGCCACTTCGTATCACCCGAGCCGTATCGTCCTCCAGACCAAATCGCCAGACGACCCACACTATGGGCTTTCTCTCCAAGATCGGACCGCAGACCACCACGAGCCAGGTGGCACCCGAAAGCGACAACTCGGATAGCGAACTCTCCGTTATCCATGACGGCAACTTGGCCTACGTCCATCAAACGGCTGGAAATGGCGCATCCGGCTATCAGGAAGCTGTAGGGGCGCCTGTGGAGAAGCATTCACCTCTGGGCTACCACGTCAACTGGCTTACAGTCATCTTTCTCAACGTCAACCATATGGTCGGCACCGGCATCTTTTCCACGCCAGCTACGATTCTCCGTCTGACAGGCTCGGTGGGTTTGGCCCTGATCTACTGGGTTATCGGCTTTGTTCTGGCCGCTGCTGGTCTCGGCGTATACCTGGAGTTCACCAGCTTCTTCCCCAACCGAAGTGGCTCTGAGGTCGTGTGGCTCGAACAAAGCTTTCCAAGACCTAAGCACTTCTTCCCGATAACCTTTGCTGTTCAATCCGTCCTTCTGTCTTTCAGTAGTAGCAACGCCATCGTATTGTCCAACTATCTATGGCGTATTGCCGGGCGCGCGCCGGACCCATGGGAGCTCAAGGGTGTAGCTATTGCCGCATACACGTTCGCCGTCATCTGCGTGGTCGCACACAACCGGTATTCCTTATGGGCAATTAATGGCATCGGAGCTTTGAAGATACTACTACTCGTCTTCATCTCGATTTCAGGTTTTGTTATCCTTGGCGGTCATGCGCCTCGTGTAGAAAACCCTGGCATCAACTTCAGGGACGGCAACGCCATGAGCGGAACCACTTCCAGTGGATATAATCTCTCACAAGCTATGGTTAATATCAGCTTCGCCTTCTCTGGGTGGCAGAATGCCTTCAGCATGGCCAACGAGATCAAGAGTCCTCTGCCTACTCTCAAGAAGAACGCTACTGCGTCGCTACTGATTGTCTTTACACTCTACTTTCTCTGCAACATCGCCTATTTCGCCACTGTTCCCAAGGATGTGTTTATCGATTCGAGCGAGCTGGCCGCAGCTGTATTCTTTCGTACCGCTTTTGGATCCGCGGCCGAGTCAGCCCTCAACTTTTGTGTCTTGCTCAGTTCTTTTGGCAACCTGCTCGCCGTCTTAGTCGGTCAGTCGCGACAGATCCGCGAGATTGCCCGCCAAGGTGTACTTCCGTGGACGGAGTTCTGGGTATCGACGAAGCCTTTCGGTACACCACTCGGACCTTATCTCCTGAAATGGGTTTTTACCATCATTATGATCGTCGCACCTCCAGCAGGCGACGCATTTCAGTTTGTCGTCTCGCTGAAGTCATATCCAGATGCCATCTTTCATGTGGCTCTAGGCGCAGGCCTCATTTTCCTCCGCCGGCGTCGCGACCGGTCCGGTACTCCTCGATCAGACTTTAGGGCTTGGTGGGTTGTCGTCATCCTATATTTACTCTCACAGGTCTATCTGCTTGTCATGCCGTGGATTCCCCCAGTGGGTGGCATCTATGCTGGCACCGTCAGCTTTTTCTATGCCACTTACATGATCGTGGGTATCGCGGTGATCGGTATCTGCGGTGCTTATTACTACGTCTGGATGAATGTCCTTCCGCGTTGGGGCAACTATACCATCAGGTCGCAGGTGGTCAATGTGGATGACAATGGTGCCAACACGCATCGGCTGCTACGTGTACCTAATGCCGAGTTGGCTGATTGGGATGCCAACCATGATGAGCTTGGTAGGGCGATACATTAGAGGCGGACTAATAGATTTGCAATTCCTTGTCAGGTTTTCGTGCCTCGAGCACTTGCACGATAACTTCTCCTGTGTAAAAAATGACGGTTCATGAATAAAAGCGATGGTCATCACATCTGTATGATTACGTAGGGCAGCCCACCACGGTGCCCCCACCATCATCCTGGTCAACGCTTCCACCTCCCGTCCCGAACACTCAGCACAAACCTCATCGTGATCGCAAAACTTGCTCGCATCAACCACATCCAGACGTGTTTTGACAGGCGGGTAATACCTTCCTGTCGGTGCGCAATCCCAAAAAGACGAGCTGGTTGATGCAGTATATCCCTGCAACCTGCAGCGGAGATGTAAGATGTGTTTTGGAAATAGAATGCTTGATACGCCAATGCACAGATACCCTTCATGCAAGCTCAGGACTCCGACATCTGTAACGTTCGCGCTCGAGTGGGAAGACCGTAATGATTGCAGGATTCGAGAGATCCTGGGGCGGTATGTAGCTGGATGTTTCAAGTTGCTGTTTCAACATATGCTGCAGCCTGAAGGATCTCGTTTGGGATTTTCGGCCTCAACAAGCAGGGTATCGAAGCACTCATGGCCGTCACACCCTCCATGGCGCGCACCGTGCCGTCTACCGTCACAACTTGTTAACAGATGTTAATGCCTCCAAATGTTCCCTATAAGATTTACGGCTTAAGAAATTCGCATCGAAATCACCAGATTTTACCTTTTCAGCTCCCGCTACCATGGCCCCGAATTGTACACCTGAAGCCAATTCAACAGATTCCGAACGTGTTCCTAGCAAAGGAGATAAGAGGAAAAGAGATGGAACGTCAGATCCTCAGTCATCATCGGTACGAAAAAGAAAGAATGGGGCGGTCGGCGTTCCAAGCAAACAAACGGACTGCCAAAAGGCTCTTGAGAGGGCGAAGATCGTTAAAGAATTCCGCATCACGTTCCACCCCCAGAAGTTTTCCCCACAGCGTCCAGGAAATGTTCCTGAGAAACATCAGACGAAATTCAAGCACATTCAGCAACTTGGCAAGATCAGTTACGATTCGTATGCAGTACAACCTCGACCTGATACTGCCAACAAGCCATGGGAGGATAAGAACAAGGAACGGGCTACACTGGTGAGCGAGAAAGCAGTTCAGGCGATGAAGGATTATCAGAACGAGGATGGATGGCGGATGAAGCTCGAACCCTTCATCTTTGAACGCTTCGAAATCGAAGTTGCTTGGTATGATACAATCCGAGCCTGATTCATTTCAGATCTCCGATGCTGATAACTGGTAGCCAGGAGTGCCGCAAACGTCTGTGGCAATCCTTGGTTGAGGTGAACCCGGAAGAAAGCAATAGTCGAACGAAAAACCTCGCAGAGCGTCAACATCGTCGTACAGTATGCGACTGTGAGCCATCGTCGAAGCAGAATGGCATGTGAGTCGATATATCTACCAAACAACGGAGAACAACTAATCACGTTCTCAGTTTGAGCACAGGACGGACCAACATATTCTCTGAACGTATTGGCGAGCGAAGCATCATTCAGGACGATCCCGAAAACCACCATGGAAAAGAAATGAAGCCAGATCGAGTCTATGGACTGAGAACTACAGATTCCATAAAGAACATTTGGCAGCAACCACATACTTCTCACTTCGGACACGCGTCTGAGCTCGAGTTTGATCCACTAGGCAGATTGACTAAGACCTGCAATCCAGACAGTGGTGGAGAAGCTTCGATATATCCTTTCTTGGTGATGGAGGCTAAAAGCCTTAAAAGCAGAAGCAATTTCTCTGACATCGAGACACAAACAGCAGTACCTATACGAAATCATTTGTACCTACAGCTAAAGCTCCAAGAAGACGAGTTCAATAACATGCCGACACCAGGAGGCCCATTGAGTTGGTTTTTTGCGTACATTGGTGAGATATGGAGGGTATACGGCTGTTACGTCACAGAATCTAGCCCAGGAAGTTTGCCCTGTTATGTGAGTCGATAAGTAGGTTTTCTGATGCGTTGGTTAACACAGTAGCAGGACATCGTTCGCTTGTGGCAAGGCGATATCACTGGCTATGACGAGGCACTTCAACTAGTTCTAATTATGGACTACATCGTTGATTGGGCGCGTGATATTTTCCGGCCCAGTATCATGAGACAACTGATGTCCGTAGTCCACAAGGGCGAACAGTCGTCTTACACGATTGTCGATCAACCTGACATTCTCTCAATACACGATCTTGCGAACTCTCGGTACGGTGGCAGGCCTGTCCCTACCATTGCCGGAGCTGGAACACTCGAGGCGCCTGCGGAACCGGACTTTGATGCAATAAACTCCACGATTGACTCTTCTTTCGAGCCACTCTTAGCGAATACAGGAAAACATGTCGATATCAGGGTCTGGGAAGGCGCCAAATATGAGTCACGAGTTCGAGGGCTTTTTATCACCGAAGATGACACTGCTGCTATGGAACATCTCATACACACGGACTACAAAAGATTGGAGACTGTCAGCTCAGATCGCTGTTGGTTTCTCTTGTCAAGCGTCCGAGACATCAAAATCATCGAAGAGGCTTGGACTGGAAGTCAAGAGATCAAGGATGTACAAAATCTCCGAGAGCAAAAGATCTTGATTTCTCTCTATGTGCAGTACCGCAAAGATCTTAATGGTGCGCCTATACGTGAATTAACGTATCTCGCTCTTACTGAAGCCGCTGCCAGCAAGACAGAGTATCCCTTCGGATATATGCTAGAGGAAATTGAGCTGGTTGCTCCAGCTGAAGAACTTGCAATCAAGCTGCGGGAAGCCTGGCATTCGAGCAACAAGAACTACTACAAGCGTTACGCCAGCGGCAAAAGTAGCGTACTTTGTGTCACCGCATCTGACTACGACAAATCGGTAGACCGTGTCGTCCTTGGCTTCTACAGCGACCGCGAGATGACGAACCACACCAAAAGACTGGATTCATTCTTCAAGACCGCTTGTGAAGATCGTAAAGCAGAGCTTTATAAGGTCTATGCAACATGCTCTCGGTACACAAAAGCCGTTCATTCGCTTACCGTTGAGCCACATTGCGCCCTGAACCCTGACCAAGATTGCGTTTTCATCAACACAGACGCCATGCGATCCGGAATTTGCGTCTACATCAACAATGCAGCATCTCAAAAGATCAGTCATAGATTGATAATCCGGCATCTTCTGCAAATGGTAGTCATTAGTTGGAACAGCACATGGCCGGATTCTAGCTCCACCTTCTATACGAACGATGAGGCGCGTATCGACAGTAAGATACTACTATGGATCGTGTCAGATCCCCAATGGGATTTGTATCGTACGATGAAACCTCCTCTGAACATGCCTGACATGTACAAAGTTCATATGTACAGAGTTCACAAACATTTGGCGTGGTACCGCAGAGTATTACTCAGACACGAGTGTGGGATGGGTATTGTCGGATCCGAACACGGGCGCAGTACCATTGAATCTGAATTCTACAAAGAAGGGCACGAAAATATTCAACGCTACATTCAGCGCGCTTGCAAGAATTGCGACTACAGGCATTATTCCGATCCAGCTGCGTCAGGGCCTACATTTTACTTTCACGACGAAGATTTCATACCAAAAGAAGGCATTTAGATTAGGTCTAGACAATTGCATACAGTAAGGCGAAGAGATACCTTGGAAGATCTCCCATTTTCGAAATATCCTATGATATAATACGTGTAGCTTATCTTTTCGAAAGTTCTTACCTACTGGTACGTGAGTGCTGGATGAGTTCTTCATCGCCCATTTCAGTGTGTGCTAGACCGTGACGGTCCCCGACTTCTACAAGTCGCGACCGGCATATGCGCTTGCGATGTTCAATGTTGATGTATGCGAGATCAGGTACGATGGGACAATCTGGTACGATCAAGTCCATCATATGTAGTTGCCCCGCTCCTCAAAGCAACAATAGGAAAGGACTTAACTTACGAAACCTCAAGTTGCTCCTCGCCGTTGTGGTTCACGCTGATAGCGTGGCCATAGTACACCATTATTACCAGATTACCGGCAAAAGCGTGTCTTAGATATGCCCATCAGTATCGCGTTCATCTCCAGTGTGACACTCGCATGCGACCGGTCCTTTCCGAGTACGACGTATCTAACCTCGTAATGGCAGATGTCTTTGAAAACATTTCCAAGCTCTTTCTCCAGGGCTGGCACACCAGTGATTTCGTTGTTGATGACGTGGATGAATTGTACTACCACCTTCTTATACCCAGAAGGATCAGGGGCCATTCGCAAAAGGAAGGCTCGTTAGACGGAATTCACGATATCATCGTGAAAGGTCTTAATCTTAACGTCGTGCTATTCCTGTGTGGATGTGGATCTGAGGTTGGAAGGCATGACGAGTTCGGATAGTTTGGGATAGGCAGATCGTGAATATGAAAAGTCCAGAGAAACTTCTTGGAATTGATGAAAAGGCTGGGGGATAGGAGTGTTGAGAAATATAACCCTGGTTACGTTCGCTAATCATTCGTGTGAACCATGGGAACCGGGAACTTTGATTTTGGACTGCACCCTCGCTTCACGTCGAAAAACATTGCATCGCCTCTCATGGCCGTCTTTGTGAGAACACCCCTTCTCGATCTCCCTTTCTCAATATTATTCTGGGCAAAATCATATTGGCATAATCGTCTTCAAAAGCGTTGATTAATGTCTCAAAGCCTATTATAATATCTCCTAACGAGTACCGAAACACGGCATGGCGCATTCCATGACTGGAGAGCAAGACACGAAATACCACACAAGAACGAGTCACAATATGCTCACGTGCAATATTAGCGCGAGGTTACGATGCCTGGGACCAAGATACTATAAAGAGACATTCATTATGCTATGCTTGGCAAATGTTGAGTTCCTCTAGTGTGCGCGTAACGGGTTGAAATCCCACCATGATGTGATGACTCAAGCAACCAGTTTCTTCCAAGAATCCCGTGCGGAGACGCGTTCCCACCAAGCTTGTACATTGTGGCGGGTTCCAAACAGATTACCTTCTTGAATCTCGAAGAGCTTCCCGACGAGTGGCATATAAAATATATCGATCAAAGAGAATGCATCGCCACCCATGTAGTCTTGCTTTGCAAGGATATCGTTGAACACGTCAAGGTTCTCGGAAAGAGTACTCTTCGCTTTCTCCAGAACGGACTCTTCAGTGGGCTGACCGAACATACTAAATGAAAGTCGTTAATCCTGTCATGAGATCTGTGCATTGGCAACTGACGGTCGCACCATTTTCTGGTAAAATATCTCCTGGGCAAATGGGTCGAAGTTGTTTTGTTCCACAGACGCCCATTGCTCAAAGTGGGCCCAGGCTTTCTTGTCGTCGAAGGAGGGTAGAAGAGCGGTGCCCTGCTCGGCGTACTCGCTAGCTAGGAAACGCGATATCGCGCGAGATTCTACACGTAACAGGTGAGATCATGTGGAAAATAGAGCGTTGCGTACTGACCGAAGAAAACGAAGTTGTTGTCCTCGAGAATCGGGATCTTGCCGAAGGGATGTTTTTTGAGATACGACTCGGTCTTTTATCCCATTAGTTTGTGAGGTCGAATATCGTGTTCACTTACGTTGTGTTCTCCCGCGGCAATATTTGGAGCATGCAGCGTAAAGTCACTTACTCCCTTCTCAGCAAGGACAAGAAGCGGACGAAGTGTGCAGACTGAGTGCGAGATTCCAACAAGGGTGAACGGCATGGTGAAAATCCAAAGCGATATTTGTTGAGTAGGACGCTTTCTGATACATGACATCCTCAGAGGGAGGCGCCACTCTTATATATACGTAGTGTGATTTCTTCATACTTCAATGATATACAGGTACGATTTCCGTACTGCACTGCGGATCTGGAGATGATTCATCAGCTGCGGAAGCCCGTTTTGTGATCCGGACCAAGGCAACCAGATGGTGGACCTCGGTCCGATCATGGAACATCCCCATGTACTTACAAAATTGCTAGATATTCCGTACAATTTGCATCCGCAGTGAGTAAGACGGTGGTCGCTCTTTCTTTGACCGGGGCATTTGCGGCTATAAAATATATCCGCACCGGTGAAGCATCCATTGTGAACCAGCGAAGACCGCTATGCTACGGGTTTTGAACGCCGTACAAAGCCTTAGTGCGAGGGTATTCAGCCTGAGTCAACATTGGTTTCGGTGGAAACAAACTTCCGTAAATTATTAGACATGATTCTGCTTGGAACGTATCCACATGAACGAAATGTTCTATATGCTGCAGCTCCTTGAAGTACTAACAAAACTGATCTTGCAGTAGTAGCTCGTCAATGAACTAGGATGCGCGGGTCTTGTCGGCGGAATTCTACAAGTATTACTACTCAAAATTGGCAAACAATTTACGATGGCTTTGATGCTATTGTCTGGTTCACTGTCTTTACTGTCGTTATATGGGAATATGCTCAGAAGTGAAGACAGGAAAAGGATTTGTGATACACTTCATTCTTCCTACTTAACGACTGAAGTGTTGGAAGCGATCGCAATTTTCACAACTAATCTGACATGTCTCATTTCATAAACATGAACCCATGGGTGTGAGATTTCAGAAAGTCTGGCACTAATTCACCATACGACTCATCTGGTCTACTTGGCTCGAGGACATCATGAAATACCTCACGCGCCTTATCACGCAGAGATGGCATATTGCTCAACAGTCCTTGCGCGATCGGCAACCAGTCGACAACTTGAGTAAGCCTGAGCTTTATTGACTAGATTATCACTGACGTTAGCTGATTACCAATCTCGGGAGTTGATGGCCTTCTGGCTTACCTCGAGTGATTGTCCAAACATCGTGACTTGCTCGCCGCTCTGAGCAGCGATAATCGCACAACTCGCTAAGCTGCAAAACCTCCTACATCCGTCAATAAGTCTATGCAAATCGCAACCGGCCTTCTGGAACTGCTCCAGAAATTCGACAAAGTTGTGGATCAAGTGCGCATCAGCTTCAGCATAAATTGACGCTGGAAGTACTAGAGTCTCGCATAGCAAGACCAAGATAGCGGAGAGAGGATAGCACAGTATCTGCCTTTATGTAGTTTCAGCTCCAGGCGCTCACGCAAATTATCAGTGATGAATCATGGCAAACATACCAGAGATGTGTGAATGGTTGCTGTGGTCGCAAGTGAAACAGCACGTCAAGTGTTTTACGAGCTGTCATGGTGCACTCCGTCGAAGACGTTCTGCTGTTAAGAAGGGGACGCTCCGGTGAGGACAGTTCGTCTTCTTGTAGAACAGGGTTGCATGTTTTCAGGTCGATCAGAAGAGCGATCGTCGTGCTGATCTTGCCTTTGCAACCGAGATAGATAAAGTGTAGGAGAGCAACTGGGACTTCGAGGAGTGGCGCTCCATACATCCCGTCACGAACTTGCTTATCTGTAGGCAATGCATCTTTCCAAGACTCGAGATCGTCGTATATTTCTAGTAAAGACTTCAGCAGACCAAAACTTTCCTGCTTGGAAAACTGCCGGGAAACCACTTTCTGTAGTAGTTCGTGTATTTGCAGCTGTTTGATAGCAAGCGTTGCTCGCTCTCGCAGAAGAGTGATCTGACCTAGCCCTTCAGGGCTCGTGGAATGGTATTGTTCGTCCCTGGAGAATTCCACAGATATCTCCACTGCACCAAGAGGCGAAGGCAAGTCACATCTATGCGTCATCTCCGCATTGATGATATATATTACCCAGAAGATTCGTTTGCTTCTGTATGCTTCCACATTGTTGAGACCGGCGTAGTATTCCGTCGTGTGCATGCCGAGTATATGAGCCACGCGGGCTGCAGTAGCAGTTATCTGTCCAGCGACGCGGGTGTCAGCTGAACGCAGCATGAACAAAGCCATGGCAAGTAGCGCTTCACAACACGCTACTGAAGGTTCTCGAACTGCGATTTCGGCATAGATTGCAAATGCATTCTTGAAAAACCCCCATGCCGTTGATGAGAGTGCCGTAAGAGACCCATTGTCTATTCTCTGAAGTGCCGATACCCCAAGGAGTGAGCACACAGTCGCCCATCGGCATGGGTCACTGCGGTAATCACCTGCGCCTGCAATATATTGTTCATCGGCTCGGTCCATAATATCTTCTCTAGCAAGGAAGATACCATGGACCTGGATCGCTTCGTTCACTGAACGCAGCACATCCATTGCAAGATGTTTCGGAGGAAGCTGTGCATATATTCTACTCTCATAGTAGTCCCGACTCACTTGTGACTGCAGATGTTCCATCGTTCTGCCAATGTCAGCGGCAAAGACCGTGAACCTTCTAGCAGCGGTAGGCAAGGTTCGTGTTGTCTCGCTGTCAGTCCAAGGACTCCAGGTCGAATCAGCGATCTGGTCGAGTCTGGCAGTTGTATCGTCTATGTGAGATCCTTTCAGATACGTATACCCGTACAATGAAGTGGTACTGATATGCTTACCTCCTTCAGGGACCACAGCTTTCTTGCCACTTTGCACTCGATCATAACCTCTTGATTCGCGAATCGCGTCATGCAGTGTATCATCTTGTTGTGAAGATAGATGATCTTGTTTTTGTTGCAGCACAACAGGCGCACCGTCCTTCTTGCTGGAAGGTATGAGTGAGCTCATCTTTCTACTTTTGCCAAGGAGAAGACTTACGCCTTTCCACGACCCCGTCGCCGTCGCGTTGTGTATACGCAATTCCGTCTGTGCTTTACGCAATGGCTACAATATGGCTGTGCTCCATTGCAGCGTCTCTTTCTCTGCTGACATTCCAGGCATGCCTACAACGTATTGGCATATTGTATGGTATGCCTTTCAGCAGAACAGACGAGGGTACTTACATTAATGGTTCGTTTGCGTTTGAGCATGTCTGCAAACCTTTCGGTGTACGCGTATTGTTATGACGTTCTATCAGATATGTACAAGATGACAGGGAACTGCGGAGCGAGGATTGGCGATGATGTTTGCCGAGTCTTGTCAGATGCCGAAACACTATGCTACACCAAACACCATGTGATCTGGTAAACGCGGTCTTGCGCGACCGATTGAGAACCATCCAGAATGTATGCTCCGTTCGGGGTCAGTGGTACGAATCAGTCCTCGGCGTTTACGAGAAGCTAAGTTCTGATCTGTTTGTCTTCACCTCCGCACCTGAAGGCAGGCTTGACTGTATTCGGTATAGCGTGCGGATACAAATTGTATCCGCACGCTATGGCTGTATTGCGGACATGATTTGCATCCGCAGCACAGCCATCAAAAAGGGACAGTTCTTCTTATTAAGCAGGATTAGTTTGTTGTCAGATTAGCAAGCCTCCTTCTCATGTTTCATAGGGCCTGTGTTCTCGATCTCATAATGCGGACAAATCCCGGATGTTACCAATGGCCTTGTTGAATGATATAGTGCGCCAGCGCTGGTAGGTTCTCTCTTGTATAAATTTCCTACAAATCCATATTCTGGGTCGAAGTATTTAGACTTGTCATTGCAATTGTTTCACCTTACCAATGTCGAAACATCATATTTTAGTAGCTGGAGCGACAGGTTTGTCATTACTCTTGACGCACGACAAGAACAAATCTGACAGTTGACAGGACCATCTGGACTGGCTTTCTGCAATGCTGCTCTAGATGCAAAACATAGGTTAACGCTGTTCGTGCGCAATCCATCGAAGGTGCCGCAGGCCATCGCCCAGAACACGAATGCAGGAATCATAGAAGGAGGGCTTGATGACATGGTCGCCCTTGAGGCTGCAGCCAAATGTGGCGCCGATATTTTCGTCTCTTTTATCGGCCCAATTTCTGGCCACAAAGGCACAGTAAGCCTCTCTAACCACGGACATTACTATCGAACGAACATGTTCCAGCTAACCTGTTCCTCAGCCTCTAACAGAAGGCTACAAACGCCTCCTTCCACTTCTCGCCAGCAGCAATTACAAGCGCGCCATGATCCTTGGGACACCATCATGGGCCTCGTCTGAGGACAAGCGATCACTGTTATGGCAAATGTCTATTGGGTCCATAGCGTTGTTTTTCCGTGATGCCTACAAAGACTTTGTAGGAATAGGAAACTACGTCACTTCACTACCTTTGAGCGAGATCAGATGGACGTTATTCCGCGTCCCTTTCCTGACAGACGCAGCCCCTAGCGAAGTCCACGCTGGACCATTGGGTGCTCCGCATATAAATTTGAAGCTATCGCGAGCTTCCATGGCGAATTGGTTGCTTCAAGAGATTGACAAAGCTCAGTGGATTGGAAAGACTCCATGCCTATCAAACTGTAAGTTGAATAGCTCATGCACTAGTATATCTTGATTCTGATTATGTCTTAGAGCAGAGACAACAATTCCTCTCCCTATGCTATTGACTCACAGTCGGATGTTGACTTGGATACCAGAGATCAATAGTCTTTTTTATAGAAGTAGCCTGGGTTCAGTCAGTAAGGAAACGACACCACACTAGAAGAACGAGTTGCAACATGCTCACGCGCAATGTCAGCGTCGGAGTACGATGCCTGGGACCAAAATCTCATCAATAGACATCCACTATAATGTTGAATCGCTACCCACCAAAAACTCCCCTATAATCCTAGAATCAACCTCCAAAATTCTTCTTCTCAATCGCACTACCCACCAACCCCTCACCCTTGATTACATTCGTCGCGCAAACCACAACCTTCGAGCCCCTCCCCTCACCACCACTCTCCTTCAACTTGTCCCCCACAAATCTCAAGGCCGCAATCTCAGCTCTCGTCACACCGCCCAGGAAGAACACAACAATAGTCTTGTTCTTCTCGCCAGCACTTCCATTCAACAGCTGTCGTGCCTTGACCGCCTTCTCTTCGCCCTTCTGCGTTTCGTCGAATGTTGCACCACGAATGTATTTACTCGCGTCGTCGAAAATGCGGAGGCCCTGGGCTAGAGGGTTGGCTTGAGCGCTTGCTCGGGGGTCGGAGGGCGGTTTGATGGCGTTGGCGAGGGTGTGTTTTTGAATGATGGATTGGATTATGCGCACGCTGAGGGGTGCGTAGCCGGAGAAAGTATAGCTGATGTCGTTTGGATTTGCTTCATTGACATCATCATCCCAAAGCTTTAGGCTCTTTCGCAAGGGCGTGTAGTTTGTTACGCTGCCTGGTTTAGCGGGCGCGCCTACGCCACCGAGACTCACGCCGCCTCGGGGTCCTAGCAAGCCCATTTTCTCGAGTGACGCAAGGGTAAGGATATGTTGCGGGCCATAAGCCTGGATAATGGCGCGTTTGAAGGTTTCAAGATCTTTCGGGCGGATTCCAGCATTGGTGGTAGATTCTAGGCAGAGCAAACGGAGGATGGCGGGGAGCGGTACATCACGGTTGATGAGCTCGGTTATCGTGTCGTGCTGGGTTGTAGGGTCGGCACCGGACATAATGTTTTGCTGCACTTCTAGGCTCCGCGTGAAGATGTCGGTACGCGTGAACTTGATAATCTCCTCTGCCAAGCTAGTGTGTAGCTTCAAGCTTGCTTGTTCAGCTTGGTAGCCCGGTAGCTTGGCGACAAAATCACGGAGCTCAGAAGTCGTCTTTGTAGCAAGCTGGTCGCGTCCTGTGCTGCTTTGGAGCCGACGGGCTGCTTGGTTAAGCAGGTTGCCGACAATGGCGAAATTGGCATCACCCAATTCGGCATACAGAGTGTCCTTCGAATCAATCATGATCTTGCGCTTCATACTGGTCGACGCCGATCCAGTCTGTCCTTGCTGAGGCTGTGCGCCGCCAGCTATGGAAGAGTCGACTTCTGTTTGGTTTGCGGTAATATTGAAGACCTCGTCGATGAGCCCTTCGTATGTCAACTGAGTAAGCAGCACCGTGGGAAAGTCGACTTCTCGATCGACGATGATGAGGCTGTCTATGTTAGAACTAGGTGCTAAGCCCATGAACGATGGTCCTCCGCTAGCAGATGTCTCGCCTGCCATGACTTCGGTACGCATGCGGATGAGGAGGTCAGCAAGGCGCTTGCCGTTATCACCCTTTCCGATGATGCGTGGAAACAGGCCATACTTCTGCTGCTGAAGCATGAGTGCTTTGGCTGACAAGTAGATTGCGGTCGGATCTTTCTTCTACACATAGTTAGTATCATGTCTACAGCAGGTCCAGAACACATACAAGATAGAGATCTGACACAGCATCTTCAAGTTCAAGCGACAGCACATCATCTGCAAGTGGCACGAAGAACAGCGGCCATTCGCTCACACTAGCTTCACCCAAAACACCTGCTTCTTCAAGCAGTTGATCGGAAGTCATAGTACGACGGGGCACCCAGAAGATGGAGAATTCATGCTCAATTCGGCTGTCTCGCCGTATACGTTTGATTTGGTCTATCTAGTATGTTAGCACCGTACAATAGACTGTTCCTATATGGGAGAAATAGGCAATCCAATAAAAGCGCTATGTTCGATTTAGGCATCAAGACTGGCTAGGCAGAGTGGGTACTGTCTGTCTAGCCTACTTTTTGAGCCAAAAGCTTGCCATAAGGCAGATGGAGAGGAACAAGTAAGGAAGCCGAGGGAGCTTCACTTACCAGCAACAGCCATCACAGTCTTCGCTTTCTCGCCTCTGACGAGGAAGACGATGTTGCGCTGAGACGAGTCGACATTGTCGTTCTCGAGGAAGAAGGGCTTGTCGACGCCATATTCCTGCAACGTGGAGAATTTGACAAGCAAGTTCAGTGGGCCTGCAAGAGCTTTCTCAAGCACGAGATTCTTCTTGCCTCTTATCTGTCCGCACGCGTTAGATGGTGCAGAGATCTGCGACGTTGATATTACCTTACACCCTCGAGCAGAAGAAGCAGCTCCCGGCGCGCTTTTTCAGTTATGTCCGCCGCATTGAGAGGTGTGATGGGCGCCATCTTCGCCGCTGTATCATGAGTTACAGCTTTTGCGAGCAATCCTAACGCGCATGACTATGCAGCTCGCCCTTGTGATGTGAAGGTCGATAGAGTGGGAAAGAGGTGGTTGGATTTTCGGGTCTTAAGCTTTGGACTCGAGGCACGTGCACGTTCATGGCTTGGCGTTTAGGTGGATAACTTCCTACTGCGTGCGCGACGAGTTGCACTTTTGCTTGGGAAGTTCGTGATACGATGCCTACTTGTTGAGCATACCCAGAATCTGAGCTGATAAACAACTGCTTGGTAACACATGTTCAACATTTGGTATCTCTACCATTGTAGCAACCTAGATAGTTTAGGACGCAGATAGAATTCATGTAACTATTCATAAAACATTCAATCCAACTCCAAACCCCAAGCCTGTGTATTCCCAAAATGGCATATGTACAGAACAGAGTCCCATAGCACACCCAAATGGTGGTAGCAACAAAGCGAACAAAGTAGAGGACAGCTCCAAAGGCCGAGGCTAGCCCGAACATCAATCGCGCTCGAAGCTCAAGCTACCGAGACATTCTCAAGAAAGACCCAACTCTCCATCTCAACCCCACCAACACCCGATTTTGCCTACTTTTACCGCGCCAATTCGCGTCAAACAGCGAGAAAAAACCATCAGCAAACGTCGAAAATGACAGAACCATCTCCCAACGCAGCAGCTGCGCAAAACCCCGACGTCGACCCTGCGATCACAAATGGCCTGGCGCAACAAGCATCCACAGAGCAACCCACAGATGTAGAGATGACAGATTCTGGGGCAGTAGCAGCAGTAAGTCTCTATCCTTCTTCGCTCAAGCACAATGACAACCACAAACACTGTACTAACACGTCCAAGCCACCCGCTCAAGACACCCAATCCCAAGCTCAAGCCGACCTCCAACCAACCGTCCAAACAGTCCCGCCAACACCTTCAACCACTACGCCCGCACCCCCATCTGCTCCTTCCCTCCCCACGGCGCCCACACCCACACCTGCAGCATCGTCGCGCAACTCGCCTCACCCGACTGCTCAAGCGCCAACTCAACCCATTCCACACGGTAGCCCGACCAGAGTGTATCTCAATCAGCATGTGACGCCGCATTTGCTAGAAGCTATGAAGCATCTTGCCACGACGGAGCCAGAGAAGCCATTGAAGTGGCTGAGTGAGTTTTTGGCGCAAAAGAGTAGGGAGATTGAGGGGCCTTGAGGGGTGGATGGACTGGTAGAGGGGAATATAGAGATGGTCCAGAGACTTCGTCAGGACGAGGAACAAGATGCCATGCGCATGCGTGGTCGGTTAGCAAGTCCATGGTATGCTGGTCAAACATAACTATACAGCGGAAGACATGATAGAAAAACATCCAAGGACCACGGGCTTATGCGAGGGCGTTTCCAAAGGTACAAGGCAGGCAGGCAGGCGTCATGAAGGATGATACCCAAGTCAATCAGCAATACAAACAGTAAACGATCAAATTCTGACACGTTCAATTCAACTTGGGTATATTCAATTCGAGGTGATGCTTTTGATTGATTCATTCCATATCGTAATCCTGTTAGGTATCCGCAAAGCATCCATGCCTGTGAAACTCCACTTAAATGTCTACCATGAAGACTACCACACACGCCATTCCTACATCTGCTTATGCGACGAGGGTAGAGGCGGTGGCGCTCTCGTACCTCCAGGTAGGGGGGAGGGCACCAACGGTCTTGTAGTAACGGGAGAGCTGAAGGTAATTAGCGCGTGCTCCGGTACATGGCAAAAGGCGAAGTCGACTTACACGGTGGATACGGGACTCGATGAGAATGAGGCGGAACTTGCTGTCCTTGTCCTTGCGGTTGGTCTGGAGGTGCTTGCGGACGGCAACGGCCTTCTTGATGAGCATGTAGAGGTCCTCTGGGATATCGGGGCTAAGGCCTTTATGCGCAAAATGTTAGCCTAGACCAACAAATGCAGTTTTGTATAGCGCGCAGGTGCTCTCGAAAGAGCAGAGCTGTGTCGACGTGCGCTTCATGTGTATAGGGCGATCGTACCGTTGGACTTGAGGATTCGGAGGATCTTGTTGCCAGTGATGACCTTGACCTGGGCGACACCGTGGCTGTCACGGAGGATCTCACCAATCCTGCGATTGTGTTAGTGCATCGTTCCCGAGTCCTTTTTCCGTGCGATTGTCCTTACTGAGATGGTGTAGCACCCTTCTTCGCGAGCTTGCAGATCTGGTCGACAACCTGCTCGGGAGTGGTCTTCAACCACGCAGGAGCGCTGCGGGAGTAGGGGATGGCAGAGGCTGATATGCCCTTTCCGTTGCTGTGAAGACGACCCATTTTGAATGAATGTTCCGGATGGCGACCTGGTCGATTAGTAGGGAGGCGTGTGGTAGGCTTGGAGTCGTGATGGAAGTTCGCGATCGAAGTTCCAATTTCTCGCGGCTCGGCTAGGTCTGTGGTGGACCGTGCGGGTTAGCGTCAAAGCTCCCATCGAAGAAAAAGTCAGCGACGACCGACCTCACCTCCTCACACTTCTCAATGTGAGAACACTGAAGCTAGACGAGTGCTTTGTGCAATGCCATCGTTACCCTGCTGAAGGTACTAATCATACAGCGCGACGATGGCTCCCCTCTCCAGGTACGTACGATCATCACCCATCTTTCATCGCACAATGATGACAACCCTTACTATTTTCTGGTACCTCTTATTTTAGGCGGGCCCTCACGGGCCTGCCGGTGCATTCAACCTTTATTCTGACACGCGATCTCACCTCTTCTTGTTCTATGACACGTTTCTTGGCGACATGCGCTAACGAGAAGCAGATTTATATGGCACCGAGGCTCATTGTCCAGAGTGTTGGTAGGGTTCTTCACTTCCATAGCTATGAATGAAAACTGCTCTTTCCCATCAAGCAACGTGCATGCGCTTTCCGATGAACTCTGCTCGTAACTTCCATACGCTACATATCATCACGCCATAGCGGCATCCGTCAATGTTGTTCGATCAATCAATACCCTGTTCCATCACCACTACAACCCTACTCACAACATTTTCTTCTACATTGCGAACGCTACTCCGCAACGCATTGCTCATACAATAATCACTTTTGAACATCCAACATGAAGCATACGATATTGAGCGCAGTTTTTCTTATTCCCTTCGCCTGTGGCAAGACCTCCAGCGAGCTATGTCGCGGTACGGCCGAGCTGTCCTCAGATGGCAACTAGTACTGCTCTGAAGTCTGGGCAATCACCTATCGCAACATCAGTCAGCCCGGCGCCTACAATCAGACCACTATAGTTGATCCGAAGACTGGTACCTGCGGTCATGAACGTGTTGCCTATCCAAGCACAGGAGAGTTGACACCCTTGTTTGGACAAGTATGGCCTGCCATGGGTTCTAGACGTTGCATCACTGACAGCGCCAGGTATCAATGCACCTTCGCGGACCCATGAACGTCTCTCAGCTCGCAGTCTACCAGCTTCCAGACGAAGTGCATACAATGCAGAAGCGAACTACAGTGCCATTCTACAACCGTCGTCGAGCATTGGAGCAGCGAGAAACACCTGTGATATCTGACACCACTGCCACTCCTACGCAGTCGTCGTCACCATGCTGGCTCAATCGTCTGAACAAATGGACATATAGTACAACAATCGGTTGCACCCCAGCTACAGTGACATCGACTGTGACGGTAAAGGCAGCCTGTTCTTCAATTAGTATCTCGCAGGCTGCACCGAACACGACTTATATAGGTCCTCCGCTGTCATGTATGACTGCGTCTGCTGCGGCATCGATAGCCGATCCCGCGTCTTCAGCATCGAACTGCACTTGCGGCAATGATAGAGTTGATGACCCCATCTTTCAGAGGCCCAACGGACAGGTCTACGTCAGTCCAACCTCAGTATTGAAACCGACATCATTCTCAACACAAAATACATCACCAGTGTTTCAACGTCCCAACGGACAGCCTTATGATATCCCTGCGCCATTGCCATCGTCCATGGTGAAAAGGCAGGTTGCCGATTGGAGCCGCGTTGCATACTACACGTCAACAGCACCGGCGCAAGCCACTGGACTCAGTTTCATGGCCAATCTGGGCGACCCCCAAAAGTCTGGTACTTTCGACTAGTAAGTCGTCCGCAATTCTTGAGATGTTGATGCTGAAGTCCTCAGTGCCTTTGGAAACTCGCTCAGCTATGTCACTCCTCGAGGTGACAAGGTAGCAGCCGAGAGTCTACCATTCAACGGCATGCTTCAAACGTCTGAAATAGAAATCATAGTTCTGTCTGACAAAGAGTGTGACGCGTACTGTCCGTATTGGAGGCCAAACGCAACCTCTCACTACGGCTGGTCCGGCTCGTCAAAAGCCTTCTTCATCGAATTCCAGATGGACCACTACCCCAACCTCGGCACAGACCAAGGCATGCTCTCTGGCGCTCCAGCCTACTGGTTCCTCAACGCAGCCATCCCTCGTATCCTACAGTATGGCAGCGACCGCAACAACATCCCTTGCTCGTGCTGGTCCACCGGATGCGGCGAATTCGACGCCTTCGAGCTCCTAAGCAACGGCGCAGAACGAGCGAAGTCGACTATACATCGGCAGGGGAATTTGGAGGGCGGGGACTCGAATTACTTCAGAAGACCTGTTGGACAGACGATGAAGTTTGCGGTTGTGTGGCATTATCCGCATATTACAGCGTTGGTGTTGGACGACAAGTTTGACTTTTCGCAAAGCATGTCGGATGATGCGATGAAGAAGTTGGTGGCGTATGATCCGGATAGCTGGGTGCACTCGCTGTATGCTATTGGGGACTAAGGAGGGTGTTTTCTTGGAGGTAGTTTGTGATTTTCATGTGAAGGAATCATGTGTAACAACAGTAGGCCGAACAGGACAATTCAAGCAATTGGTTTTCTCTCATGCAGTGCATTTCCAAGAGTTTCCTTAAGCTGGAATGTGAGTGAGTTGAACTCTACGACTGGGGCAAACTTGTGGTCACTGCACAATCAGCATGTGGTGGAGACGGATTTGGGCGATGCAGCGGAGTGGGCCGGCGATTGTAGCAGTGGAGTGGCAAAGTGGTCGGCGTGTGATAGGTGACGGTTGGGCTTGCCAAAGCGGGCACGAGAAACCGAGGTCTGTTCGCGCGACTCAGCGTCTGTGTGTGTGAAAGACGAGCCGCACCCCGGCCGACGACATTGCGCATTCACTCATCGCCTCCATCTCCATCTCCGTCTACGTACGACTCTGCATCCAGCCACATCGCCTCTATCACTGCTTGCGCGCGCAGTATCGGTCATCAGCCAAACGTCCAGGCGGATCCGCCCTTTTCGCGATTCCAAGCCCCGGCCGCCGCAGCTTCCCCGCAAAAACTCGCAGCCCTCGATCGCCGCGAATTGCCAGCCTCTCGACGTTTGCCGGCCTGCACATTGACGACGTCCTCCATCATCTCTGCGAAGCAGCCTTCTTTTCTGCGCACACAGGCGCGGACGACGCACAGTCGACAAAATGTCTGCGCCATCGCCGCCAAAGCCGTGGGAGACGAGCAACGGCGCGACAAGTGCCTCGGTCGGTCAGTTCCGCCAGCCATTCCATACGTCAGGGATAACCGCGACTAACAACAACACAGGCCTCACGGGATCGAATAGCACCACAACACCCACTTCGACGACGACATCATCAAGTGCGCCTCCATTGCCGTCAGTGCCGGATTCCCTCAGCACCGTCGCGAACCGCAACGCGTCCAACTACTCCGGCATGAACAATCGCTATGGCTCCCCCTACAGCAGCGGATATGGAGGAATGAGCAGCTACAGCTCACCTTACTCTACCATGGGCGGCGGCTACGGCTCCATGTACGGCGGCATGGGCGGTATGGGTGGTATGTACGGCGGCATGGGTGGCATGGGCATGGGAATGGGCGGAATGTACGGTGGTATGGGAGGCATGCCAGGCGACCCAAACAGCAGCCTCACACAATCATTCAGTCAAAGTACAGCGGCGACGTTCCAGTTGATTGAGAACATTGTCGGTGCATTCGGCGGGTTTGCACAGATGCTGCAAAGCACATACATGGCGACGCATTCGTCCTTCTTCGGTAGGTTCACCCTCCAGCTGCAGCCAACCAAATGCTAACATGAACAGCCATGGTATCTGTGGCAGAGCAGTTCGGAAACCTACGACAAACGCTTGGCTCGGTTTTGGGCATTTACACCATAATGCGATGGATAAGAACGGCGATTGCAAAGCTCACCGGACGACCCCTACCAGCTGATGCGACGGCCCTCACCCCCGCTAGCTTCGCAGCCTTCAACGGACGCATGCCCGACGGCTCACCCGCACCCGCGAAGCCCTCCAAGAAACCATTCTTTGTATTCATGCTCGCTGTATTCGGTCTACCCTACCTCATGGGCAAACTCATCAAGGCACTCGCGCGATCACAAGAAGCCGAGGAGCAACGGAAGATGCTCGAGAACCCGCAAGCCGGCCAACCGCTCGATCCTAACAAGCTCGAGTTCTGCCGCGCCCTCTACGACTTCACGCCCAACGCCAACATGCAGGGAATGGACTTGTCGGTCAAGAAGGGAGATATGGTCGCTGTGCTAAGTAAGAGCGACCCCATGGGCAATGCATCAGAGTGGTGGAAGTGCAGATCAAGAGACGGGCGTATGGGTTATCTCCCTGGTATCTATCTCGAGACTATTCAGCGAAAGACACCTGCGCAGATTACCAGTGGAAGTCAGAGCGGTAGTCCGGCTGGCAGCAGAACCCAGACGATGACCAACAGCAGCGATTCAAGCAGGACTGCTACCATGACTGCAGCCAAGGTACCTGAAAAGGTCGGTCCGAAGGTTGAGAGCAAGGCGGGTGATATGGGGGTTGAGAGTTTCCAGAAGGGCGCTTTCTACTCGTAGGATTCGAGCGACGTTTACCTTTCCTATCTTTAATGCGATTTCCCCTAGGAGTGTACAGTTGGCTAGGCAAAAGCTACGGTATGGCGTATGGCGCGCAGAGATATCATGGGTCTATGAAGCCCAAATTCGAACATTCAACAAATTTCAAAATCTGAGTCTCTGAAGTCAATCATGAGTTGGTATATATGATTCTGAAGATAACCTAGATAATCCATATCTAAAAAAGTGGTGTTCAGACACTACAGCCGTCGTCCGCCTTTACCCTTGCATGTGCGCTCCGCAACGTCACCCAGCTCTCGGAACAAAGCCGAGACCCCGAGAAACGACAGGCAACGACCAGCCTGGCACATCTGGAACCCTATCACCTTTTCCCTTCGCACTCTCCTAGTCGCTCCTTTCAACTTCCACAACCACAATTTCCCTTCAATCATCGTTCTAGGCTGTTACCGTTAGACGTGCTGCTTGCCCCTCCCCCACTCAGTGCAGTGTCCAGGGTCGCAACCTGTCTAGCTCCAGTCGCGAACAGCTGAGACACGAAGCAGACAAAGCACGCGTAACCACGACGTTGTCGCTGTAAACCAGGTACCGCGAAAGAGGCACTGCGTCTGTTCGCGCCTCTACACCAGAGCTGGATTGAAGGAGGAGCGCTACTGCACAACTCAAGATGTTCGCGTCGAAACGGTTAGGCAAGGTATGTTTACCCAGTCTTGAGCGGAGATGTAGAGGGAAGGAGAAGGCGCAAAGACAGATACATGAAGGGAGAAGAAGCTAACGTGTGTTGTAGGAGCTGTCAAAGGTATCGACTCCCTCTCATCGGTCGTCTTCGGTCGAATCAGTTCCTACCCACCACGCATTCCTCCAAATTCACGCGTCCATGTGCCAAAATCTACACACAACTCGCGCCCACAGCGTAGAATCCAAGGAATGACTATGGACACGGCTACGCAGGACAAAATGATCAGGTTGCTGACGACGAGGACACAGATGCACGAGAAACTCCCTCCAGGCATAACGCTCATCCAGGCCGACGACTTCCAGACCTGGCTCGTGGACATCCAAGTCATGGACGACAACCCGCTTTACCAGGGAGAAACATATCGGTTGAAGTTTAGTTTCACGCCACAGTATCCTATCGAGGTATGTCTCCCCTTTCCTCTCATACTACTTGCTCACCACCGCCCATCCCCCACTCCGACCTTTTGACTCCCTCCATTATCCTTTTGCGCCACATTCTCTTTTGCCCCATCAACTACCAAAAACACGACTAATGCCATGTGGTATCGCAGGCCCCCGAAGTAGTCTTCGTCCGCACACCCACGCACCCCATACCCTGGCACCCGCACATCTACTCCAACGGCATCATCTGCCTCGACTTGCTCGACCGTTCCGGTTGGTCGCCTGTTCACAACGTCGAGAGTGTGTGTGTCAGTCTGCAGAGTATGCTTACGAGTAATACGAAGAAGGAGAGGCCGCAGGGCGATGAGAATTTCGTGAGGTATAATACCCAGCGGCCGAGGGATATTAGCTTTGTTTTTCATGATGAGAAGGTCTAGGCTTTGCTCTCATGGCAGGTAGGCTATGAGGAGGGGAGTGTGTGTGTGTGTGTGTATTCACGCTGCATGTGTGGGTGTTAAATGGCGTTTATGGTGAATACCGGACGGGGAGTATGGTTGAAATGATGGCATGTTACGACTCGGGTTGATGATAGCTAGCATGCTTTTTGTCAATATCCATACCTTTACATGGAGTCGTTTGCTAGATCGAAGGATATGTGGCCAAGGGACCTGCTTCTCGCGATAAAACACATCTGCGAGAGGTCTGGATCATATTTTACCCAGTAACATGGAGCTACAGGATACGTCGACCACTTTCCGGATGCATCTTCAGTATTCAGTACAACAGAAGGGATGTCCGCTTCATCACAGATGAAGACAATGAAAGCTAGTATGACACTTGAAAACAGCTGATATATGTGTACTATCTTACAAGCTCGTCTATCGCTTTCGAATCAGACGTGCAAACACCCAGAACGCCATGCTACAGAAATGCCAACCATCTTCGCTGCCATCTTCGTCATATCCATCATGCATTGCTCGGCCGTTATCCATGTATATCTTTCGCTCGTGCTCATCATCGTTTGCGTCTTTGTTTGTCATCATCAATGCGGGCCTCGTAGATCACCTCGCATGTCCCCCCATCTTCGTCGCCATGATGCATCATGTAAATCTCAAACAACGAGGCTTTGCTTCCCTCCCTCCTACCCCCTCCCCTCCCCCAATAAAGAAAGAAAAAGGAAACGGTAAAGTCAAAGGAAAGAAACTATACTGCGCACATCATCCAAACGATGCCTCCTCACATGTGCCTATCGAGACCTTCGTTCAGCAGCATACCCCACATTCGTCGAAACAGTCGTCTTCACATCCGTAATCACGCTGTTTGTGTCCCAAGTCCCCGCGTCGGAAGGACTCGTCTGCCTTCTCAGGTTTCTGGGTCTGTCGTGATAAGGCTTGTTCTGCGAGACAGCCGTTGCAGGCCCATTGTTCGCATGAGTAATCTCGCTGCTCGTATCCCAGGTACCGGAGTCGGAACCGTCGTCGGAGAAGCTATGGTGTTCATGCTGCTTCCTGAGTTGTTCGACTCGCTTGAGCTGCTCAAAGGGACCGGGTGGGTAGCTCGAGGGGGCGAGATCGCTGAATTGTCCGGTTGGATAGGGGACGTTGGTTGAAACGGTCGTGGGAGGGGGGCGGTGTGTGACTGTCGTCACTTCACTGCTGGTGTCCCAAGTGCCGGCATCGCTGCCGCTGAGCCTTCTCAGCTGGCGGGGTAGCACGTTTGAGTAGGGTACGTTTGTTGATACGGTTGTTGGAGGCGCGCGGTGGGTAGTGATCTCAGTATTCGTATCCCAAGTCCCGGTGTCGGATACGCCATCGTCAGACTCGTCCTCATCGGAATCGCTTGGTCTTTGCAGATATCGCGACATCTCTGTCGGGTATGGTACGTTAGTGGAGACAGTCGTAGGAGGAGCGCGGTGGGTATTGATCTCGGTATTCGTATCCCAAGTCCCAGTATCGGAAACAGCATCGTCGTCATCGTAGACAGCCATTCCCCTTGTGTCACGAGGTGGTGGCATGGACCATCGTTCCGACTCGTCCATATGCTTCTCCATCGGATAGGCGACGTTAGTCGATATGGTAGTGGGCGGAGCACGTTGAGTGACTTCGCTACTAGTATCCCAGGTACCGCAGTCGGAAATGCTTCTCGACCGCTTCAACTCCCAAGGCATTCCTGTCGGATAAGGAACGTTGGTCGATACGGTGGTGGGTGGGGGCCGAGCAGCAGAGATCTCAGTGTTGGTGTCCCAGGTACCAGCGTCGGAGATGCTCCTCTGACGTCTGATCTCTCTCGACTCTCTCTTCAACTCTTTCGAGTCTCGTCTTGAGTCGTACGAGGAAGGATAGGGTGCATCCATCGTAATAGTGGTAGGTGCAAAATCATGAGTCATGATGCTGTTTGTATCCCAAGTGCCAGCATCAGAGATGCTCCTCTGTCTCCTGACCTCTCGCGAGTCTCTCTTCGACTCCCTAGATTCTCTTGATTCCCTCGATGATGTCGATTCCTTGGTAGAGTCCTTGCTTCCTCTATCCTTGTTCCTCTCCCTCTTTTCACTCCTAGCTGAGTTCCTGGAGCTACCATGAGAGCCCTTTATTGGAGTACTGGGATAAAGAGCCTTCATGGCAGCACCGCGGGTCTCATACAGATAGCGAGCCTTTTCACGCTCAGTTTTATCCGAGCGGTCACTCCTCTCCGTTCGATGGCTGCGGCTGCTCTTCTCAGTGCGCTCACTCTTTTCCGTACGTTCGCTCTTTTCAGTACGCTCGCTCTTATCAGTGCGCTCACTTTTTTCGGTGCGCTCACTTCTATCAGTGCGCTCGGTATCGGCAGATTTGGTCGTACGGATACTCGCAGCATACCCGCTCTTCCTGCGACTGATTTCTGGTCGAGGAGTGATATCAAATAGCTCGTCTTCCATGGCATGTTCGCTAGATCGACGCTTGTGCGTAGAGCGACGTCGTGAGTGCGTGGTGGAGGTTGACGTAGTCCGCGTGCGTTGAGGCACCAGTGTTTCAATCTCATCAATGGCATCGAAAAGATGAGATACCGTGTCTACCGGCGTTGGAACTCGTGAATCCTCTTGAATCGTTTCTCCCGTTGTGGTGCGGGAAAAAGACGGAGGCAGAATCGCGCTTTCGACGGACGCACGATGGCGTATGGCTTCAGCAATCTCTGCTGCCGTTGAAGGAATATCGGGCTTTGGCTTCGGCGGTGGTGGCGGTGGCTTTTTCTTGGGGCTTGGTGCGTGTGAGGGAGCCAGACTCTCCACTGGCATACCAATAAAGTTCCTAGGCGACGTGAACACGGATGTTGGAGGCGCCGGTGGACGTGAGAACGTAGAGCCTGGAGGCTTTGGCTTGTCGTCCGGGGAAGGAGCAGAGAAGAGGTTCAATGCTCGCTCAATGGCCGAGAGCTTCTTTGGCTTCTCTGGCTTCTCGGCGATAGGTGACATTGGGCGTGATGCGGAAGATTCCTCAGCCGAATTCGTCTCGGTCTTCGTCGGAGATCGGGGAGCGGGTGGAGACGGAGGAGGTGGTATAGGGTCGCGGGGCGGCGGGCAGGCCTGAGAAACCGGTGGATTAGCCAAGTGATCTAAAGCAGTCTTTCCGTCTTACGTAGATCTCGTTATATCGCGAGCCTTTCAAGAGGCGAGGTGAATGAAGCGGTGAATCAAGCTCGAAAACGGTGCTAGGAACGCGGGGGTAAGGTGAACACGCGGGTGGTGTTACATACCGGCGGCGGAAACTTGCCCTCGTCAGTCGGACTCGTTAATGCAGTGGTATGGGATGGCAAACCAGCAGATTTGAGCTCCTCCATTCTCGTCACGACTGGCTCTGCATCATCATACAGGGCCAATCCATGGTGGAGAATGCAGCCTTCGTCGCGCTCTTCGTTGTTCTGGAAGATCTCGTGCTTCGATTCGCGATAGACGACCGGGAAGATTCTAAGCAGTAGCTGTCGTTGCGAATCAGTAGGAGGGAGGCTATCGTCCGCCGAACCTGTCTCTGCCTTGTAAGCTGGCCAAAATTGGTTGCCAGTGAATTGATGTTCTTCATCATGTAGCGCAGGCATGACAGCGGTGATCATCTCGCGCTCGAGACGAGCAAACCTCCATGTCTCTGCAGCAACCTTGACAATGCGTTTCACAGCAATCTTGATACCCTCCTCCTCTTTCGGATCAGCAAAGTGTCGGATAGCATTGACAATCTCCTCCACAACAGTTCCCGCAGCAGTATTGATGCGCTGCTTTGCGCCGGTGCTGGTGAATGCAGCAAGGAGTGTTTGTTGTCGCCAGATCGCTTCTTTGCGCGTGCTCTTCTCGCGAATGTGGTGGCTCATTGAAGAAAACAGGGAATCAGCTTTGTCGTACCGGCGACCAAGACTGAACAAGAACGGGCCGAACACACGGAACGTGATCAACTTTGATACAGTGTGGGCGATGTATGCAGCTCGAACTTGCCTGGATAGAATGCTCGGTTAGTATCTGAGGTTATGGTCTACATGGATTGATCTTTCTCACCTGGAGGCAATGCTATCGCCAAGAAATGATGGCAGGTTGGACGGTACTTGAGAAAGATCTTCTGGCGGTGGCCTTACTGGAAGGTGAACGAAATGGGTTGTAGCGAGGTCGATGATTTGCCTTTGCAGCTGAGAAAAGGATACCAGGCTAGACGCGATAGTGTTAACGGGTGACTCCTAGCATAATAGAAAGATGTGGGAGTCGCGACTGATGCGAAAGCAAGCATTGCGTTAAGGGGTTGGTGAACTCTGAAGACAGTGTATGGCAACACATGGTGGCTTTCAGCGTGACAACACAGCCGTTGGCCAGAAGATTCGCTGGACGGTCTCGGTGCGCTCTTCGTTACCCAGGGTTGGGACGAGGAAGCGAATCGAAGCCGTTCGCAATCGATACAACATCAGCCACGAATGCAGCTTCTGCCACCACCGTGGGGATATCATAAACAAATGTGCAGGACTGGGTCACTTACTAGTAGCTGTCGCCCTTGCTCTTGATCTCGGCAATATCACCATAACATTCCATCATCTTCTCCAGTCTGGATTTTTCCGACTCGAGGTTGTTGGCAACACTTCTGATGACCTCCTTCTCCTGTTGACTTTCGGCCTTGAGTTGATTGTATTGGTTCATTAGCTCATCGTTCTCTCTCACCAACTGATTGGCCCTCGCTGCTTCCTCTTCGGCTCTCGTTTCCGCTTCATCTCGTTGCTTCCGCAAGTTGTCGCGCTCCTCAAGGGCTTTCTGGAGCTGAGACCTCAGCTCAGATGCATTCTCGGCATCTTGGCCAGCCTGCTTCAACTTCTTGTCGAACTGGATAGCAAGGGCGATCTTCTCGGCGTCGTGTTTCGTGATTGTGGCGGACTTCCATTCGTCGAAATCTCTCCACGCCCTTTCCCTCTCTTCCGCCGAGGTCCTCTCCAAGGTGCGATGCACATCTTCCAACTCCCTGTACCTGTCCTCCCAAGACCTCATAGCTGCATTCAATGCCAATTTGGACTCTTCAGCGTCTCTTTTGGCTTTCTTGGTCTCGGCAATCAGCTCTCGAAGCTCTCTAACTTGCTCTTCCAAATTACCAATCTGGAAATGTAGTCTGCTTGCTTCGGCAGAATGCCTGTCTTCCAAGTTGCGAATCTTGTCCTTCAGTTCACCAAGCTCACCATCCTTTGCTCGCAGTTGCTGTTCTTGCTCAGCACTCTGCCGACGGAGCAAGTCCTCCCTGATACGTAATTGATTGTGATTCTCTTTGTAATGCGCAAGTAGCACGTGCAGATCGGTCTGCGGGATGCGTGAGAAAGCGTCACCAGACCCGTTTTCGATTGCAGGTCGACTCTCTAAAGCGTGTGAATGATAGTCTCTAGAACCCAAGGAGTCCTGTCGTTGCGATGAGTTGCCATAAGGAGGGTACCCGGGTGGGTATTGGCTCCATGATTCCTGGTAGGGAGGGGAGGAAGAATGCGACGAAGGGCCGTAAGGATTGGGGTTAGGCGCGGGATAACCCTGCTGACTCATGCCGTATGCATGATTTGGGTACTGGTGAGGCGGCTGGGTTGGCGGGGCATAGTAGCTGGGATGATAATTTGGTGGAGGGGCCGGATAGGTGGGCTCAACAGGCACTCGGGATGCAAAAGCGCTACGTGGTTGATGTGGGCCCAAGTGGGACCGCGACACTTCATGTGCTTCACCGCTAAATGGACGCCTCGACGCTATCCTGTTTTGTACTAGAGCGGAATCTGAATCGTCGTCTGTATCGAAAGTAGGAGCATATCTAAAGGGAAACATCTAGTCAGTACAACAATTCCATAAGAGTTCGGTGAGTAAGCTTATGTATCTTAAGCATGTTCGCTTTGGGCCCAGTGTAGTGGTTTGCGGTCGCGCCGAAGAAGACCCGCGCTATGCGCTCATCGAGCAATTGGATCGAGTTGACATACCTTGGTCGTACTTTACTCATTGGCGGGCTCGGTGCCGCAGGTCTATCATCCTCAATGAGCTGTGCCACAGCGTAAGGCTTTGGCGCATGGTTTGGACCCGCTTCGTGTGTTCTAAGCTTCGGTGCATGTGGCGCGAAAGATCGATACGATCGAAATGGTCGATCAGAGACTGGAGAACGATCTTGCATATCAGGTACTCCCGAAAGAGGTGACGGAGCACGTGCTGACTCGATCATTGATCGACGTGCGATGAATGGTATCTCGGCCTGTTCACGTGACCCATCTTCAACATGCCTCTCTGCTGCCAATCTTTGCTCCTCTGCGAGAACCTCTGCTGCTGCTCGAGCTTTCCTTGCAATTCGAGCCTGGGCTGCTTTTTCACGTCGTAATTGCTCTTCTTCAAGTTCTTTCTTTTCTTTTCGAGCGCGTTCGGCGGCGGCAGCAGCCTCGATCTCGTCCTTCTCTTTTTGAGCACGTTCGGCAACTGCTGCAGCTTCGATCTCTTCCTGGGCTTCTGCTGCACGTCTTTCTTCCTCCATTAACGCTAGGAGTTTCCTCGCTTCGGAAATCTGCTCGAGCTTCTCTTGCTCAAGCCTCTCACGGGCTACTCGCTCTTCTTCGAGTCTTTCAGACTCTCGTTGTTGTTCTTCTTTCTTAACCCTCATTTCTTCTACAGCTCGTTTGACGGCTTCAGCAGCTTCCATCTCTTCTTGGGCCTCTCTTGCACGTTGATTTTCTAATGAACTGCTGGCTTCGGCTTCCTTGTGTGACATCTCTTGCTCTAGGGCTTCTTTCGCCAGCCGCTCGCGCTCGAGAGCTTCTTGCTCCAGCCTGTCCAACTCTTTTTGCTGCGCATCTTCTTGAGCTTGAACAGCCTGCACATGCTCAGCAGCTTCTTGGGCTTCCGCAGTGGTCGTTGCTTCTTCCTCAAGTTGCACCTGCTCTTGCGCTGGTGCTTCTTCGTCTGCAGGCGCAGCAAATTCATATGATGGTTTCGTGGCAGCCTCAACAGAAAGCACTTCAGGTGTAGATTCAGGCTCAACTTCCGGCTCAGCGGCGAGTGTTACCAACCCCTCCTGCGCAGTCTCAAATCTCTCAACACCCGGCCTCTCAGGGGCTTCTAGCACTGATATATCATCGATGGATACATCTTGTGGTTCGGCACCTACCGGCTGCTCGGGTGCTGCTGGAAAGATCTCGAGTTCTTGTGCAAACACCACTGGATCTTCTTCTGTTACAGTTTCGGTAACATCCTCGACTGTGTCAGCTGACTCTTCTGGTTGAGCCTCGGGAGCTTCAGGTACTTGAGGTACTTCAGGTGCTTCGGGAGCTTCAGGAGCGTCGGGTACTTGGAGTATATCTATTGGATCTAGCTGAACTTCATCTCCACTGAGAGTATCCTCCATTGGTTCTGCCGACTCGACGGCTTCTTCTGCAGTGGTAGGTGCAATCTGTACGGAAGGTTCTGCTTCAGCTTTAGGCGCTGGCTCGGTTGCAGATTCTTGTAGAGGTTCTGTGACTTCAACCGGCGTTTCGTCTTCAGCTGTATGCTGAACAGATTCTTGAATGGGGAGGAGCGCTGGTTGATATGTGTACCCTTGGATTGTAATTTGTTCTTCTGACGCATCCTCTTGCTCCACAGTGGGTTCCGGATCATTCGCTTCTCCTGGTTCGATAGATGGTAGCTCTTCTTCCTCCACCGTAGTATGTTGCATATCTTCAGCGCTTTGTGCGGCAGTCGCTAAGACCGTGGCTTCGGTAGGGTCCGCTTGCGATCCAGATTCCCGCTCTTCTTCCATTGGCGGCTCCAGGTCTGCAGCAGGTATGGTCTCAGTGGCCTGTGGCTCTGTGGCCTCGTCGGGAATAGTCTGTATGCTCTCAGAGTGTTGTGAGGGTGCAGGTGTGGACACGTCCACCGGCGTGGGAACCGTACCCTCGTCTGTCTCCACTTCGGAAGCGGTTGGCATTGACTGCTCCCCGGACGCTGCTTCTGTGGCTGATGGCTCTGCTGTCAATGGAACTTCAGGCGCATCTGGAAATGGTTCGGCAGCATTCGTTGGCACGCTGTCAGGTGGAGCAACAGTCTCCACCGGTTTCCTGCTCTTGCTTTTCTTCTTCACCATAACGGCGGCCGCCAAGTGAGATGGTCGTTTTATATAATGTTAAAGACGCCAGAACACCTAAAAATTACAGCAGAGCATGCGCTTCTCACTTGGAGCTCAGATGGTTGCAGAGATTAGAATAGCTGTCTATTAACGTGGCATGGCGGCGGGAAACAGGTCAAAAAACAATGAGCAAGCGCAGAATCAGTATATAAGGAACGCGGCAGTGAAAATGATGAAAGAGGATAGTACAAGCTGCAAACGCCATGCCGCCCAATGGGAGATTGGCAGGGAGCTGCCAGCTCATCGCAAACTTGAGCGGCCTAATTTATATGCCCCGAGCGTAACGTCTCCAGCCATGGCAGACGCCTTCGCGTGTCTGGTACAGTCACGTCTATATGGTCGCGCTGTGCTTCTCATTCTGTACCACAACGGCAGCCATGGGCGGTGGATCAACGGGAGACCATGGCCCGAATTCATTGTTGATATTTACTGTAGGAAAACGATCCAACGAACCAATATGCACGCGATGACGCCGTGGGAAGTCAAAATTTGGCCTCGATGCAGAAGCGACAGGGAGGGCGTTGTGGCATACTGCGGTTGGACGTGTTAGCTGCATATCAGCCTCGAAAGGAGTGCACTACAGCGGGTGCTAGCGGTAAAAGAGCAGCGGTGTGTGTGAAGATGCAGAAGGAAGATGCGTTGTCAACAAGTTTAGTAGCTGCTAGCCCCACCCGACCTAGCGCGCTTTGACCCGAGGCGTGGAACTTCCTCCGCCTTCCGACGCGACGTGAAATCGTCAGGGCTGCACAGGCTCCCATCACGCGCTTTGCAACTCCAACCAGGCTAGCACTGAGTATGTCACTCTGCAGTCGAGTCTTCACCAGGTCCAGCAACTTGGGGCGGCATGGCTAAGCCTCGAGCCACGCGGAAACAGCCGATTGTGCTCTCATCCGACTCTGAAGCAGATGATTCACACACACCGCCTCCCACGCGTTCCAAGAGGGGCACACTAACAAGCGTACCGACTGGGGCGCATGGTAAGAACAAGGCTACCCGATCCCAGACACGTGCAGCCTCTCCCACGCGATCGAGAACAGCTGCTACTAAGACTACCACGTCTCCAGCCAAATCCCCGGCCAAGACAAAGCCCGTCCTCAAGCCCATCACTTCTTTCTTCAGCAGTGTGCCGCGGCCGCAATCGCTACAGCCCACGCCGAGTCCCGAGAAACCTGCCGCGTCCATTGAGCATGTAGACGATATATTCGACGACGACATTTTTGATTCCTCGGACGATGCGCAACCGCTCAAACCCTCGAAACCTCTCCCCGTGCGCAAGAGACCCATCGCTGCGACAGCGCCAAGTGACCATGGCAGTGCCGTGAATAGTAGACAGAAGTTCCTACGAACAGCAAGCGGAGCCCGCAGTGTCACTCCCTCGTCGTCTCAGCCGGCGCGGCAGGACGCAGAAGACCGGCGGCCATGGACTGAAAAGTACGGCCCCGTGTCGCTCGATGAGCTCGCTGTACATAAGAAGAAGGTGACAGACGTCCGGACATGGCTGGCCGACGTCTTCAGCGGCAAGTCGCGTAAGAGGTTGCTGCTTCTCAAAGGCCCCGCTGGTAGTGGAAAGACGACGACCATGTCCTTGCTCTCTAAAGAACTGGACATCGAAATGCATGAGTGGAAGAACCCTGTAGGTTCCATGTCCACTTCTGACAGCTTCGTGTCTGCTACAGCACAATTCGACGACTTTGTTGGGAGAACTGGAGCCTTTGGTAGTCTGGCCTTCGATAAGCCGACAATGAGTCTTCAGTCCGCTTCGCCTAGCAGTCATGCTGCAAGGCAGAAGCAACTGGTCCTAGTAGAGGAGTTTCCGAATACATTTGCACGTACTTCTTCGGCCGTTCAATCTTTTCGCTCTTCCGTCCTCAACTATCTTGCTGCCAACACACAATCAGCTACTGCATTCTTCTCCACCCAAGTCGATTCCGAGCAGCCCGTGACTCCAATCGTTATGATCATCTCAGAGACTCTGCTGTCTACCAATACAGCAGCAGCAGACAGCTTCACTGCACATCGTCTGTTAGGTCCTGAGATCCTGACCCATCCTGGAGTGGATGTTATCGAGTTCAATCCAATCGCAACCACATTCATGACGAAAGCGCTAGACACAATCGTTGTCAAAGAGGCACGGAAGTCTGGACGTAAGAAGACCCTCGGGCCACAAGCCATTCAGCGTCTTGCGGAGCTTGGAGACATCAGAAGCGCAGTCTCATCACTCGAGTTCTTATGCTTACGTGGCGACGACGCGGAAGGCTGGGGCGCAAAGGTCAACTTTACCAAGAAGAAGGGGCCGAAAGATGTCCCAATAACGAAGATTGAACAGGAGTCGCTTGAGATGGTGACGCAGCGGGAAAGTACTCTCGGTATCTTCCACGCCGTTGGGAGGGTCGTCTACAACAAACGTCTACCGGAAGACCCTAACACACCTGTAGCCCATCCACCGAACTGGTTTCCCGAGAGGCGAAGGCCAAAGGCTTCGGAGGTCAATGTTGACACGCTCATCGATGAGCTAGGCACCGATACACAAACTTTTGTTGCTGCTCTACACGAAAACTATGTCCTGTCTTGCGGAAGTGCAGATAGTGAAGAGACAATGGATTCTATTGAGGGATGTATAGAAGGCCTTTCGGATGCCGATCTTTTATCGCCGGATAGGTTTGGCGCTGGCGCTGGCCGTCGGAATCTTCAAGGAACGAGTGCGGACAATCTGCGTCAAGACGAGATGTGCTTTCAGACGAGCGTGCGCGGACTTCTGTACAATCTGCCATATCCTGTCAAACGAATGGCGCCACCCCCGGGCATAAGGGGCATCAAAGCGAAAGGCCAGGGAGCAAGTGGCGGCGCGGCGAGAGGGAACGCGTTCGTCATGTACTATCCGGCGTCGCTGCGGATATGGAAACAGCAGGAAGAGATTGAGGATTTATTGGAGATGTGGGTATCGAAGGCGCAACGTGGTGAACTGTTTTCGACGGGGTCAGGTACATCAAGACCGACTTTCTCAAGCGGAGGAGTCGAGACTTGGAGAGGCAATGCCTCGTTTTCACAACCCACATCAGCGTCAGGCTCGAAAGGTGCGGAAGAAGATGCACCCGCTTCCATTCTCCTGGGAAGTGGTGGCTCAGCTCGGAATGAGATGCTTTTGGAACGTCTTCCTTACATGACTACCATTTTACGAAGGTCACGTATGCCGCCTCCATCTACAGCAGCCACTGTGCGTGAGATCAAGAAGATTACCTCATTTACTGGGAATGCTTTAACTGGTGCTACTGAAGAAGATGATATGGAGGAGGATGCCCGTCCCGGCGAGCAAGAGCAGTGGTCGACAGACAAACCGACCGTAGAAACACCCAAAAGGAAGGGACGAGTGAAGTTCGAAACTAGAGCGCAAGAGCCGGAATCGGCCATTTCTGGATTAGCAGACAAAGGCGCCAGTCTCACGTTGAGCGATGACGACATTGAAGATTGATCAACGGCTTTGGTGGAGAGCAGTCATCAGTCTACTTGTAATGTGTATATACATGAACAAATAACACAATCGGAAAAGCCCAGTACGCGAGCTTTGAATAGAAAAGTTCATTTAAGTCCAGTCCAAGCATCTCGAAATCGCACGTTTCCTCGAGGAAATCGGGTCGAATGTATCCTAGAGGACCACAATCAGCATATAGCACCAGGTCGTGCATCAAGGAACAAAAATCCATCCCCGTCATTGCGGAGTTGATAGCGCTGTTGACCAGCTTCACGCCGTCATTCACTTGCGCTCTGGCCCAGACTTGGTATGCAGCCATATTTCCGTCCTTGAAGATGTCGTTGTTGTAGGTCAACATGACCTTGCCGCTTGCTGTTTCAAGGTTCCGTACTCTCTGGTCTCTGCCAGCATGATTGTATTCTACTGATGCGTCATATAGTCAGATATTGATATCAGGCTCTGATAACGACATTGACACAGCCACAGATGAGAGGAGCAATGCTAGGCGCTCCTTGTACTTTGAGTTCTGGTCAGCGATAAACGACGGCGTGAACACGGTTATCTTCATGATCGTTTCCGCTCACGGTGAATGATATAGGCGAAGCCAGTGTGCAAATAGTTATACCTTGAGCTGCTTTTCTGCTGTAAAACAATTCTTTGGTAGCTAGGGGAAACCAAGAAACAAATGATTATCCATATCGCCCTCTATCAAGGTATAATGACCACATCCTGGGATTGCTCAATGGTTTGCTTTCCCTTCCAGTACCTTTCTTAACGATGAGACTCGACGTGGTTCACTACAGAATAGCGATCACGAGAGTGGCATGATATCGACTTCAAGATAAGGAGGGTAAGTCGACGTTATAATCTTGTTGTACACTTTTGCGTAGCTTCGAAGTCTACATTACTAGATAGGCTCCGTACAACCATATTCATAAGACTATCGTAGGCTCCAGAGGCTCACTTCTACTTCTTCACTGCATTCTCTTGATCTATGCTAACACTTTCACTGATTGCCAAATTATGGTATGGGCGGTTGATCTAGATGATCGTTCCGTTCTGGCAGCTTTGAGCTACGTGAGCACCAAGGAAAAGGAAGATGTTCTATTGGAATTAGACTCGAATATACAGGACTTTGGTACCAACTGGAATTTCTTCCCAAGAGGTAGCAAGGACAATGGTAAGAGAGAACTATAGAAGCGTTGGTAATCGAGCAGGGTCTAGCAGATCATCTAGACGATTATGAAATGAAGAGAGCAGCAAGGAAGTGAGTGAACCAATTTTGACAATGTGCCATTTTGAAAGACCATCTAAAAATCTGTACCATAGAAGTGACCACCATCCTAGGGTATGCTGAAGTCGAGTAAGACGTTGGGTAAAAGGTCACCCCCATAATAAAGAACCCAAACATTCGATTAGCGAGACTGACATGGCCTTGCGATAGATCTATGACTACCTACTGTAGCTACATCGATTGCCTCACCAAAATTTTAGCCTACCAAGCAACGAGCCCTCCTTCTGAGCTTCTCTGGCGGCTTCAGCGACTTCTTTTGCTAATTGCGTCTTAGCTTAGCCAACGAACAACGAACATACAAAACACGATAGCAACCCAAACTCACCGTCAAGCTCATCGGCAACCCTTCTCATAGCTTCCAGTGCCTTCTCGTAGAACGGTTTCAACACCAATACCTCCGGTGGGAAGTCCTGCGGTCTGATCTTATATTGCTCGAACCAAGCCTCCAGGGAATCAATCGGCGACCAGCCAAAAGGATACCTAGAAGGAAGCCTGGGATCAGCTCCGGCCCCAAGGAGTAGATGGACAATTGCGAGGTTTTGCTTGAGATGGGCGTAATCGGCGGCAGCGCCATCCTCGATCGCCCAGTCCAGTGGGCGACCTACGCCACGGGGGCGCCGGTCCAGTTCGTTGGGAGAGAAGCCTTCAGATAGAGCAGCACGTATAGCTGCGAGGCGGGTTTCCACAGGTGCGCAGGATACCGGCTCGAGAAAGAGGGGGCTTACTACCATGGCGGCAGATTAGGTGTCTTAGCAAGAATTAAAGAGGTAGACGGGAGCGAGACCAAGGACGGTGTTTGGTAGTATGTTGCGCGTTGTAGGTCAACAACCTACGGGCAGACGACCCCCGAATTGTCAGCGAGTTAATGTGACACCAATGGGCTGTCACTAGACATTTTTGTCGACACGCATCAGTTCTGTTGTTCGTAAAGCTCAGAATTTTTGCCAGTGACTAAGCGAGATGATGGATGAAACGTCGCTCGAATAGTCATCATACTAAGTCAGTAATTTCACTTTGAGTTCCACGGAATGAGAGAAATCACAGGCAATGATGGTGTATGATGAATGATTGAATGATGATAGGTATGTATCGAAGTTTCGAACAAGTCTATAGACAAGAAGGTAACGTGGTATCAAGAAGGAGAAGAAAAAAAGTCATAACTCATGAAGCGTCTCTCAGGACAAACGTCTACGCATTGGCAAAGGTCGTGCCAATGTCCGACAGGCTGTTTCCATCTGCGCTGATGAGGTACTTCTTGTCAGTGGAAGTACCAGTGGAAGGCGCAACCATGTGGTAGGCGTAACGCTCAATCCAGGGCTGAGCGTCCATCCAGGGAAGAACCTGCTTAAGGAACGCATTCGCGTCGCCAGAAGTAACGCCGAACTCGGTGACCCAGACGGGCTTGTTGAAGGTCTTGTGAAACTTCTCGAGGTAGTTCTTGAAGTCCTGAGCGTTGTCCCAGGCGTAGTAGTGGGCAACGACAAAGTCGATCTGGCATCCAGTACATTGGTTCATGAAGTTCTTGAGGTAGTTGATGCCCTTGTTGGGCTCGTCGGCGTTGGTGACTGAAGGAGAGCCGATCCTAAGGCCCTGTGCGGCGAGCGGCTGAACGAACTTCTTGTGGGTGGCGACAGCAGTAGCAACATCGATGTTGGAGCCTCCACCACCAACTTGGTCGGGTTCGTTGAAGCTCAGCACGTGCGAAACTCTGTAGTTCTTCTTGGCGTTGGCAATGTTGTTGGCCCAACCCTCAGTGCACCACTGTTGGTTGGAGTGAAGAAGAGGAACGTATTCGAGGTCGAGGGGGGTTCCATCGATGACTGCCTCCCAGTCGTACATCCAAGAGACCTTGGAACCAGAGAACTTGTGTGTCCATTGAGATCCAGCAACACCATTGTGCTGTTTGGGGAAGGCAAGACCGCGCTTGCTACCGCCGCGTGCCTGGAGAGGAGATGCCTCGATCATGGTGGAGAGGCCAGCAAGGGCCATAATGAAGGTGGTGGTAAGCATAATGACTGAATGAATGACTGATCAATTGATCAAAGGAATGACTGTAGGGTTGCTAGAGAGCGTGGTAGAGCTGGATCTTCAAAGGAGTGAGATGCCCATTTCATCGTGCCTTCCACGCTGTACTTATATTTTGGGAAATTAAGAGGCGCCTTTCACAGAGTCAAACTAGCGCCTGAGGCCCACAGCATGTGCAGAACAGCGCATGGCGTCGCCTTCTCGGCCTTCTCTGCAGTGTTTCACCCAAGACTACTGCCAACTCCGAAAATCCACGTGCGATAAGATTATGGAGCACATCTCCCGCCAGCCCGGTCTGACGGCGCCGGCTCTGGGATTTGGCGATTCGTCAACCTTGGTAGGGCTGTAGGGGCCAAGCTTGTGTGGAAATTAAACTTCGGGAATCCGTCAAATCACGGTGCTGACGATGCATGGTCGGTCGCCGAGTCGCTGGAGCCACGTTGGTTTTCGTGGCATATGCACGAGAAGAACCTGCTTAGTAGTGTGCTGTGAGAGGGACGTTGGAGGTGTCTAAGGCAAGACCCATGTCTAGCTGGCTGTCTTCTCAGGTACAGCGCAGGAACAAGTTTCGGTGACTGGAGTAGGATTTGTTCTGGACTGCAAACTGTCTTGTAGTGGGGCCCACTAAGCAGATTGAGGCAGGCGTCGAGCGACAACACCCAACGTCCATTCCCGCTGCCGCCGATCCTGACCGTTTCAAGTCCACTTATGCACATCCACTCAACGACAACGTGTATGTTGTCATGAAAATCACCACGATACGAGGCGCGTCATGATTCATCGGAAGTTGTGGGCAACAGTGCTCGAGCATTGTGCTTCAGCAAAGACCTCTGACAGAAAGTAAACAAACTTTGCTTTTCTGATAATTTGAGCGTGTCTACCAATCATGGTGTTCAGACACGCCTAGAAATGCCATGGGCCCGTACCGAGCCGCAATCTTCCGTTGTCCACCAGGAACGTATGCCGTCCACTCAGCGGCGTCTTCAGTCGTTCCGCAGGCGACGGCGTGGAGGAGGAAGCGAGACGCTTCTGATGATTTTCACGTGGCGTTCCCAACACGGCAGATGCGACCTGGCTTCCTGTTGCGACTTCTGAACGCCAAGGGACATAGCACTGGACAACTTGCAAAGGATGAGACCTTCAGTAGACTAGTCGTTACTTTCATCCTTCCATGTGGATGTAGTGTCGGTCCGCGACTCAGAACTCGACAGAAGCGTGAGTGGACGCCTCTGTCGGCAACTCCAACAGACTTTGACAGTTCTCCACTCCGATACCATTCGTTGTGCGCAAAACTCTGCTCTCCCAGGTCACCCTCGCTTCTAGGCGCTTACTTCAAAAGGTTTACGCAACACCTTCCACTGCTTGTTCGGAACATGCCTTCTTCGGCAAGACACCGAACACTACCTGATGTTACGGCAGAGAGAGAAGCGCTTGGGACCTAAACATTCGTGAACAAAAACCTGGGCCTTCGGCAAAGTCCAACGGGGCAGATTCGAGTACCGTGGTAATCGCAACCTCGGCATTTGCATTGTACAAAACTCTGGGGAGGATATATTCACATCCGGCATCTTCTTCCACGTATCAACATGGGCGGAGCAAACAATTCATCGCTTCGAAACCTCACCACTGCACGCGAACGCAGGTTTGGTGAAAAGACTACGCTGCACTAACGCACACGTAGTGTAAATCTAGGGTGAAGAACTTACCGTTCGTTGAGTTCTAGCGCGAATGAATGCATTACAGTGCAGTAAGCAGCAGTTCCCCGCCTCGGCCTGCATTTACAACGGCATAACGGAGGGAGAAAATGCGATATGGGCCACGATCATTCGTTATAGTTTTACTCTTGCAGGAGGAGAACCGAGGAGTTCGTATCTTGCGACCGGCGCCATTGTCCGACGGCGCATAACGGGCCGACATCTCTCGTACCTCAAACCTCAGCCCTCAAGGTTTCGATCCTTCACATCTGTCTAAGCCACAAGCTACGTCATCAAAACCTGTGCTGATAAGGGTGGCTGGGGTGCATCACAGGGCGGCAGAAGTAAACACGATCGATCGCAGGAGAATAGATATCACAACTGCACAATGCTCCATGCGCAGCTTGAGGCGTTGACCTTTTTGCGCCTTTGCGACTTTACGAGAAAAAGCATACGGCACGGTCGAAGCACAGGCTGCACAGATACCACCGGTTACTATACGAGTCCCCCTTTTTGGCCAAGCAATGATGACATGACACAGTGTTGCTCGTATTTTGTTGACCGGTGGAGCGTACGTGAGTAATGATGCAAAGACTATGGGTTGTACGGAACAGTCTATGAAGTGAAATTTGCTCCTAGAGCATGGGATCACAGATCCTCCCAGTAGACGTTTCTCGAAAGCTGTACCTTCGCTCGTTCTGCACTCCCGACACATGTGTCTTTTGATCTCTGAGTTTGGACAGATGCAACTCCGAGAGCAGTCATCAGGCCACTGATGATAGAACAAGCCTCACAAAATAGCGGCATAGATACATGAACCTTAGAGATATCAACGGGGTATCGTGTTTTCCACGTCCGTGGAAAATGTCGGCTTTCATATACAGTTGCATATGAACTTCTACCGCGATACAATGCAATGTTGCGCCTGCGTCTTATCACCAGCACGTCCATCAAATCAATAAGGACGTCAGGTTTTTCATGTGCACGGAACATGTTGACTTCCCTAGCGATACGAACTTGGGTGTCTCCTCTTAATTATAATTGTCGGTATCGCGAAGTTCACTGCTGCAAAATTCGACTGGAAATGAACATCCGGCAGAATCATTTCCCTCTTGTCTGAATCTTTTGAGAAAGAGTCACCAGTTTGGCATTAACATCCATCTCTTCTGCGCATGTTTAAAAATCCATCTGCTCAAGGCCCAGGACGTTCTCAACCCAGCAGGCCATAAACGAGGTCGGGGGTTTTGATCAAGAAATACTATGGACGCTGCTATAGAGCACTATCGGAGCTTCCATGCTTCGGCGGAGAGGCCGACCACGGGCTCCTCGGCTTTCTCGAGGTCGAGAAGAACCATGCCCTCAGCAGCCTGCTCTGCAACTACAAGTGGGGCCGGTATTTCAAGAGCAAGGAGGATGGTGCTCGGATCGAGAAGACTCGATAGTTGCTAACACTAAGGGAGTTGGCGGTGCTGTAAGGTTGCGAGTAGATCAAGACACAATGGTAGTAGATCAGAGAGCTAGCTAGATCGGCTTTTCGAATGTATTGAGCGCCCAAGCATCTTCGTACTTAGACGATTATTTCGCTAAGCCGCTTAAAAAGAGGTAGTCAATTAGTTCGTCATGCTTTGATCAAGAGGCAATATTTCCACTTGAGACTGGTTAGGTTGCAGACGAATACATGAAAGATCGAATCATTGACAGCATGGACGCGCCTTTATGGACGAAAATGCAACTTTCTTGTAACTACGTTCGCTTTCCCCGGTTGAAAGCTCACCAAGCACTGTCTCAATAAGAAGAAGAAAAATAATTTCCCTTTAAGAGTACTCCTTCCTACTATGAAAGAGCATGTTAAGAGAGTTACATAGATATAGATAGAAAACCTAGAAGACTACAATGTTATTTATGTTTACAACTTCTCTTATCAGAAGATAATGTAGGCAGTAAGGTAAAGCTTATTATTCCTGCATCTATCTGGTTTTTCCCTTATATAAGATGAAGCAGACTTTGTTGTTGCAACGCACATCAAGACAATCGTCATACACAAGTTTATACTTCCATGTCCTGCAGCGGCACATACCCAGCATTTTCCACCTTGCCTCCACGTCCCACCATCTCCCTCACCCAGCCGACGATGCCTCTCCCCGATACCCACCTCTCAGCTTCAGGCGCCGTGCCACCGTTCTTCGCCACCTCGTTCATCCAACCAGGCCTTGTCCAGGAGTTGAGCATCAGGCTGCTGACCACCACCGTCACACTGCTGCATGCCATCGCAAGGCTCGCCATTATAGGATGTACGCTGAGCCCAAACGGAAGGCAGAACCCCATGGCGATTGGGAGGCCGATAGCGTTATACATGCATGCCCATCCGAGGTTCATCTTGATCCGGCGGAAGATGGTGTGCGTGAGCGCCAGCGCGGCAGGTATTATCATAAGCTCCGTCGGCCGCATAAGTACCACATCCGCCGCCTCCATCGCCACATCCGTGCCGCTTGCCATGGCGATGCCCACGTCAGCCGTCGCAAGGGCCGGCGAATCATTGATACCGTCGCCAACCATACCGACAACCTCACCACGACCCTGAAACTCCTGTAAGATGGCTTGCTTCTGATCGGGGCTAACACCGGCGTAGACATTGTTGGTATCTATGCCCACCGCGGAGGCAACGGTGAGTGCTGTAGACCATTGGTCGCCGGTCACTATGGCGGTCTTTATGCCCATGCGGTGCAGGACTGCGATGGTCGCTGCGGCATCCTCTTTAATTGTATCGGACAGGCATACATGGCCCGCATAAAGGCCGTCGATGGCAACGAAAATGTTGGTAGTTCCAGCACTGCCGGTAGTGATATTGGCATGCGATGTGCCTGCGCTGGCCGACTGATTAAGCTTCTCTGCGGCCTCGACAGCATCTTTGGGGACGTCGATACCACTTTCCTGCAAGAAGACGAGATTGCCAACCTGAACCATGTACCGTGACCTTTCTGCGGTAGTTGGCTCGACAATCACACTGACACCTTTGCCCACAACCGCTTTGAAGTCTCCGACGCTGCCATCAATGGTACCCTCGGGCTCCATGCACAGCTCGTTCTTTGCAGCGGCTAGGATAGCCTTGCCCACGGGGTGTTCGCTCCCCATCTCGGCCAGACCAACGATGGACCACCACAGTCGTTTACTGACCTCGCTTCCAGCCCATTGCGGGACGAGACCTATGCTGGCCACACTCATCTTACCATAAGTAATTGTTCCAGTTTTATCGAGGACAATCCGTGTGACCTTGGTTATACGCTCCAGGGCAGCGCCTCCCTTGATCAGAATTCCGTTCTCAGCACCGATCCCAGTACCGACCATAACGGCCGTGGGCGTAGCTAGCCCAAGAGCACATGGGCAAGCAAAGACGATGACGGATATACCCAACTTAACGCAGACTACGACCTTGCCACCGCTGTTGTCTTCGAGGAAGATATCCGGAGGGTGTGATAAAACATGACATAGGACCATCCATACAAGGAACGTACCAAGGCCGAGGATAAGAATTATGGGAACAAAGTAGCCGGCAAGTGTATCAGCAAGCTGCTGAATGGGAGCGCGAGCGGTTTGTGCGTCTTGAACTAACTTGACAATCTGGCTTAGTTGGGTATCAGAGCCAGCTCGAGTAACACGGAGGTCGACACGCCCATCGCCGTTAACAGTGCCGCCGATTATGTTATCGCCGACGTGCTTCTGAACGGGCATAACTTCTCCAGTGACCATACTTTCGTCGACAAATGTACTACCTCGAACCAGAATGCCATCTGCTGGAATTTTGTCACCGGGCCGAATGACCACAATGTCGTCAACCTCAAGCAACTCTGTTGGGATAACCCTTTCCTCCCAAGCAGAGCCGCCAGATCTATGAGTCTTGGGTGTCTTGGGCGTTGATGGCTGGTCAGATGACTTTGCCCAGCTCTCTGCTGCCTTTTCCACAGCGATCGGATCAACATAAATAGTAGCTGTGGACGGAGCTAGCGACATAAGACGAGACAGCGCCCTAGATGTCTGACCTTTGGCGCGGTTTTCAAGCCAGCGAGACAGTGTGATAAATGTGATGAGCATGGTGCTTGTATCGAAGATTGTTGAAGGTTTGGAATGTGGCGCAAGCAGGACTGATATCAGTATAGAGAAAACACTGAACAGGAAGGCACATGATGTGCCGAGAATGACGAGCACATCCATTGTTGGTGATCCATGCTTAAGAGATTTATATCCAGAGACATAGAATCGCTTGCCAATGCCGAATTGGACAGGTAATGTGAGAACGAAACATATAATGTCACCCAGGAATAAGCCGGGTATGAGTTCGAAACTTCCAAAGTCTATTGCTGGGAAGACCATGGGAATAATCATGCCAATTAGGAAGACGGGCAGGGCAAAGGCTAGTGAGGTTTTGAATGCTGTCCGCCACTCAGTAATCTCACGCGTTTTCGCCAGCGATTCAAGTTGCGCGTTGTTATCCTCGCCACTTGCAACAAGGGCATTCAAGCCCTGCGCCTCGATGGCCTCGACAATGCCACGCAGTCCTATCGTCTTGGGCTGATAGACGACTGTCAGGCGGTCTGTACCGAGGCTGAGAGATGCGGAACGGATGCCCTGAACCATAATGAGGCCTTCCTCCAGATTCTGGGCAGTAATCGCGTCTTTGCAACCGAAAACCTTGAACTGAGTGGTTGTGGTGTCTCCTCCCTGATGGCTCGAGTCTCGCTGCGTCGATAGAATAGTAGCATCAAACCCGCGGTCCTCGATAATCTCAGCCATCTTCTCTGGCGAGAGCTTCGTCTCGTCGTAAGTAATAACGGCTCGTTCCGCCAAAAGGCTGATGTTGAACTTGAGCACGCCGGCCATGCCCTTGAAGCCGCCTTCAACGGCTGACGTGCAGGCGCCACACGTCATGCCCTCTATGGCGAAGGTGGTCGTCGCAGTGATCGTCGCAAGCTTGGCTTCGCTTCCAATCGCGGTGCTCTCATCAAAGGAGTGATTGTTGAATCGAGTAGTCACAGGGTCGGGACAATCAGTCGAGAGAACCTCAGCATCAAACCCACGGTCCTCGATGATCTCCTGTATCTTCTCGGCGGGTATGATCTGGGGGTCGTGTTTGACCACGGCACGCTCCATCACCAGGCTGACGGAGACTGTCCTGACGCCGTCAACGCCTTTGAAGCCGGATTCAACGGCTGATGTGCAAGAACCGCATCTGTTGGCGTTATGAAATTAGCTATGAAGGACGAAACGATCAGAAGCATAAGAGGTGGCGACGCACGTCATGCCGCCGACCTGCAGCGTGGTTGTTGCTAGATGTGCGCTCCTGGACGCGGAAAGTCTGGCATTTCTATCATCTTCCGGCAGGCGCATATAGGGTTGTCCCATCGTAGCGGCAGCGACAGCAAGCAGTTCGGCCTAGGGATTGATGCTCGATGCTCGATGTATGGAGTTAATTTATGATGGTCATTTGTCGTCAAGGAGCCATTAACATTGTCTAAGATGGCTTTTGGTCGTAGAGGTTGATGCAGTCGAGGGATCTCGCAAGCGCACCATTGAATCACGTACATTCGCCTAAGTACGAGGGCGCAGCGATTGCCAAGAGGTGGACTGAGAAGACCAGCTTCTTCAGGCGGAGAATAAGTAATAAGAGGATGGGGCCGTGAGATTGTAAGTCAGAAGAGGAAGACCCTTAAGAGCCTAGGTACCTTAGCTTAAGGAGTACAGCGACCCACTTCTCACCTCAGACGCTGTAGTTAACGGGCAGCCGACCTGAAGCGGCAACATCCCGTTGACCATCCTTGCTTTCTGCGTTGGCCTGACTTCTGGCCCCCTACCACGCCACATGTTCGCTTCCCAGAGCCCCGGCAATGGACTTGGCACATGCCACCAATGACAACGACAGGCTCTGCCTCACTCGGACAGGAGCGAGCCACATGGGAATGATCGATCTGGTCCTATTCGTACCTCGACATAGGGTGCGAGGAGAAAGGAAGAGAAGCAAAAAGGAATCATATATATGGAAGCTAGCAAGACGAGATGAATACGTAAATAGCATACGACAAGAACAGCGCTCAGTATGAAGGAAAGTGGATTACCTTAGACAAGGAAAGCATATGCGAGTATGTGTTCTTGTAAAATCTACTGTAGCATGGAATACAAGGCGTCGCATTGGAGACATGCGATATGTCTAACCTGTACCACAGCATCAACGTGTTAGGATCATTGCTCAACGAATACATCGCACATTGAATTGTTCCTAAGAACGAACACCAGAAGCTCTAATCTGCTCCCGACGCCGAACCATGCATGCACACCCTGCCCATGTCTCACCACACTCCCCAACGCCATCGGCCTGCCCTACCAACGCCTACCTATCGTCGCATACGAATCACAGACCTATAGTATTAGAGGCGCCACCCCGGGAGATCGAATAGTCATGACCAACTAATCTACTTCCCAAGCTTAACCCCCTTTACCCTCTTAGCCAACTGTACAGCAGAATCGGAGTCTGAGCCATAGGACGGCTGCTGCCGCAGCTGGGGCTGCGAAGGAGCATAGGAACGTTTCGGGGGGCGCTCACCACTTTCTTTGAGAATGGTCAGAAGAGTTGCCCAGCCACCCGTATGTTGGAGTGCTGAGCCTTCTGATGTGTCGTGTGTCGAAGCGACCTTGAAGAGCAGTGCCTCTTCGTCCTAAATCACACAGTCAGTAAAGTACACAAGTAGCTTTACCTTGACGCACCTTTGATAGAATGCCGAGATTGTGGATGAAGCACAGCATATGGAAATTTGAGATGGCGTTGAGGCCGCTGTTCGTATTGAGCGCCAGTCCGTTGGCTCTAGCGTTGAGCGCTTTGCTGAGGTGTGTGATCTCTGGCATCTCGCCCATGGCTTCACGATTTTCAATAGGAAACTTGCCGCCGGTGAAGAGAGGATTTGGCTGAGTGGGGAAACCATGTGTTAGTGTGAGGAGGAGATACTCGACAGGAAAGTCAGGTCTAGCAATCTCCTGTACATTTGCACCATGTTCGTTGATCTTTCGGTAGAAAACTTCGGGGATGTACCGCGCCTTGTTCAAAGCTTCGTTTTCCTCTTCGGATTGGACAAGCATGACTGATGGCTCTGCTGAAGGCTCGATGATGTCTGCGCGAACCATCTCGACGGCATCGTTGGATACCTGGTATGACGAAATGCCAATCTGACCTTGGTCGTCGCCGCTGATTACGCAGGTAACAAAGTTGGACCCATGTCGTCCGGTGTCGCTCCATTTGGATGGCCGAGGGTACTTTGCCTGATATCGTGCCGCGAATGTGACTTCGAGAGAGGAAAGGTAGTATGAGTCGGCGTGTCGCTTGCAAACGACAGAGCCGTCACCCTTATCGGCGTCGAGCAGATCGGTAAAGATGACGCCGACGCGTTGCAGCCCACACTGTGCGGCGATGTCATCAATCTCCTTTTCGTTATCCCAATCACCCAGCGAAATACCGTCTGCCTCGTTGACTTGCGGTGGTTCGTAGATGGTCTCGACAACAGCCTTTGTTCCCAGCGGCACCTCGGTATACTCCTCGTACCTGCCGTACAAGAAACCTAGTCGCTGACAGCCAGTCTGCCTCCAGAAGTTGATCACATCATCAACAACCTGTATCGAGGCGAACTCGACGTGGTCTACCATGCGGTATTCTTGCGGCTTCAGGGAGATGGCGCTGGGCATGCACTTGGTGCAGATACCTTCGGGGAATGGCTTGTGTCCCGATGGACAGTCGGGGCGTACGCGGTAGTAGGGTTCGGTCAGCGGAGGCATGTACGAGCTACCAAGCTCTGGCCTGTTCTTGGCCGAGTTGACTTTGCGGAGGTATGAATGGAAGGAAAGATGCTTGATCTTCTTCTCGGCGAGATATGCGGGCGAGTAGGGCTCTAGAGGCATGCAGTAATCGCACATGCCCTTCGGTCCGTGGGAGCACATGCGAGCGTCGCGTTTCCTAGGGATCTTGCCGTCTTGCCTGTCTAGCCTGTCGTCGAGTGGTGACTGCCTGACAACCTCCCATGGGTTCTTTATAGTTTGTGTAGGAGAGCCGAGGGGTACAGAGGCCATGTCGGTGGCTTCGACGGGTTTGCCATTCAGCCGTGAGCCACCAGTTGGTGCTGCAGCATGGGCGTTTGACTCTGAAGACTGCTCTTCGAAGGACAGAAACAGTTGCGCGCCGTTTGATAGTCCCACTTGCTTGAAGCTCACGCCCTTGAGTTCAGCCAGTTTCCTCGCGTCGCCTCCTTGCGGGCGGTTGCTAACGCTGATGCTCTGGATATCGACATTCTTTGGTAGCTTTTCGGCGACCTGGGGCAGAATGGCGGAAAAGGTATCCTCGGGCTGTACCGTCAGCCTGAACTGGCCGTCTTTGCTAACGAACCTCAATATCATGATTACAACCAATGCTGTCAATCTTGGGTTGGGTCGAGTTGTGGTGGGTTATTGGGAAAAAGTTGCGAGTATTAGGACGTAGACGACAGGCGTTGTAGGAAAATGCGACCAGAGAAGACAAGCGAGGAATGGTGAACTGCGGTTGAGGGTGTTTGTGATTGATGCATGGATCCGCTTAGACATTCGAAGGCGGACATGGATGACGCAGACGCGCTAGGAGGGGCGCTAGTCGAGCGCGGAACTGGACAGATATTCCAACATATCGATAGTGAGACAAAGCCCTGCGTAATTCACCCACCCACTGGTCTTCACCTTCCCACCGTATCTCGCCTCTGAGGACACCGTCGCTCCTTTGCAACTCTGGTATTTGCGCCTGCACCGGATCGCGAGCCCGTCGAACCCCTTGTTCCACCACACAAACGACCCGCACACTACATCCACCATGTGGCCATTCGACATGGTCGACTGGGTGATGCTCACCGTGCCCTTTGCCTACATTGGTATCCTCGCTGGTTCCTTTGCCGTCTTCACAAACCTCTACCGCAAGCGTCAAGCCGCCAATGCCGCATCCCTCGAACCCTGGTTCCCCACACATCTCCAGCGCAATGTCTACCTCTCTCTCCTTCACATGGACGACCCCAAGGTGCCGGACAGCGTACTGAAAGCTGCACTACTGCGCCGCGCGACCGAAGACATTCACCGAATCGTACAGGTCAGGAACGCGAAGCAGGCGCTACAAGTGTTGCTGCAGAGGGGTAGTGTGGGCGATGATCTGTGGCAGCGATTCCAGAGGGCAGAGAAGGAGATCGAGGAAGAACTTAGGGACGTTGTTAGCGAGGTAAGTCGATCATGTCTGGATTGAAGCCAGACGGCTTTTGTACATCTATGAGTGTGGCTAACGTCGAGACAGGCCAACGCTTTCGCACCAAATTGGGGTCAGACCATCTTCCAATCCGCCTCTGAAATGGCACAGAACAACCACATCCGCGAGCGCCTAGCCGAGATCACGGCCAAGGCGCCAGCCGAAAAGGAGTGGTGGGAGAAGCGTAGGACCGATATCCAGACTGAATTCATGAAGGAGCTGGACGAGGAAAAGGCCAAGAGCGAAGACGGTGTAATGGTAGAGAAGGCCAAGGCATGAGTGTTGCCTCGCTGAGATGATGCGTACCTCTACTTCAGTGGTCGAACGGGGGGTGGTTGAAGTTGTCTAGGGTATTGGCGTTTTGCAGCATTTGACGGCGTCCTGGACAGCTGCACTTTAGTTGCTGCGTGAGCGCATCAGATATGCTTTTATACCATGTTTAGTCGAGTTAGTGCGGATTTGCAACGGGCGGCCGAATCAATTAGATGTTTGTGTCAACTTGTTCAGATGCTAAAATGTAGTGCTATAAACGCCATTATCCCATAGAGTACAAGTTCCCACACAGCTAACCATCAAACACTGTCTGTCGTACACCAGATATACAATACCCACTCTTCCGCCTCCTGCTTTCCTCGCCCACTTTGTACTATTCTCCAACCTCCTACTTCTTGGCGGGACCGCTGACACCAGCGCCAATGACACTGGGCAGCTCTTCAGCACCCATGGTATAGAGCATGCCAATACCAGCAGATACCAAGAATGCCAGAACGACACCACTGCCGACAAACAACCAGAACTGAACCGAGATGTCCTTCTTCTGGCAAGCGGGGCCACCCCAGTAGGTAACCTTCCTCTTTTCCTCCATACCTTTGCCGTCCTCGTACTCGACCGTAGCCGAGCAGGCGCATCCAAAGCAGTCAACAGTCTCCTGGTCGGAACCGGAACCCCGACCCTTGTGGAGAAGCTTGCACTCGCCGTGGCTGGAGCAGTTGTGGGTCTGGGTCTGGCACGCCGACATGGACTTGAAGCAAGTAGGGAGAATGCCGCGGACAGGTCCCTTGTTGTTCTCGGCCTGGATAACGACGGGGAAGTCCTCAAGGTCAGGGACCTTGGAGACGGCTGGTACGGGCTGGGAGGAGAGGACTGCCTCGGGGTTCTGGCGGCGGGCTTCCTTGGACGGGGTGTCGTACATGCCCCAGGGGTGGGCAGCGCGCTTGGCCTTTGAAGCTGAAGGCGGCATCATGACGAAGGTAGTGGAGAAACCCGTCTCCGCGGCCTTGGTGATGGTCTTGCTGAGCACCTGGGCGAGCTCCTCAGGCGTCATGTTGCTGCTCTTGTCGGTGCGCCAGATGTTGAGGTAGCCATTGTGCGGCTCGGACTTGTAGTTTGGTGGGAGCACGGAATCGATGTCAAAGTTGGACGTGTAAGTGCGCTGCTGGGGGTCTGGGTATGCTGGCAGCGACTCGGCTTGTGCGATAAAGTCGAGGATCAGGCGGTCATTGTCCGACGCAGATGGCGCACTTGATATGGCAAAGTCTTGGGTGCGGTCTGATCCGTCGTTGATGATAACTGACAGCTTAGTTAGTCGGTAACCTTTGCCATGCCTCCGTCACGTATGCCCACCTGTTGCCTCGTCCTGCTCAGCGTCCTCTGCCCAGACCAGCAGGTGCGCCTTGGTCTGCTCTGCATCGTCTCCGCCGAACAGCTTCTGTTGCCTTCCCCCGTACGTGTTGATGTGTCTGATCGTCTCGGCGTCTGCGTGCTCAACGGAGTGGAATCGCGATAGACCCAGCCGCTGGGCGATGATAAGACGCGCTGTCTCGGGGCTGACGGTGGGTCGAGCTGCAAGGACTGCGCAGTACAGCGATGAGGCGACAAAGGCGCCGGATAGCTTCATGGTGGCGGTAGGGATGGAGTTGAGGTAGTTCGGCGATGATGCATCTGCATCATCGCCATCCTGAGCTGCGCTGCGACCTAGACGGCACTAGCGTCGAACCCGCCTCACCTCCGCCCGCAACTATACAACTCGTGGGGCGCCGGCCAACAGCATTCACTTCGTTCGTCATACACACTTCACGCGTATTCTTTGTGTTTTTTTTAACCCCCGATTTAAATGTCTCTCCACCTAACTTCGAGCTGCTCATAACATTCGCTCCTCGCCTGCATCACGCCAATGTTCACGCCACTGGTCTTGCGGCGCAACTTCTCCCTCTCTAGTCGGCTATCGCATTCGCGCATAATTCGACAAGCGGCACGCGATGGTCATGGGAGTGCCATAATACAGCGAGTGCGTATACGGCGACCATTCCTTAGCAAGTCGTGAGTCGCTTCACACATCCCTTGCAGTTTACCTATGCTGACTCGAGAACAGACGTCTAGTCGGTGCTGTCGCCATCGGAGTGGCCACGTACGGCCTCGGACAATATGTCGGCATAACAGTCGAAGTGGAAGAGGTAAAAGAGGGGGAAAGGGCTTCCAGGCCTGGGCAAGATGGGTGGACAACAGTCGGGCCTGAAGACGACGAGGACGAGGATGACGAGTATGACGACGCGTTACTATTCCTACCAACCGGACTCTCAAGACCACGACCGAAGAAATTTTGGAAAGGCTCAGACCCCGAGTGGCAAGAGTTCAAGAAGATCGCAACGGACCGCCCAAGGGTTGACAAGATACGAGGTGAGATATGTCTGATGCGAACACAGTGGACGCATACTGACTATTCAATAGGAGAACTAGTTCTTATGACACGCCAGACCTTCGCCCAGAGCCCCCTATTCGTCGCCAAAGCCGGCAAAATCGACTTACACAAAGGGAAAACGTGGGTTGAGTTCAAGTTCCCCGATACCATGCCAGACGAGTACGAGCGCCCTGGTATCGAACTGACCGAAGACCTGGAGTGGCGAAGGGCAACCCGGCCGGTCGAACCCTCGCATCATCTTCGCTTGGAAAGAATATTGTATCCTAAAGAAGCAGCGAAAGCGCTCTATCAAGACACAACGAAGAAAGCTGGCAGGGCATGGAAAGACTTTAACATCTACATGGGATGGTCGCAAGAATCGCAAACAGAAGCTGTCCAGCAGCTCGTCAAGCGCATATCTGCGAACCCACAGTCAACTCTGAACAAAACGACGAGCATAAACTCAGGACCCTTTTCGACATCCGCGAAAGACACTGAACAACCAGGCACCACACCGTCATCAGCAGCCCCCGTTGATGGTCCGGCCAAGGACCTCAATGGTATTCTCCTTCCTGATCCCAAAAAACTTATGCTGGACCTGACACAATTCCGCACCGACGTGCGCAAGGCCTCGAATACCGCAACCACACCGGTGGTCATTCCACGTGGTGGCTTCTGGGTGCTCGGTCTCATTGAGATTTATGGCGAACGAGCAAAGCTAACGCTAAACGTTCATGCCGTTTATGACCCTAAACAAGAACGTTATGTCAGTATACGAGCCGTGCCGTTCAATTTTACCGAACTGAGACAACGTCCGAAAGGTGGACCGTAGGCAGGGAAATGGAAGGGAAGCGTGCATTATCCCCGGCGTCAATGGCGTTTGCTGAGCGTTAGATACCATTGTACTGGGCGGCGTCTATTTGGAATACGTGATCACGTTGAGCGGCATTATGTGTATTAGACTGTATTGACCGATGCAATTACATTCGGGACATTTTTGCGAATAGATCTGTCTGTCTCTCTCTCTCTTCTCAAGTTCATAATGACACTGGTCGTACAGCGCGCCGTCAGAAAGGGCGGAGCTCCACCAGTCCCATTCAAGTCACCAGAGGATAACAATAACTACATCATGACATGTGGTACTGCTTTGAGAGCATGACAACCTCTGCATCACCACCTCCATTCCATTAGCACCAACGGTTACGCAGATCTAGTCCTCTTTGCACTCCGCCTTTGTATATGAGTGTACTTCGTCTCATCGTTTAGCAAAGATTCCTGTGACACTAGTTCACCGTATCAGCTCTATCCTCAAAGACAAAGCACCCCAGCAACCCTAACCCCCAAGTCCAGCACAGCAAGATGTTCATCCCCACCATCCACAAGCCTCTTATCCGTCTCACTAAACACGCCGGCGAGTCTAACCTTCTTCACGTCCTCAACTCTTTCATCAAACATGATCTGTTCGTACAATTGGCCCACGGTCTGACTCGCGCTCCACCCCTCCGCAATCATATTCTCCACGACTTTGGCAATCTCCGCATACCGCACGACCTTGTTCGCTGAAGACCTGGGGAAAAGGCTGTCGCTGAAGGAGGATAGTGTGTCGGGAGGTAATACACCCGCAATCTCGGCAATGATGGGAAGGGAGACTGCTGGTGGGGGTACTAGTGTTGCTCCATCAATGTCCATTTCATCTTCGTCTGCGACGACCTTCTTCTCCTTCTCCTTCTTCTTCTTTCCTCCTCCCGCTCCAGCATTATGGCCGTTTGCTGCAACAACAGCGCCAACAAGTCTAGCCGCAGACTGCAAGAATGTGATTGCCTTTCTCAAATCCCCATCTGCGACGCGCACCAACTCTTCTGCAACACCGTCTTCCAGCTCCACCTTCTCAAGTCTCGCAATGTCGCCTACACGCTTCACAGCGTTTCCTTGGTCTAAGCTCTTGAAGCGGAATTTGGAACAACGGGACGCGAGGGGGTCGATGATGCGGGTTACATAGTTACACACAAGGCAGAAGCGCGTCATACGTGAGTATGTTTCCATGGTCCTACGCAGCGCAGACTGCGCATCTTGCGTCATACTATCCGCCTCATCCAACACGATGATTTTGAACGGCGGACAGGGATATTTGTCTCTATACCGCACTGCTTTGCCCCCCTCACTACCGTCTTTATCCTCGACCATGACGGTGTGGTTCGGCGCAACACTCAACTGCTGTCTCGCGAAATCCTTCACTTTCTGCCGCACGATGCTGATGCCACGTTCGTCCGAGGCGTTTAGTTCGAGGACACGTGATTTCATGAGTTCGGGGCCGTAGAGTTCTTTGGCGAGGGCGAGGATGGTGGAGGTTTTCCCGGTTCCTGGGGGCCCGTAGAAGAGCATGTGTGGGAGGTTGGAGGATTGCATTGTGCGGGACAGGATTTGGATGGTGTTGTCTTGGGCTGTGACTTCGGAGAGAGTTTTGGGGCGGCTGTAGACCTGTCAGCGTTGCTACTGCGTGCTGTGTTCAGAGACTGTATCCTCACTATTTCTCGACCCATGGCTGCATGCGGTTGGGCTCTTGCTTCGTTGTGGGCGCTTTCGATGAGCTAGCCTTGGCAGCATTGGCTTGCCGCGCTTTTATGTTGAAGAAGTCGGCCATCGTCGGGGTTGGGTTGAGGATGATGTGACGATGTCGCCGTGTTGAACAGCTGCTAAAGTGCGACGCGTCGACGCGAACCCGCGAACTCACGTTTCCGCACAGACCATGTCAGCGCCACTAATCATGTCATAATTGCTGCATGTGAAGAAGTTGGTCCTCTCTGACTTGTACTCGACTTCGATATAATAGGCCCTTCGTGGAAATATGTAATAGGTTCAGAACAGATTTTATGATATTGGCCATCTTTGCGGTACGTTGACGCGTTTTAGATAATCTAAAGAAGCCGTACTGGTATCCTCAGCGTTTGCAAAGTTAACAAAGAGCTGTATTGATTTTGTTTCGCATGGGGATATCTTGGAAAACAATGTACAAAAAAGATACAAAAGCATACGTGCGCCCACTGAGCGCCTAGTGAGCTATACTCGTTGCATTGACGACATTTCATCATGCGGCATCCAAGACGCCCAAATCAGATCTTCTCCCACTTTCTCCCTAAACATGACTCTGCAAGATACCTCAGAGAAACGAAAAGATGGCAGCGAAACTAGCGTAGCTCACCGTTGCCACGTTACGCAATGTCAGAGCATCGTACCAGACTATGCGAAGATACAGAACCCAGCTCCAACACTGAAGAAAGCGATTATAGCTAGTGCCTCTGTCCTGGCTACGGATCTAGTGCCGGTAGAAAGGGAACTCGATGGCGTGGCTGAAGCACTAGCCAGGACCATAGAAGATGGTGTTTGTGATGCGCTTTCTGAAGACTGTGCGGAAGATGAAGGTGATTGTGTGTTGGTGGCCATGGACGCGGACTGCGACGTCTTAGTAAATGTGTTCTGCGATGTCAATGTCGTGGAAGACAGTGCGTCGACAGTAGAAGACAAAGACTCGACGGTGGAAGACAAAGAAGACGAAGCCGCAGACGCAGATGACGATAGAGCAGATGAGGCAGATGAAGAAGCACTCACCACTGTAGTCTCAATGCTCGACACTGCAACACTACTCTGAAGCACCGACGACACCACCTGGCTCACAACCTGGCTCGCCTGCACCTCACTCGTTGCAGCCGCAACCACAGCCTGAGCAGTAGGCGCAACAGGATAGAACGACGGCAACAGGCTTTTGACATCTTCCGGCAGCCTCTGGTACCAATCTGGCTCTGAATTGCCAGTTGGCATGGGGACGTTGGGGCCCGTGGGCATACCAGTTTTCAGCACTGATAGTACAGAGAACAGTGTTGGATTCATAGTCGCTGGATCGATATCGCGGTCCATAAGGTGGTTGGGAAGTTGGATCGCAGAGGCGAGGGCGCTAGAGGTGAAGGCTGTAAGGATGAAGAAAGACTTCATTGTTGCGGTTGGCTGGAGGCGCGTACTAGATGCGGCAATTATTGGACGGGCTGGCGAGTGGCGATCAGAAGAATGTCGGGTAATTCCTTGAGGGGTAACGAGTGTGGGTTGTGAGTAGAGGGAAAGACCGATGAGATGGGAGTGGTTGTGAATATAGTGGGTTGTTGTTGGCAAACAAACAAGTAAGAGCGACTGCGATATATGCGATGACTGTTGCGCTATCCGACGTTAAGTGCGGAGACAATGCTCGGCCCCTCAGTTCTGTTGACCGTTTGCGAAAAGAAATTACTGTTGAAGTCGATCGTTCAAGTCGTTATATGTACCCGAAGATATGTCTAGGCCGATTTTTGGAACCGCCGTAACGATGGGTTGAGAGTAGTGATGCTTTGCTGGCGAGATGTTGGGATCGCAAGACTGATTGCAACGTGCGGATGGTACTTTCACTGTCCTTGTAACCGTCTGAAATTGGGAATCGTGACGATGGTGCTGCGCGAAGCCGTATGCGCGTCCAATGAATGAGAAGTGACGGGAAGTTTGATGAGACTGTGTGCGACAATGCTGCAGCCCGTAACTCTGCGCTCTAGAAAAGACTTTGATTTTATGAGATGAAAACACAGAATGCGAATACCAGCGCCCGCAAAAGAGGAAGAGTTGAAGCTAGGGATGAAATCAATGGTAACCTTGGAAACAAAAGAAATCACGAACCAGATTCAAGATGAGGGGAAATTACCGACCGGCCGGCAGTCCAAACAAGTCGAATCTGAGGCATTGAACACAATCTGTGTCGCAGCCTTACTTCAAATGCGAAGTTGCTAACGACATTCGCCTATGTTGAAGTTCTCCCCTTGTGCGCTAAGTCACACCATGCTTGCGGTAGTTGAAACATGGCAGACGTTTCGGAACATGTAACGAACCGAAACCCGGGGCGCCTGACAAATGCCGAGATGGTAAGGTTTACCAATAGAGAACTTGCTCAAAATAGTGCTTGCGGTGTACCTGGGGGCGGTATTTTTCAGTAGGTGAAGTTGAGACCTTGGGGCAAATCATCGCCTTGACAAGCGCCATGCGTACAACCATAGAAGACTTTTCGGATCATCGAGATAACCGTAGTGGGAATAGTCCGTCGACAGTGAAATCATGTGTCGCATCGGAATATTCTTAGCTTGTCGATCCCAACATGCCTGTGTTCGTCGCCAGACTTGGTTTAAACTCGCCTCTATGGAACGCGATAAACAGAGCAAATGAGCGAGCAAATGAGCGAGCAAATGAGCGAGGAAATATCGATAAGATTATAAGGAACATGGGACAAGTGAGCTGGAAGGTCGTTGATCACATGCCAGCTCCCGGGTTGAGAAGTTACGCTCTCTTCAATACTCGTATTATCCCGTCTCAATCGGGGGACGCACGTCTTGCGGTATTGTGGCCGAACAATCTTCACATGAAGCTTGTCCGGTCAATCCGGGGTTGTGCCGTGAAGCCCAAAATGGCCATGTATGTAGTTCAGGATTGGAGCTGCGAACGCTGCGAACGCGCATGAGACAGAGGGCCAGGGTTCCCCGCTATCCTAAAGGAGACGAACCTCGGTTTCACTGCCATGACGCCACATTGTATCTTCGATCAGGCACGAACGTGACAGTATGCGATTGTCAACTAAGGCAGGTGCTAGCACACACGGCGTCTTTGGATAGGCTTGGTGTTTTGGCGATTGGCATATAAGATGCCCTGCATATGGCCGTCCAAGAGAGGCTGGTACCCACTACTACCAATAACCACAGCCCCGCAGCTCTTCATACGACACAGTCGCTCCATACCATATCAGTATTAAGCAACGATAGGAATCAGCAACATGGCAGCTCCATCAAGTGCCGATATCAAGAATCTCCAAGGAAAATGGGTCATGGTAAGTTTTGTACAGCTTTCAGGTCACTTTGTTCTCCACAAAGCTTCGTCTTCATCCTAAGCATCGCTGGACTACAGAACAACCCTAATGTATCCCAGAACAAATCCCTTTCCGATGCTTTCGATCCTGTTCTCTCTTTACAAGGCATCGGCTGGTTGACACGAAAAGCCCTCGGCGCTGCGACAATAACCCAACACCTTTACCAATCTCCCACAACAGGCGAGGACAACACCCCGACTACGCACATAAAGATCGATCAACTCATCACCGGCGGTCTCAAGGGCTCCGTAGAGAACCGCACGTTGGACTGGCACTACCGCGAGCACACTGACTGGCTCTTCGGCACCGTCAAGGGACGATCTCGCTACTCTACCATGGCCAAGACAGTGGAAGAAGGAAAGATTGGAGGTGCAAAGGAGGAAGACATTAAGTTTTTGGCTGAAGGATGGCTGAAGGAGACGGAAAACGGAGACATCGTTGAGAGCTACGTGGATAATGAGGGAAATGCTTGGACTGCGTGGCAAATCTGGGGGTTTGCAGACATTGGTGGTGAGAGGAAGTTGACGAGGAAGTTCGTGGTCAGGAAGAAGAATAAGGATGAGGTTGTTCGGGTTAGGCTCGTGTATGACTACATTGGCGCGTTGGAGTCCGAGTAGGGACTTAGGCGACGGTGTTGTACATATGTGCTGTATCAATCAGCAAGTTGCTCGTGAACATCACAAAGATTGACCTGTGCATGTCCTGACCATATTTGGATCTCAGGACTGGCTTTCATATCCCTCAAGTCAATGCGCAGTAGTGCAATTCTTCCTTCCCGTATTGTGTGGCACTTTGCGCGACTCAACACGACCACAGGGCATCTTAACCGGATTCTTGTACATTGGCATGCAAGTATCGGCGATGAGTCGGGTAACTACCTAGAACGAGTCCACTGCATAGTTACGTTCGGTCTTGGAAACTCACTCATGCAGTAGCTGACAGGCTTAAGTACTGCAGTATAGCTCTTGCAGCAGGCGCCACAGTACCTGTCAATCGCTCTATTTCGGCCTTCCACAGATTTGACAGTAACCGAAAAGCTCGGGTCAAGGAATATGTCTGAATTGAGCCTCATACAAAACCTTTTCCTCGCTCTCATTGTCCTAACCTCCACGATCCTCATTTCGATATTAATGTACTTCACCATCCGTCTTGCTGCCAATCGAAGTAGAAACAAAGCCTTTCAAAATGCCGATTCTAAGCCTGCCCTACTCAGTCCTGAATCCGGCCGAGAGTCTCGCCTTTCGCATCGCCTGTCTCGCCAGCAGACACAACAAGAGCATTACCAAGGCCTGCAGCAACGCTACCCGTCCGCACCGCCATCACCGTCGATCGAGCTCCTTCCAGAAATTAAAACAAGCTCGAGCGACGACAGAGCGAACGAGTGGTTAGAGCGAGGAGTTGCTGACAACGGTATTGACGTGGTTCATGGGGACCTGGGACAGAGAAAACCCGAGATGACGCAGGCGATGGTGATCAAACCAAAGAAACAACTAAGATGGGATCGGTGTGAGGGAAAGCTGGACGATGGCAGTGGACATTCTAAGGTCGTCGAGAGGAAGGACAAGGATGGTATGGTGTATACGGAGTATCGTGCAGTTTGAGTGATTTGTTGGACATCTCGAAAGCGGCGTCTAGAGATGATGGTGTTAAAGCAACTTCGGAGGGTGATAGATATCCATCTGCTCATAGCAACACCCAGGAGAGGCTTGCAGACATGAAGTTAACGCCAACATACGTGGGGTTGCGCAACTGACCAGTGAAACTCCACCTCTCATGCAATCATTCGTTGCGTGATAATCACACAAGTTTCGTACACGACGAAGAAGAGACTATTCAAACAGAAGGCCAAAGTACGTAAAAATGGTGGAGAGATGGCATTGACGACGGAAGCCAAGAATACGGATAATAGCGGGATAGTGCGACTTGAAAGCAGATGACACGCTCGTCGAGATCGTTTGTTCAGCGGAAGACGGTAGCGAGTTATGCATAAACAACATTGATCTGTGTTTTTGAGGGGCTAGTAGTGGCTTTAGTGGTAGATGCTAGACAGATGGAGAGGCGATGTAACGTGAAAGATGTTGATTCTCGACAGAAATATGCAGCTTTTTCAACAAATCTCAATTAGTCGGTACAAGCAGACGAGAAAATGCTTGACAGATGATGGTGGTGAAGTCATAATGTTTGAAGAGCTACCCGAGGATGATGGAAAGAGGGAACGGCAGTGCCTGGGTACTCGAGATCTTTAGGCGTACGTAAGCTGGCGTAAGGATGTTTGCATCGTAAACTCGACTGCACGTCGCTGATCAGCGGAGATGCAGATGCAGGGGTGAAAGACGTTGCCCAGGTGCGGTAAGAATGTGGTTGGACGGTTACGCTAGGCTACGGCCGAATTAGCGTAGAAGCTTGGACAATCGACCAAATTTCACGACTTCGTAAACAACGCCTGTTTAGGTTCATTTACTTGAACTATTCTTCCTCTTGCACGACAAAGATACCCCTAGCGCGGTAGAACACGGTACTCTCCCTCGGCGCGCGTCTTCACACATACACAACTGCGACTTCCCATCCGGCTAAGCAGCTGCCCGCCCCACTCGCTTCCACCACCTGACGAACCCCCACTGGACGAGCACACGAGCTCCTCCTTCGCGTCACCCTCCACCCAACATGTCGGCCGAATTGGATATTGACTTCACGCGCCGGAACAAGAAGCCGCGCCCGCTATCTGAGCATGAGAAAGAGAAGCTGGATGAATTTATCGACGCGATCCATTACTCGGCAAGGTAGGTTGGCGATGCAAGAAGCGGTCAGCGCGTTTTCTTTGCTAACGCTGGACTTAGATACTCGGACGACGCATACGAATACCGTCATGTGCAGCTTCCTAAGCAAATGCTGAAAGCTATCCCAAAAGATTACTTCGACGGCGCTAGAGGCACATTGAAGCTGCTATGGGAAGAGGAATGGCGGGCACTGGGAATCACACAGGTAGGCGTCAAAGAACGCGGGCTACCCACGACATGCTAATTTGGAAATAGAGCCTGGGATGGGAGCACTACGAAGTCCATGAGCCAGAACCACACATCTTGCTCTTCAAGTAGGTTGTTCCTATGCGAATATCGCGCGTTGCTGGCTAATCGTTGGACAGGCGACCGATCAACTACCAGCCTCCTATGCACTGATCCTGATATCGCACCACGGCGCAGCACAAGGTCTACAACACGTTGACCACAATACGCGCAACAGCTGCGCAGACCACCACGGCACACGAGACGGCCTTATCGCGATACCTTTTTTGTCTATTTCCAGCGAGGCGCGTTAGATATAACGATGATATGATAACGGTGGTATGATTGACGCGCTGGCTTTATAGGGTTACGATCGGAGCGAAAGCGTGTCTCAAATCCATCATGACAGGGTACCCGAAAGCCCACAATTGTACATACAGCCGAGGCAGAAGGAGGTACTGGGCGTTACTGGAAATTGGGCAAGAGACCATGGAATAGGTAAACGGTTGCTAGCTGCTATAAGATTTTTTGATAGATTCGTAGCTCCTTCGCTTGGTCAAAATCCTAAACCTGTTCAGACGACTTTTGCACACCAGTATGCCTTCCAGAATCTAAGCGCAAACTTGACGTATGTCATACGGACCGAATCTAGCGCGTCCCACACGTCAATCCTGGTCCCTGCGTTGTTCGTGTTTGTTGACATTTCTCCCGATGAGGAAATCATCGAGGTATGAAGAAAAAGCAAAGTGCGCCATTTCAAGAAATGGATGCAGAGTAGTATCGAAGAGGCGTAGAACCTCGGCCGCCGGCCTGAGCCAGGCAATCGATTAGTAAGCTACCTGGGTGAGTGTGTGTCTGCCTGGCTTCACAGAACCTCGAAAGCCTCACAAGTTAAACTTATGATTCAGAACTATTACAAGATCTTATAACTTTACACATACGACATTTCTTCTATTGCCGCATTTATCGAACCCGCAAAACTGCCACTCAATGGAGAACATAGACATGAACGTTTCCGTATCCTGCGATTTGCAGACATCGGTCAAAGCAAAATGTCAGATCTGATATCATGGGCACCGCATGGGAGCATGAGAATGACAAGCAGCTCCTCAGGACACAAAAAAAAGCTGCGATGCCCTTTACATTATCTCCAGAGAAAAACCACTCGGCTCCCGATCAACTCCATGTCTCTCGAGAAAAAGAGTGCGACATACTGGTATACTAGGAATACAATGTCGATCGCATCAGGTCGCTGATGGATCTTCTTGGGTTTCCTGGATCTGATGTCCTCGATATTGTGCGCCCAGATCTCGGTCGAGCACAGTATGATTGACGTTGCGGATAAATGATGCCATACGTAGGATGACCTACTTGCCCGCACACAATTCCCCGGTTAAGGGATCCATTAAGTACTCCAGGCTATCGGTACATGAGGGCGGTAATTGATGAGGGCCGTGCTCAACTCACGCGGTCGAAGTATGTGGGCACAGCCGGTGGCTCATTTTGTTGGCGAATTGAGCCATCATATCGAAACCACTCGGAACCCAGCATAAAAGATCGGAGCGTAGGGGTGATTTGCGCTCGGAGACTGTAAAGTACAGATTATACGAACTCCAATAGACGATGCACTCTGTCCGAGATCGCGATATGAGGGCAATCCACTGACCTGATTGATGTCTTGAAAAGTCAGACTATACAAAAGCCATCAGATCCGCCCAAGAAAGCAAAGCATCGACAGAGCATCAACAGAGCATCAACAGAGCGTATACATAAAAGATCAAATAAGACATTTCTATCATGAAAGCCTTCTCCATTGTCCTGGCAGGCTTCGCCTCTGTCACTGTCGCACAGCAACAAACCCTCTGCGACCTATACGCTTACTACTCCACCAACGGCTACGAGCTCCTCAATAACCTCTGGGGCCGCGACGCCGCAACCTCCGGCTCGCAATGCACATACTACGACGGCTTCAATAACGGCATGGCCTGGCACTCAAACTGGCAGTGGCAAGGTGCCGAGAACAACGTGAAATCTTACGTCTACGCCGGCCGCTTGGCCACCAAAAAGTTGATCTCGCAATACAGCACCATGCCGAGCACAGCGCAGTGGAGCTACAATACGACAAACGTGCGCGCCAATGTTGCGTACGATGTGTTCACTGCTGCGGATATCAACCATGATAGAAGTAGTGGGGATTACGAGCTTATGGTTTGGTGAGTGCTACTCTCGTATTGACGCCCTGATTTCAGTTCAACCATTAATTTCTCCTCGTTAACAGGCTCGCCAGATTGGGCAACGTTTACCCCATCGGTACCTCGCAAGGCATGAAAACCGTCGACGGCCGATCCTGGGAACTCTGGGAGGGATACAACGGGGCGATGAAAGTTTACAGCTTCGTTGCTCCAAGTCCTGTCACCAATTACAGTGGTGATATCAAGAACTTCTTTACTTGGCTCACCAGCAACAAGGGCTATCCTGCGTCGAGCCAAAACCTCATCGGTAAGTTTCTAATGTTGTTTTAGGCGATAGAGCTAGGTGTGCTTATGCTAACGACTTTATTAGTTTACCAATTTGGTACTGAAGCGTTTACGGGTGGACCTGCAGCGTTCACAGTTAACAGGTGGTCAGCGGAGGCCAACTAAGCGGAAAAGTCGGATCCGTGCTCATAGCCTCCATGTTTTATAGCTTGAGAGGATGTTTGGACGAGCGCTCGCGATACGGAAATAAGAGTGACAAAAGAATTTCTGTATTTGGCGAGGCTTATGTTCATGGCATGATGTAACTTATCGACGATGAGGCCGGGGAGTCCGCGGAGGAAAATTTTCGTCATTCTTAGTTACGAGTGCACTGTGAAAAGAATCTGCATTTGTCGCGTGCTCGAGTTAACATTCACCACTTCTTTTCTCCAACTCTTACTAGCGCTTCAGCACCGTCTTTACTGAGCCTAGTAGCGGGATAGGTAGCAGACAATGTAGAATATGATAACGGGTGCGCGGCTCTTGCGAAGTATTGTCCGTGTAGAAACAAGAAAGCAGATAGGGCATATGTGGTAGGTATGCCATGTGGCGGTTGTATGAGATGCGATGCGTGTATAGGGTGTTGCCAATGTTGCCAATCACAGCTAGGCGGAGTGGTTGAATCACACTCCGGAGAAAAGCGGCCCGACTTTCCCTGAGGTGTCATCAGCCTGGGCAGAATCCACCCATCTAGTCTGTCACAAGCAGATCTGCGCTTAACGATCTCGTAATGTCAACCACGAACCCATGGTTTTTGAAATTTCCAACTCTCGAGGCGGTCGAGCGGGTATATCGTCGTCCGATGTTTGGACCACTTACAGTGAGCGGACGTTGGATGTAATATTGTGATCTGGCTTTCTTTACGGCCCTTTGACATGGACCTAGGATATATCATTCCGTTGTTGAGAGATTAAATGGTGGTTTAAGCGAGGTCGGATGTGGAAATCCTGAGCGTGCTACTAGGGACCCATCTGTCATTCTGCAGAGTCGCAACCCAAGTTTGAGGTTGCTGGCAGTACGAGGCTAAGGCTTTGTTTTACGTACACTGGCGTAGATCGCATCCGATTTTCCAGCCGTCTGCGT